GATGAACCAGGTGAAGAGATTGATATAGAAAACAATCTATCTGCATTAATTAATGCACTATCAAAGAACAAGAATCTTAAAATGCAATGTGACTTGTTTAGAGCAGAAACGCGTGTGGATGAAACACTTGACTTTTTTGATGATTTTGATCTAGTTTATATGGATGAAAGGGTATGTGAAAGGGTAACAATACATATAGAAGAACATCAATGCAGACTAGATCTATTAGGAGATTCAATATTGAATGTGAATAAACCAATTATTAAAGAGAAGCTCAATGAAATCTGGAATGCATATAATAATCCAAATAATTATATAGAATGTATAATTAGGCATTACATTTCTGTAGAGTTCGCTAAAATACAAAGTAATTGTGTGTACGAGGATAATTCTGTTAAAAGCATAATTTTAAATAGTATTAATGCCGGTAGTTACAGAGGTGTACTTACTATATTCTTATACGGAAGAATTGATTCGGTTGATCACAAGAAATATATCGTTACACACTTCTTGATGTTACATGCTAATTCGATTAGAAATGACCCCTCACTAACCCGAATGACAGACAATATTATAGGAAGTTCCCAAATGGATCACTTTTATACAAGAAATAGTATATTACAAGGCTATTTTTTCAATCCAAAAGCTGAAGAATATTATACAAAAATTGGTAAGGACATCTGGATCGATGGTATAGAAATACACATTGCTGAGTCATTTAAACCATTATGCCAAGCATTGTTTCTATCTACAAACGCTGTAGATAATATCTTTACATATTGTTTTACCGAGCTAATGAACACAGTATGTAAATCAGATGAATGGTATGACTTGATCAATAATTATCACTCTATGATTAAGGATATACTTTATTATTTAGACCATACAACTAAACCTAAAATTGACACATTTAATGAGATAATGGGTATTATTCGGTTCTCATTTAATGAACTAGATAAGTATCAAGTAACAAATATCTACTTGGCATGGTTTTTTAATATATTTTTATATGAGAATTTACATGATAAAGAGGTATGTTTGCTATATTTATTCAATATTATAGATAATAATTATCTTGTAATAGAAGATAAACAAAATATTCAATGGAGTATTGAAAATCTGAACCACATATTTAATTATTTAGATACTAATAGAATTATATTATGTAATAATGATGATGAACGTACTGAAAAATACAATAAGATTATACAAATATTGATTAATAGTGTTGGTTTTGATCCTAGGATGAACCATGCCTAATGTGGAAGACTCTCACCTACGTCTTGGAAGTCTTATAGAGCTGTCATAATTGGAAATTGTGACTATATAAGATGAGAATAGTAACAAATTTGAATCAGTGTTAATTCTGTACAAGGGGTAACTAACTAATAGTACAGCATATACCAGTAAATATATAATTATATTATATAATTATACTATTATAATTGGTATTTAAAAATAGAAATAAATTATATTTTTATTGAATTTAAAAATAAATTATTTACACTTTCTTTTATTTCAGTAGAAAATAATTTAAATATGAAGGTATGGCATAAATAATACTTTAATTTTAAGAAAACATGCGTACATAATATAATATACGGTGTGTAATATGTTTTATTGGGATATAACCCGAATATACTAATAATAATTATAGCCACTTTTACTTGAATACTTAAACATACATAAACTTGCTATTTAATTCATGATATCCTTATACAGATTTATAATCATAATATCACACACTCTTTCATGCTTTAATATACTATTTTTATTTACTATCCTATTAAGTACTCTAAACTCATAATTATAGAAACAATTATAAATATTACTATAAGATACTTTAAGCCAATTATAGCGTTCTCTTGAATACACAGATGGTTAATAATTGAAATTTCATATTCTGTTGATTTTAAATAGTTATTAATTACATTATCCTTGGAATTATTAATGCTAAAATGGTTATGGTATACGATATCATAGTACACGTACGATTCTGTAATATTATACACAATATCCATGGATAGGTTTAATATGTTATTTAAATACTCTTTAATTCTGGCTATGTTCTTTTTTTTATATAATTCAGTATCTGGCATATATTCATCTTCAAGCATATGCAGTACTATAGAATATAAATTATAGATAGAATGGATTTTTAAAGTGGGTTCGTTATTGTCTTGAATATAAATTAAGCTATAAAATGAATCTTTAAAGAATTCCATAAATTGAATATTATCGTACTTATCTGTTCTTGTAAGTAAGTATAATGAATAAATATCATCATCACATATACCTAAATTATCTATATTTGAGTGTTATATTCCATACTCATCTGGTGTGGTTAGGTTATCACCATATTTCATTAGTATATTTAATGCATTCTGTAACCTAGAACAGTCTCCTGAGCTAGTTAACTCACATAATTTAACCATGCCATCTTCAGAAGTTATTTCTTCATATAATTCTGATATATTTATACTCTTACACAGTATATTAATGGATGAATCATAGAAAATACTTCTATATTTATATGCACATACCATAATTCTGTGATTATTTCCCATTAATCTATAAAATGCTTGTTTTTTATGTGTACTATTTAAGCCTTCTGCTACACTCATAATTATATCTATAATTATGTCTATATGATTTATACAGTCAGTAATTATAGATATAATACCATTATAATTAATATTCCTATATATAATCCTATTATATATCTGTATATACAGTAGATTATACGCTAGATGCTCTATTGATTCTGGTAGCTCTGTAAATATGTCTTGTTTTCTAATGATTTCTGTTATTATTTGATATATTTTGTTTATGCCTTCTTTTGTTATATATTCTTCATTATCTTTGAACTCTCTATGTACTTCTGTTTTTAGTCTATTCTCATCAATATAATTTGCCATATAAATATTTTATATTCCCCCTAAATATTTTATACATAATAACAGTAATTATATAATAATATGATAATTCAGGTTATTTATGGGCGTATAATACCCGTATACACGTATAAGTGATTAAATTGTCTTATATTGAAATATAATACTTGAGTAAGTAATACCACAGTATATAATAGTAATATATCACATATACGTATATTATAATGCCATGCATGGTTTAGTTATGATATATAATATACGTATTAAGAAGAAGTAAAATTCAGATATAAGTTAGCTGTTTATTGGAGTATAAGTAATATTGGCACTTTAAGTATTTTATACAAATTCGTAAAATTTACTCATACGCTCATCTGTCATTTCACTTCTCCTCTGCTGGAATTCACTGATGAATTTCTGAAGAACTTCAATACAAACCTTCTTCATTTCTCCACTGAGAATTTCTCCTTTTATGTAGCCCTCCTTTAATTTTGCGAGTTTGTCATCATCCTCCATGAAGAATTTTAAGTACTGATATGCTACATCTACATCTGGATTGCCTCCTAATGCTCTGTGCTCTTCTAATGTTGCCTGTCCTCCCGAGAATGCATATTTCATTATTTTCTTTTTAATCATTGCTGGTGTATCACTTAAGTATATTGATGTCTCCTGGACACTTGCACTCATTTTAGTACAGGCACCTTGTAATGCAGGTAAGAAGTACGTATAAATAGTGCATGGTTTAATCCCATTTAGTTTATGTGATATGTCCCTGGCTAGTCTAAAATATGGATCCTGGTCTATTGAAGAGGGGATTAAACAGATCGCATCCTTATGCAAATACTCTGGGAATGATGTAGCATAACACGGTGCAATCTGCTTCACTGGGAATGCAATTTGTCCTACTTTTGCACTCTCTGTTAGTCCAAATACTTTCTGCATGTCTTTTAGTGTGAGGGTTTTCTCTATCGTAAGAATATTCCGTATGAATAAGTGACTAGATAATGTATTTGAGAAAATATACGTAAGATTGGGATCAAACCCAAATGCAGCAATATCCTTGGCATTCTCCCTTCCGTAACTGATTGTTTCATCTAATGAAAGATTCTTCCAAATATATTTCTCGTCATCTGTTATTTGTATGACTAATTTGCACTTGAACCTGTCCTGAAGGTATTTACACAATAAAAATGCAACTGCATGGCCTAAGTGCATACTCCCACTACTAGGACCACGGCCAGTATACAAATAAATTGGTTTATTCGCTGCTGTAAATGACTCTATCGCATGAATAAAGTCCCTGTGCGCAAATACTATCCCACGTGTGAATAAAATATGGTTTAGCTCATATTTCTGTGCCAATTCCGGTGTGAATGCTTGACAGCCAAATTGCTCTATTACATTGTTGTAATTTATATTACCATCCTCTGCTCCCGTTACTTCCCATGGGGTTATATTCATACAAAAATAAAATATTGTTGAAGTATATATAACCCGAATTACATTCTTATTTTAATAATCATTACTATATATAGAAATAACCGTTATTTTTATATAGAAAATTCATACACAGGATGCTACTGCTGTTATTCTATGCCACTCACCATAGATAAAGAAACAGTCCAAACCTGTATATACTCAGTGTTATAGCCATGCATCTGTACTAATACCAGACATTAAAGTAAGCAGTTTATGCCCCCTAGAATTTCTTCCTAAATTAAAAGAAGTACTCTGCATAAATAAACCAATATAACCCGAAATTTTTCTGCGTTCTAGACTTTTGTTTAGCAGTAACCCCGTATGAGTTAGTGCATCATTGAATCAGTTCTAGATTGGTGATACCGCTAGACTATATAAGTATACATTACACTGTTATAATAGTTGTTTTCTTAGGAAAAGGCATTCTTAAACTTTGACTTTTATTGAATTTTTATATGTATTTATAGACCATAAAATCAATTTAATTTATGTTGACTTGTCGTGTCAACAATAATTTTTGATCTAGTCTCAGCTGTCATGTTTATGTAAAACATTACAATAACTCATGCCATGCTAACAAATGCTATTCTTAGCATACAACAATAATCATACAATTATTAGAAGATTTATTTATCCTCTCTTCTTATGCATAATCCATTAGATGCCATAAGTATGTCCTAGTGTCTATTGAAATTAGTAGAGTCTTATATATCTATATCTATGTTTACTATTACTTTTAATTATATCATTTATGATATACCCCGATATCATCATTATTATTATTCATTGTTTGGCGTATTATTTAATTTAATATGAGCAAGGATTACTTCATAATTAAATGTGAGAATTATGTATAAATAGATAGCCTATAGAAGAAGCCTAATTTAATAAAGGGGAAGTACCCCGAAATAATCAATAATATTTTTAATTCTAATAATTAATCCCTTGTTAAATATTTAATTAAATTTCAAAGTATAAATAGGAATAAAACCGCTCTAAAATTAAATGTATTTAAAATACGGGCTGTTATTACTATACATAGCAAATATAAAAGCAAGAATATTATGGGATGATGTAGAAGAATTACAAGGCAATTCTGTTGGCTTATATAAAGATAAGAGAATAATGGTATCACCAGACGGATCATTAGATATAACAAAAGCATATATAAATAATAAGCTAGGACTGATGCATAACTTAAGAATGTTTAATCATAGACTAGATATGAAGTATATAATAGAACTTACAACTGATGAATTAGACAATACTAAGTATACGTATAATGAATTATCTAACAATAGCGTACACCATTTGGATATAAATGGTAGTGTGGCATCAGACATATCTAAAGAGTATAATAATTGTTTATGTAATATGTTTCTTATGCTAGATGGGAGAGTTCTAATTCAGACAAAAGAAAAAAGTTCATTTTTTACTTTTCTTAATGACATCCCAGTGAACAAGGACAGGCTTAGACTACTTGCTTCTTTATTTTTACTTTCTGAAGGAATAGATCTTTCCCTAGAAATAAATTTAAATGGAGTAGAGAAGAATTCGGTTATTCTTACAAAGCACAATAATAGAGATGAGAAGTACTTTAACATTGACTTGAAAATGAAAAGTAAAATGGATCATACGACTGAAACTGCCATATGCTTACCATATGATAATGAATACTATGCAGTACATAAGAGTATAATTGAGTTTTACATAAAAATCAAAGATATTATAATAGACAAGCATAATAATAATAATACTATAAATAATGCCAGGCTACTTATACAGTCGTATATATTTGAGTATATATGCAGTAAAGAAGACATGAAAAATTATCATATAGAAGTATTTGGTATACTAACAGATCATATTAAAGCAGTAGAAGAGAACCAGTCTAAGAATACACAAGAATACGTTATGAATGTTTTTAACAATATTTTCTGTCCTATTCCCATGGATCCAACGTCTTTAAAGAACCAAAATATGAAGATGGAAGTAATAAGGAGAGTCCAGAGTATTATAAGTGGCCACATATTTATTCCATTTCATGAAAACATAAACATTCCAAATATTATACACCATTATAACAACAATGGTCTTGAAACTGAATTATGTTTAGCCGGCCAGACACCTAATACTCATATAAATTTAAACAAGAATGAGTCACATAAGGATTTTTCGCATACTGATGTGAAGAATAATATCCCAATAAAATTTATTCCAGGTACAGAACTCACTATACTTTCATTACTTTGCTGTTGTTTCTATAATCCTGCTGAAATAGAATATACTCTTGAAACAGTTAATAAACCACCCGAGAAATTAAAACAGTTCTTTACTAAGTATAAAGACTTATTTGATATAAACGATTTGAGTGCCTGTTATGATTGGTATAATACAATTAATGCTCTGACTAATGACACATCAAAAACATCTTTTAGTGACTATTATTATAATGGTGGATTATTAAGTATGCTTTATACTATGATAGACATAACCAACGGAAGTCAAAGTGACAAAAATGAAATAATTGAAATAACAAAGAAAATAAAAAGTATAGGAAATAGAAGAAATCAAAACTCTATGTCCAGAGTAAAGACAACAAGTCGTATAATAGCCATCATTGAGAATACAATGAATTCACTTTCATTTAATAAAAAAGTGATTTTAGTGAAACCGGGCCTTAGAATAGATAATTTGAAAAATAGAGAGCCTGATCTATTTGGTGAATTAATTCTATCAATATGTAATGATTCTTTAAATGAAAGGACATTAACTATAGATTTTACTTTTGTTGGAGTAACTGTTGTATATGATAGTATAAACAGAGCTATAATGAATGATAATAGGAATATATTACTGCATATAAGTTATTTATATAGAAGCGATATAACCATAGCAAATTATGCAAATTATGCAGACAAGTTATTACTAAAAACAGATGGTAAGTATGTAATACAGTACCTTACTGACTATTTTAAACCATTAGTGTTTAATAATAGTATAAAACCACACGAATTATTTTCATGTGGAAGGATTCAGTGCGTATCAGATAAAAAAGCACTACTAAATTGTATTTTAATACAAACCATGAGTTCTAACTGTAGTACACTACAATCCAACTATCTTCTACGCATTGCTACTAATATTATAGCAAGTATTACAAAATATGAAAAGGATATAATATATGAATTTATTTGTATTATTATATACAGTGGGTATGGTAAAAGATTCAGTAATAATATAAAAATAGATAAGCAAGTTTATTCAAAAATATTATCATGCACGGATGAATTAGTAGGAATATATGGCCTATTAATAGAAGTATTCCCAGCAGATATTGTTAGCAAATTGACTAGAAGATATATTAAGAATGGATTGAAAAGTGAAATTAGTAATTTAGATATTATAATATATAAATATAATCAGATAAACCCAGGATATCTCATTTGGTATTTAACTAATGATAGTAGCATAGATAATATATTAACTATTATGAATGCCATAAAAATAAAAAAAGGTAACAAAATATGGGCAACTCATATTAAGTATAAGCTCTGGTTAATTTGGATTAATTTTGCAGCACAGAATAAATTACTGCGTATTACTAAATTATGCTTTAATCAACTGCTTGCTTTTAATCCAAGACCATCTGATATAGAAAATGAAGACACTGGATACCTTAATGACTTTAACAGTGTTATGTGCATTAATAGTTATCCATTTACATCATATAATGAAATTGAAGAAGTACTAGCTTGGCTGAAGATGAACCAATTTGAATTATGCCCAGATTATTCTTCTGAAGAAATCAAAAGTGCTTATACTAGAATGATTAGAACCTATGAAGGTATAAAAGATATTTATACTAATAATTAATAAAGTATATTTATACTAACCCTTTAATAATTCAGTTATTTATCCCTAATAACATGAATAAACTTATTTTTATTCTTATATAGCTGTAAACATACGTATATCTGTGTATACAACTTCATACAAGTAAGTATAATACTACTATGTTTAATACGGTTTATTATATAAACTAACAAATCCTATTTGATATTAATCATGTTTCTGTGTATAAGATATATTTTAATAAACCCATGTACTTATATAATGGACTGGTCAAGTATTAAAAAGTTTGTATTAGATACAATATTAAGAAGAACAGAAATAAATGAAGAAGTACAGCCTAATAGAATAAGATATTTAAGAAGAAATCCAGTAGTAGACAGACCAACTAGTACTTATAATAGAATGGAACAACCCACCATACACAGTAGTCCGAATATACCGTCTGCACCTCCTTTATACGAAGATAATGACTTGCCTTCTTATACAGAAGCAGTGAATAATTATGAACAGCCTCCTCCAACATATAATGCTTTATTTTAATACTATACTTATTACACATTATACATTATATTCTTATTACTTATTACTTATAGTGTATTATATACTACTTATTATACACTGTACTTTATATTCTTATTACTTATTACACAATATACATTATATTCTTACTACTTATTACTTATAGTGTATTATATACTACTTATTATACACTGTACTTTATATTTTATTTTATATATATAGTGTAAAATATTTTACCCCATGATGAATAGTCAGGAGGATATTTAATTGTATTCTGTGTTACACTCATCATACAATAATTCTATTATACTGTACAATTAATTCAGTAATAGACACATTTTATAATTAATATCTTATTACACATATACTACTATATACTACTTATTACATATTGTGTATTATATTGTTATTACTTATTACATATTATGTATTATATTGTTATTACTTATTATACATATACTAATAATTTCTTTTTAAAAATAATGTTAGTACAAGAATATTTGAGTATATTAGAAGAAACCCCAATGGAAATACAAAAAGTATTAGTAAGAGTTAATGAACTAGACCATTTAATATCTGAAGAGAAGAAGGAATTAGAATTAGAATTAGAAATAATCAATAAAATACTAAATGATGACTCTTCTGGTAAAGGAGTAGACAAAGAAAGAATAGACAAACAATTACAGATAATTAACAGATCGTATCTAAAACTATTAGACACGGACAAGAAGAAACTATCCTTAATTAAATCATTGCAAAATCAGTTAAACACAGCAAAAAGTGCAATGAAATCATCTTCAGTTGAATTTAAAGAAGGAATAGCAAAGAGTTCCATTACAATGAAACTAAAAGGGATTCTGTCACTATTAGACTATAAAATAGAAGAAGACAATAAAGAAGAAGAAATATTATGCTGTACGTGTAAGAGACCCAGTAAAGGAGAAATGATCGTATGTGATAATGCAGAGTGTCCTATTGAATGGTACCACAGTGCATGTGTCGGCATAAAGGGCACACCAAAGAAGAAATGGGTTTGTAATATTTGTACAAAAGAATGAAAATGTAAAAATTTTAATGAGTTCATTACTTGGACAGTTGAGTATTTCAGAAATATCTCAGAGGATTGTTGATATACAGGAGAGTACCAAGGACATATCTGAGAGTAAATGGAGTGATTTAAAGGATGAAGTATTAAGTAGGCATAATAATCATGATGTACTTAAAGCAGACTGTATGGAAATGGCAGAGCAAATTACAAAATTAGTAGAGGAGTATAATTCTGAGGGGAAGAAGGAGAGAGACAGAGTAATTAAGAAAGTAATAGCGCAGAGAGTAGAATTATTGATTTATTCAATATTAAACCAAGAGAACCGGTTGAAAGCAGGGTTAATTAAGAACAAGAGGGAGTATATTGAATTAAGCAAGGAAATAATAACTAAAACCATTGAAATGTGTGGTGAATTATTGAATGTTGCGATTACTTCACAGATATTCTATCCATTTGTTATTAAAATATGCAGGAGGCTTTATTTATTATCGATATCAAGTGGGTACTTTATTCCGATAGCTTATTATGCGCTGTACATGATGAATGAAATGTCTAAAATATCTTCATCATCTGTTCCGATACAGGCGATTTCTGAGATTGCAATTAAAGTAGCTGAGAAATCTGTTGTAAGTAATGTTTATAATGACTATGTGATGAACCATTCATTAGACATACTTGCGGACTGTGTAAAGCAGCACTCTTGCAGTTTATCATTCCCAGAGTACTCGTCGTATATTGCAGTAGAATTGAAAAGGATAAGAAATGGTCCTAATAAGAACAATTCATGGATTAACACTAAGACAGAAGGGATTGTAAAGGCAATAAAGATACACTCACTGAAAATTGAAAAGATCAGAGAGACTGTCGCATCAACTGACATAGAAGCAATAAGAAAGGTAGAAGAGAAGATTCCTGAATTCCAGTTGAATATGGAATAGATTTTATCAGAATAAATTAAAAGCACAATTAATAACGGTTTTATTGGAAATTCAGTTGGAAGTAATTATAAATTTATAAATATTTTATAACCCGACGTAACCCGAAAAATATAAAAATATAAATATTATGTAAATTCTGGGCGTATTGCAATATTTTTTATGCTTATTACAACAGGAAGGAGTGTGCGTGAGGTGGTGGCAGATATAATAGAAACGTACAGTAAAGAGAGACGGTTAAATTTGACAAAGGAGAATAAAGAGTATTTACTGAGGTATCTCCTGCCGTACACAAAGCAATCACTGAATATTCCATCAACACATGAAATAAAAGAACTCTCTGAAGTATTACTACATGAACAGGACCACAGGAAAATAGAAGCATTATTAGTCAATAGTACAGTAGAAATAAGGAAAGCAGTATATTTTATGCTTAAAATAAAGAAAATGGGACTGATCCTGTCCAATACCACAGTAGATTCAGAAGAAATGGCGTTTTCTGTGATTAAAAATGCAAGTGTGGGGATATATATGTCTTGGTTTAAAGATATTGCAGATGGGAATGGGTCACGCCTTAAGAATTTAATTCCTGTTGGATTGTTTGATATGTGCTTTACTGTATACTGTGCAGGGAAGGTGTACTTATACTTAGAAGAACTGTGCTTTAACAAAGTGTCTCCATTAGCACAGTCATTCTTTTGGGTGGTAAAGTCTCATTTAAATGCGTACAGAGAGTCTATCTACACAAAGCAAGTCGACAGCATGTTCTCCTTTTATGTTAAGCATTATGAAAGAATGAAATGGCTGCACAGACTAGCACATATTTCACAGGAGGTTTTAATGTATGATGAAGGTGGAATGCTTGGTGGTATTATTAATAAGAATAAGGCGGGTGCCGATGGGTTTATTGTAAATAGAAAGATTGGTAATAGAAATAGCAGTTTAATTGAATTTATTGAAAAGCTGAGAGAGTCACCGTGGACGGAATCTATAAGCAATGAAATTTTAGAGAGGTATAAAAAACCACTTTCAGATGAAGTGATTAAGTGGATGGAAGGGTATTCCAGTGATAATTCCTTTATAAAGGAGAATAAGGAAGAGCGAAATATTTGGAATGTGTTTTCTGTTGTAGAAAGGGATATTCCCTTGTCTCTTTCTATAAACACTGCACGTAATATACTGTATATAGGTAAGACTAAAAGGATTCTTCCCATGCTCAAATCCTTCAGTACTTTAGAATTTTCTGGGTCTATCCCGGATTCTGGCATTTTTGATTCTGAGTGGATAGATCACCTGCATAAAGAAGCAGAATTTAAGATTAAATCGCATTTATTCTTAGATTACAAAGCGTATGAGCACTTGAAAATGATCAGAGATGTTTTCTTTTTGTTCAGAAGTGATTTTGCACATGGACTAGTTAATCTTTTAGACGGGTCGGAGTACGGAGTGGATGCATCTGCAGTTGATGAAATATTAGACGGGTGCTTTGGGCATAATGTGACAGAATTTGTTGATGTAATAATTGGTGAGGATGGCCTTTCTTTAGTATATAAAGAAGTATTTCCGTATAATGTGATATTTGGAAGCATTTCTCAAAGTATTCTCTCTGGGTTTGAACTGTTCTGGAATCTTAGAAAGGTCATTTGCGGTGTATTTAAGCTTTATAAAGAAAATAAGAGTCCAAGCACATTCCTTCTCTCTACTAAAGCAGGAGAAATAGAATATTATTACTTTGAAAAAATAGTCCATGCACTGTGGTGCTTTAAGGACATGCCAGAAGAGAGTTTATACAACCCAGGGAAGATCTCAAAGAAAGTTGAAGATATTTTGTACCACTTAATAAACACATGTAAAGAGACGTGTACTCTTTCAATCCTGCGCAGAATACAAGAATTACTTATACAGCCAATAACCACACACAGTATCAGTGCAATAGAAACCCTTCTTCAAAGAATATCAGGCGAGTAAAGTGCTGTTAATATCATAATAAAGTATACATTTCATATTATTACTATCTAAAAATACAGTATTCTCTAATATTTTCATACTTAAAATAAATCCGTACACTTACAAATAATAATAATGAACACTTTAATAATAAATAGAAAAGTGAATAAATACATATTTCCTGTAAATTATTCATGACTTATTATAAATAAAGAATGGAGAGGTAGTAATAGAAAAGTGAATATACTCCGAATGGAGAACTATCTGTTTAATACAAACACTATCACAAACACAGTTATAAATATAAATAATGCATGAAGTATGGCATAAAGTAAATTAGATCTGGGATAAAGAAACAATTACATTTAGTCAGATAAGTGTGGATATAAGTGGCACGAGAATAGAGGTGGGTCATCTTCTGAAGAAAAGTTAGATACATCTGAGGTGCAAGGAGTATGGTTTATAATTCTAAAATATAATATAACCCGAATTTTTATTAATCGTATGGCGTGTATCCCATATGTTTAATGGCGGCTAGACGGATTCTCCTTCATGCTTTCATAGACGAAACTATTACTACGTTCCATGCCACTGCCAGTCTGAGGACCCCCATTTATAGTGCTATTTTTAGACCAATTTTGGAGAGGGATTTTCGAACAAAAACGAGTAGTAGTAAACAAAATTGTTCCTAAAAATGAACCAACAACTACCTTTTTCCCAGAGACACTTAGAACTGAATTAATAACTTTTTGAATGCCTTTTATACTATTCTCTTGCTTCTTGTGCCCAGATACAAGGTTTTTATATAGGTCTACTCGATTCATAATGTAATTTCTAGCTGTAAAGGGTGAATCGGCATGATTCTCTAAGGCCTTATCCAGGCGAGCATTGATTGACTTATCTCTGTACTTAAATGAAGATGGATCTTTAATCTCAGGCACACTAGAATCCCTGAATAGTGAGTTTGATATAATTGAATCACAGTCAACATACTTTTCGCTGTCTTTTGTTACTTCTCTTATAGATTTAAACACCTTGCATACCAGCTTTCTGTCTATGTATAACCTTCGCAATAATTGCTCTTCATACTCTGAAAGAACAAACTCTTTCATTTTTATTCCATTTTCTTCATAATAATTAGCTATCTCCCAGCGGTATTTCATTAATAAAGCAAGTGCATAGTCAAGATGAGTCATGCCATCTGCCCTACTCTCAAATAAGTCAATCTCTGCTACCGCCAGTTGAGTAGTTACACTTAGATTATTTGCAAATACTTTGTTAATATCATCTAGTGCACTGCTCATCATAGAACTAGTAAATAGTTTTTCATTTATTAGCTGTGCTGCATATGTAAGGTAGTAGTGCTGATTAATATCCTTATGTGAAAGTACATAATTATACCAATTATTAACTTTTAGTAATGTATGATCCATCTGTGATAGTAAATTCGGGTTAATTAATAATTTCTTGGATAAGTCTATGTATGTTTGAACATCCTCGCTTTTTCCACACTTATTATTAATATCCAGTATACATGTCTGTACGATATTAAAACGGGATACAGAATTATCCACAATTACTGATGCTATTTCTTTTATTAAATTATTATGCATTGCATTACTTGAGCCATTTACTATATACTTCACATTCCTAAGCAGTATTTTCTGTAATACAGATGATAATTCACTCTCGGATAGTTTTATCATGCGACCATTAAATTGGCCAAAGTATCCGTCTATTTCATTAGAAATTGCTTCTTCATCAATTTCCATTCCTATTTCAAGCTTGTTAAGTCCATTGTCCTGATGCATGTTTTCAAATACTCTTGGTAGAATATACAGATGTACTTCATCTGCAAATATATGCTGTGGATTATTGTCTAAATCCCCAACTGTGCATTTTGGTTCAGTTGCCAGTGAAGTATCAGAATCAGTTCTGGGAATGTTACTGCAGCTTAGTGCGCTTCTTATTATCTTATTCATTATTTTAATTTAAAATAAATTTTAATATAAATACCCGAAATTACCTTTTACAGTTGTTAAATAAATGTGATTTATGCAATATTTATTAAAAATAAATATTCGGGCTATAAAAAAATAAAATAAAATATGAATTTTTAGTAATTTCTGGTTATATTCAGCTTAATTATGCCGTATAGAGCACATTTAATGGATATTTAAGAGTATACAAATAAATATAAACATATAATAAGAATATATTTTTATTATACTGTTAATAAGCCATTGTTTATAAAGTATAGCTTACTGAATACGTGCTTTTATAATACTAGAATGGATTAGTTGGTGCAATATGGATTTTTACTGCCTATACTTAAACAAGAACACATTTGGTTTAATTCTGGATATTCTTTAGATTATACATTTTCAAATGAAAGAGACTGTGCAGTGTTATTGCATATTTAGAGTAATATTACTTGAAAATACACTATATTAACTCAAAGTATCTGGTAGACCTTTTAAGTGCATGGAATATTTCATTTATTATAAGACATAAATAATATTTATTCTTAATAAAAATGTATTTTAGGAATATTTTATATTTTTATTTTGGGCTATTCCAGAATAATTGCATGTATACTGCTCTTCTCCTTTAAAAACAAAATATTATCGGTGTACACTACTTGCTCATTTTTTGTGAAAGTAATTTCTTCATAAATACTCTTCTTAGAGTAAATCATCTTAACCTTCTTTTTTGATACTTTCATTGTGATCATTTTAAGATTTATTACTTTCTCACCAGATACCATTGCATTAACATGCTCTTTTTTCTCTGAGGGTTCTCTTAATATAGACCGAATAATTGGTTTTAAATTCTTTCCTATGGGGATCTCTCTTAATGTTTCATCAAATATTTGCATTTCACCAAATGATGAGACTAAGCATAAATATCCATTAAAGAAGAAGGCTTTCTTCACTAGAACTGCCTTAGAGAAACATAATAACTCTTCAAATACTTTTTCCATATCCTTTATCTTCTTGCAGTATAATTGTATTAAAACCCTGCTTAGTGTATCAGCCACACAGAGAGGTATTGCATTGGTTCTGACTAGAAATCCGAATAAATGGTTTGGTATTTCCCAGGATTTTTCTAAGAAACAGTTCTGAGAAATGCCGAAAATTTTAATGGTTCCCCTCTCACTCACAGATAGAAGATGACCATTTGATACGTTGAAGAATACAATTGGCTCTTTAAGGTTGATTTTATACGCAGCCTTCCTGTTCTCGGGTGGATATAAAATTGGACCAAATGTAATAATAGGAGTATTATTAATCGAATTACTTCTGATATCTTCCCAGGCAGAGCGGCCTTTCTTTAATACGTATATGTCCTTATATATTCTATCCTCTTTACTTACCGTGTTTTTAGTCTTGTTTGCTTTTCTTACTTCATTTAGTCCCCTTCTGAATTCCTCTTCAAGGCCTTTAAGTATTTCTTCTTTATGAATACACGTAGATAAGTCTTCTAATTGATCTACACTCATTGCGTCCGTCCATTCTTCTGGCTTCTTCTCTATTTGCATGTGACACAGAATCCTTCAGGTTATTTAAGTATAAAACCATCAATTGGTTAATTCTAACACAAATGTTTATTCTTGTTTATTTTACAAATATTCTGTCATTGCGCATGAACATACAGAAAGAAAGGAAAAAAACAGAAATAGAAGAAAGACATTTCTTTGTAAATAGAAATATTGAACGTGCACATAATAATATTAGAAGTGCAGATGAGAAATATTCTAAGAATATAATTTGTAACCAAAAATATTCATTATTTACGTTCATTCCATTGGTATTTGCACAGCAATTAAAGCACTTTCTTAACATATTCTTTATGCTGGTTATAATTCTGCAATTATTTCCACCTGTGCGTGTGTCACACCCCCTCACTTCAATATTTCCATGGGCACTTGTTCAGGTGTTTGTGTACATTAAAGAGGGCACAGATGACTACAAGAGGTATAAAAGGGATAAGGAGGCTAATGATAAGCAGTGCACACGCTATACAGTGGGCGGTGCCATTAGAGTGCCTGCCTCAGAATTGGCAGTTGGTGATCTTATAATTGTAACTAAAGATGAAAGAGTCCCTGCTGATGCGATTCTACTAAAGACCGAGGAAGTGAACGGGTCTATTTTTGTGCGAACAGATCAGCTGGATGGGGAGACAGATTGGAAAATTAAAATGAGTCACAGCGTATTCCAGCAGATGGATGGGTTTGACAAAGTTGCCAAGAGTTATTTTGAGGTTATTGCTGAGCCACCAAGTAAGGACATATACTCATTCAATGGCGAATTATTAGTTGGTGATACACAGCATAAAGTGCATGAAGATAATATGCTATGGATGAACATGGTGATAGCAAGTGGCACATCACTCTGTGTGGTTGTGTATACGGGGAAGGACACACGTGCAGTTATGAACACAACAAAGGCAAGGAACAAATCAGGACTAATCGATAAAGAATTGAATTTTTATACGAAAATACTGTGTTCTATGTCATTCTCATTTGCGATTTTGTTTACTGTGCTGCGAGGTACGTATTCTATGTGGTACATTACACTCGTTCGGTTTTTGATCATTTTTTCAACGGTCATTCCAATAAGTCTTAGGGTGAACATTGACTGGGCCAGAGTGGTATACGCAAGAGGGATGGAAGCTCATTCAGATACACCAATTGTTGTGCGTAACAGTAATATTCCAGAAGAGCTTGGGAGGATATCTTATTTACTGACGGATAAGACAGGAACACTCACCACGAATGAAATGGAAATTAAGAAAATGCACACGGGTGATTTATGCTACACTCCGGATTTTATTCAGGAAATATACGAAATGATCACTAACCCGAAATCACCAGCGGATCTTACTGCATGTGAGCTATTAATTGCAATGTGTCTGTGTAACAATGTAATACCGTATGCAGAAAACAATAAGATAGGATATATTTCATCCAGTCCAGATGAGATGGCTATGGTAAGATGGGCTGAAAAAGTGGGAATAACTCTGTGGGGAAGAGGGCCGGGCTGGGTTGAAATAAAAACTGCAGATTCAAAAAAAAGGTACGAGCTACTTCACACAATCCGATTCACAAGTGAAAGGAAGTGCATGGGAGTTGTTATAAAGAGTGAAGACAAAGTGTACTTATACATGAAGGGAGCAGACAGTGTTATGAAGAAACTCATCATAGGAAAGGACTGGATGGAAGAAGAAGCACAGTCAATGGCAAAGGAAGGACTTAGAACAATGGTATTCGGAAGGAGGTTAGTTTCTGAAGAAGAAGTTAAAGAATTAGCACAGACTCATACGATATCCGAAGATGGCTTGGATTTACTTGGTGTGACGGGTGTAGAGGACAAATTACAAGATGACGTAAGAGTCTCACTAGAAACACTCAGAAATGCAGGAATAAAAATATGGATGCTTACAGGAGACAAAGTGGAAACAGCTAGGTGCATCGCAGTTTCATCTAGATTATTCTCCAGATGCAGCCAGATCCTTACCATAACAGACATAAAAACACGGCAGGATGCTGATTTAGCAATTAAAAGAATAGAAAGAGAAAAGGACTGTTTAGTGATAGACGGAGGAAGTCTTCAAATTCTCATGGATATGTACAAAACAGAATTTATTACTGCTGTTTCTATGCTAGCGGCCGTTGCGTGCTGCAGATGCTCTCCCACACAGAAAGCAGAAATTGCAAAGGAGGTTTCAAGAATAACAAAAAAGCGAGTGTGCTGCATAGGAGATGGGGGGAATGATGTGAGTATGATTCAGCAGGCAAATGTTGGTATTGGAATTGTTGGAAAAGAAGGCAGGCAGGCATCACTCGCAGCAGATGTAAGTGTGAATGAATTCAAAGCGATTGTTGACTTAATCCTGTGGCACGGAAGGAATTCGTATAAGAACACTGCAAAGCTGGCACAGTTCATAATCCACAGGGGAACTACTCTTGGAATAGCACAGGGAATATTTTCATCACTTTTCAATTTCTGTCCTATATCCATATACCAAGGTAAAATTTCAATTGGATACGTTACATTTTATACATTCTTGCCTGTGTTCAGTATTGTTCTGTCTAAGGATATGTCTAAGAAAGTGTCAAGAAAGTTCCCAGAGTTATACTCTGACATATCAAATGGAAGTGTTCTTAATAATAGTACATTCAGTACGTGGATGTTCATGGGGTACTACCAGGGAGTGGTAATTATGATACTTACACTGTTTTTATTTGAAAGTGCATTAATTCAGTTGGTAAGTATCACATTCTCGTGTTTAGTACTGAATGAGTTATTAATGGTGTTCCTGTGCGTGAGTAAAGTTCATAATTTAATGATCATTGCACAGAGTATTTCTATCCTCTTGTACTTCCTTAGCTTTAAGGTGTTATCCGATGAAATACAAATACCAAGTGAGTGGAAGAAGTTCTTACTGCAGATTCTACTTGTGAATATTATTGCAATTCTTCCTGCTATAGTACAGTACGCCTGGAGAATTTGGATGAATCCTCCTAGTTATAGAAAAATTCAGGCAACTTACAGTTACTGATTAGTATAAAAATACTGTTATTTATTGATAATACAAACATATTTTAGGAAATTTCAGTTATTTTTATGATAATTTTTAATAATTATTACTTATTTTAGAAATATAAATTGTAACCTTTTATTTTTATAGTACTTTTAAGGAAATAACAGATTGTCTTAAGGCATCCTATAATTCTATTTTTAATTATAAATACCTCTGCTTGATATAATCTGATACATTTGGCTTTTCGTATATTAATACGTTTGTGTTAATCATTCTTAGGATAGATTCAGAATATATCCGGTGCTTTTTAGTAAACCCGTTGAATATATAAAGACTGTTCCCATACTTCCCAATTACTTGTCGTAGTCTGTCAACTGAGCATATCCCAATAGTCCATGAATCATTCATTGTATTACTAATCCTGTATATCCCATTAGTAGAAGAAAAACAAAGTCTGTCCTTCTCAAACGATACATTATCAATAAATGATAGTCTCTGATACTCTGTAAGATAGTTCTCTTCTTCCTCCTGGTCCTTTACTATAATTATTATCTTATCATTCTTTCTCTGGCGGATTTCTTTGATTCTTTCGTATATAAGAATCCTGACTAAAGCATAAAACTCCTTTCGGTTCACATTTGGTACTTCTTCTATTATCACACTGTCAGTTCTCTTAAACTGAATTTTCCTGTCAAATGACCGTGGACTCTCAAATTGCTCAGAATCTTCATTATCCTCATACTCTATCCTGTACCCAGAAATATAAGAAAGTGCACTGTCTACTAGCCATAATTCATCAGTAGAATACTCCCTAACAGGAATTATCTCTAACCTTCCAGTAAATACCTCCTTACTTGATATTTTTGTTATATTCGATACTCTCCTTATGTTATGCGTCATATAACAGTCCCTCTCCTGCTCTATCTTCACTATTTTTATTAACTCCTTGTGACTCCTTATTATAATATACCCAGATACAGGCCTACTCAATAATAAACTGTGCTTATTGCTTATTATATCTACATCCATTATCTCTGTTTTAACCCCTTTCATTAACTGCCTTCTCATATAAAGCGTATTATACGCATTTTTATAATCCCGTAAATATAAAAAATATTCTGATAGGCCCCCTAATATTCTTTCAATGTTCTCTAAAATATACTTTTGGTCTATAACAAGAGAATGCCCTTTTAATTTTCTATTCTGAATGTGCTTAGAAATTAAAATTTCTATTTTTTTTTCTACTGTCAGCTCTTCTTGGTCATTTCTTATACCGAGGCCTTTCCTGTCTTCACTCCTGATTAGAATATTTTTGTACTCATCAGATTTTGATAAGTACGTTATAACGGATTTTTCATTTGAGAGATTATCCCATTCAGTGAGTGTTGATTCTGATAGGAAATAATGACTAATTATTCTTCCTAAATCTGTTGTTAGAATGATTTTACTGGAGTCACACTCTCTGATCAGCTTTAGTTCTTTTAATCTGTCAAATGACAGCAGTATATAATCAGAAATAAGACCAGATATCTGTGATGGTATGATTCCATACTTCTCTGGTACTCTGTTCATACGAATAAATAGGAACGTGGTTTTAAACCATTTGACTGCATCTGATCGGTCTTTTATATTCCTTAAGTAGATTTCTGTTGAAAGCTTTTCTGGGAGGGTTTTTAATAAATCACTTTCAATTGGGTCCTCTACACGTAACATCCTAACGTACGTTGATAGAGATTTATGGTCTGTGATTAGTACACCTTCTGCGACTGTGTCGTACTGCGGTCTTCCTGCTCTGCCGAACATTTGCTGAATATTTAAGATGTCTATGTTTATGTACCCACCCTTTTCTACCACGTATATTTCAGTACCGAATATGATCACAGCTCTTGCAGGCAGATTTACTCCCCAGGCAAGTGTAGATGTACTTACAAGGACTTTCACTTTTTTCTGTCTGAATTTCTCCTCTGCGAATTCTCTTATGCTCCTGGGAAGGCCTGCATTGTGTATAAACATTCCCTTTGAATAAACATCTTTCATTTCCCCTGTAATCCCTGCACTTTCTGCTTCTTCTGCTTTGATCTCATCTGGTTCTATATCCTCAGAGAGTATATTAGCAAGTGCAAGAGTGTTCCCACGAGTGTGTACAAATACAATCACTTGATGGTGCTCATTAAGTACCTTATTAACCCTTTCCTTCAGTACATAAATCATTTTCTCTCTTGTATCCAGTCTTTTTGTCATGTTATTAGCACTTACATCAACAGTTTTCCTTGTTCCTATCACAGAGTACGTAATTGGAACCGGTCTGTCTCCTGGCCCGAATACGTGCATGTGCTTTTTATTCACCATAAGAAAGTCTCCTATATCCTTTGGATTGGGAAGTGTTGCAGATATCCCAACCATACGAATCTGTTTCTGACACTTCTCTGAGGCTAGTTTTAGTCTGCTCACAATCGCTTCAATAGTCGGTCCTCTGCTGTCATTCAGAATATGGATCTCATCCAGAATAATCAGTGATGTGTGTGATAACAGAAATGAAGATATCTTCCTGGTGGATACGTCGTACTTCTCTGGAGTACACACTAAAACCGTACTTTTCTCTAATTCTTCCTTTGTTAGTTCCATATCCCCCGTATACTCACTCACAAATACAGGCAATCTATGCCTAAACTTATTAGTTATTTCCGACGCAAGTGCTTTCATAGGTGCAATGTATATTATCTTGCTTTTATCCGAATGGCTTCGACCCTCTAACTGCTTTACTATTGAAAGTAGTGCTATATCGGTCTTACCAGCACCTGTAGGTGCACATACGAGTACGTTCTCTTTTGTCCTGTATACACTATCAAACACAGAAGACTGTACTTGATTAAACTCTTTATAACCCGAACTGAACACTTTCCTGTACCGCTCAGAGACCTCCTGCACAGAAACCCTTTCAACAGAAGTACTCGGCGCAGGTGACTCCATGATGTACTCGTCATAATATTCTGTACTGACTCTTTTAAGCTTTGGTGCGAATATCTTATCTAACTTCTCATCTACGCTCAGGACTTGGTGTGTCACTGTGAATGTCTTCTCCTTCTTCTTGCCCTCTGCTAAGACCGTCACTATATCCTCTATCGAAGATTCTCCCACTAAATCCAGTAAATCTTCTTCTGGTGTGGTTGATTTTAATGCTTTCCTGATCATTGCTTCTGACTCCTTCTCAGTCACCCCGAATAGTCCAGTCAGCTTGTTTATAAGATTCTGCATGGACTTTAAAAACATTTTAGTCTTTTTATTTCGGGTTATGTCGGGTTATCTGCATGCAATTATAAAGAATTCTAATATACTCGCATGCTTAACTTCTTAATGGCTTGCTTATCCTTGAGTATAACCTAAAATCTACACAGAAAATACTCTGAATTTCAAATATTTATTAAAATTATATAACCCGATATAACCCGATTCTACAACAACCAATAAATTGCTATAAATAGTATACATAGTCTTTTAAGGACAGATTCTCCCTTCTCATCCATTTCTTTATAATATTCTGTTATACAATGCATTTTATATTAAAATATTTTACATATGTATAATAATTAATATACAAAATTAAATACACACCCAATAATTAGGGTTATATCGGGTTATGACGTATAAGGAGTTAGTACAGTACTTAATAAACCAGTAACTTACAATACGTACTGATAGTATACTAAATATGTAAATATTTTTAATTGGTCAGTTATGAAAAGAATAAAAAATCAAAATTTTTAGTTATTTTTATTGGTCACATAAAAAATCAAAAATAATGACTTACCCTATTGGTACATAATTGATTAATTCAAGTATAAATAAGAGAATGAATTATAGAAGTATAATGAGATTCACAACAACAGTATTAATATTAGCAGTAGTCCTATCTATATTCAGCATAGTAAAAGCAAACCCAAAAGAAGCAGACAAGAAAGGAATGGCAGGTAAACAAGACCCAAATAAAAAGAATGCTCCAGGCAAGGAGGGACAACCACCTGCACCAGCACCAGGCAAAGAAGGGCAACCACCTGCACCAGGCAAAGAAGGACAGCCACCAGCACCAGGAAAGGAAGGAAAACCACCAGCACCAGGAAAGGAGGGACAGCCACCTGCACCAGGAAAGGAGGGACAGCCACAAGATGGTGTAAAACCAGAAGAGAAGCCAAATTGCTCAGATCCTAACTGCACCGATCCAAAATGTGCTGGTAAGAAATGTGAAGGACCTAATTGCACAAATCCTAACTGCACTGATCCTAACTGCCCTAAAAAGGAAGAAAAAAAACCAGAAGAGAAGCCAGCAGCCAATCCAAACCCTAAAAAGTAAAAATTTAAAACATATTACACATTGTATATAAAGTACTATAACAGTACATTATAACATAAGCATATAAATAAAGTTATGTTTAAAATTATCTTATTATTTATAATACATTGCATATAAAGTAATACACCAGTACATATACTATACAGTACATATACATACAACAGTATATACATATACAGTATACTTATTAGTACTATACATATACCATTATTAGTAGTATACATATACTATACTCATACAGTACTAATATATACATATGCTTATACCAGTACATATATATACTAGTACACATATATATACACTCATACTATACATATGCTTATACCAGTACACATATATACTAATACATATACTACTGTACTATTATACTATATACACATACCACTTATATATACATCACTACTATATATACTACTATACATATACTATTAGTACTATTATACTACTATACCCATACACTCATATATGCTCATATATACTATTATACTCATATACTACTATACATATGCGTATACCCGTACACATACTCATACTATACTATATACCATTATACTCATACTATACATATACATATACATATACTGCATATACTACTAGTACTAATATACACTCATATACCCATACTATACTCATATACTACTAGTACTACTAGTATACCCATACACTACTAATATTATATAATTTACTTTTTATACTTTATTTATTTTATTCCTTCTCTTATTCCTTCTCTTGCTATATGCTGGGTTATTCTGTATACCCAAGTACTTCCTTTACTGCTTCAATGACTTCATGGTCACTTGGTATGTGCTTTGTGTGTACAGGATTAGATATGGTAAATTCAACTGATAGTTCATCAATCACACTGTCTACACGATTATTCCACTCTTCAACTTGCACTGGACTTATCCTGCTTCTTTCTTGTATGAAGTACGTCTCACACTCTGGTAATATCTTAGTGGATAGAAATACTTCCGGTATCTGAAAATTTGCTGTGCTTGGTACAAGTGATATCCCTTCACACTCTTCACTCTCTAATATTATATTCAGTGATTCTGCCCTCTTTAATGGATTCTTTTTATTTTTCAGTATTTCCTTCAGCTGCTCCATTTTTATTTTATTTTATTTTCTACCCCCAGATGACTCAAATAGAAAGAAGAGAAAAACGGTATGAAGCAATGGCAGATGATTTAGCAATTGTTAATCAGGGATTAATATATACGGAATTAAATGAAATGTTCTCTAAATTTATGGAGAATGATGGATATGCTGGAATGGATTACAAGCCGTATACTAGTCCAATTGAAATAACACTTAAGCTGGGCAAGCCATCTGGTATGCTAGAGGATAATAAGTTAAGGATTAAGCAGCTTATATCATTAATACAGATGAGATTTAGACTAGAAGAAGGATCTGTCTCTATATTCATAGAGCAAGTAAAGAACAGAGCACTTAATGCACAGATACAGGCTGATTTAATCAAGGAGAAATTAGGAGCAGGTCTTCCTGTTAGAAGGGTAGTCTCTGGTGCCATTAGAACCATAATGGAGGGAGGTGCATCTGGTGCTGAAGTGATTATCTCAGGGAAATTAAAGGGGCAAAGAGCCAGGAGTTATAAAGTATCTGAGGGTATCTTAAAGCACTCTGGTAATTCAACCAAGGATTACGTCAAGAAGGGAATGTCCAGTATACTCTTAAAGCAGGGTATCCTTGGAATAAAAGTGGGTATTACACTGAAATATGATCCAACTGGGAAGGTGGGTACTCCTGTGCAGCACCCAAGCAATGTGACTATTTTCTCACAGGAAGAACTTGAGCAGATGAGGAAAGTAAAGACTGCTAAGCCAGTAAAGGCGTACAGTCACAGCAAATAAACTTATTTACTTATACAATATTATAGTACTTTATACACAATACATAAATAGTTATACTCACACACTAATAAATAGTACACATAGTGTGTTAATTAATACTTTATACACATTACACATAAAATACCATACATAATGTACACTAATAAATAGTACACATAGTGTGTTAATTAATACTTTATACACATAACACACTAATAAATAGTACACATAATACACAATGTGTAAATAATTCTGTATAAATATTTTATACTCTATTTATTGTTACGCATACTCTAATAATTAATGAATTGTTGCTGTTACTTTATACATATTGTATAATAATTTATTATTACTTATAAGTATATATATATTTAGTCCTGTTATATAAGAGAAAGTACTTCTTTAATACTCTCCTGAGTGGGTGGTGACACCCACGCATACCCGTTCATGCTGAATATGCACACAGAACTGCGAATATCAGGTGGGTGTAATAAATACTTCCGGCTCTGAAGTATCCCTACCTTTAAAAGTACTCCATTCTTCAGTACGCCCATGCCAGGGATAGCTTCAGTACGGCAGGATATAACTGACTCACAGTGTAAAGAATCCTCAACTACTTGACCAAGCAGTACGTCACCCGTGCAGAGCGTAACACGATTCCTTTTTGTGGCTGAAGGGAAGTCCAAGTAGTTTATAATGGCATAAGAAGGACCCCCTATATCCACCTTATAAGTATCCTTACCCTTCCCTTTGACTACTCCTAATACAATATCATCCAATAAGGGCAGGTACCTGAACTGCTTATAATTAACCCAGTACTTCCCTATGTCTAAGGATAATAACTCACCTACAGCACATGATACATGTACATTATTACTTATTGTACTATGTGTACTATTTAATGTACTACTACTATTACTTATTGTACTATGTGTACTATTTAATGTACTACTACTATTACTTAATGTACTATGTGTACTATTTAATGTACTACTACTATTACTTATTGTACTATGCGTATTACTTTTAATATATTGTGTACTATTTAATGTATTATTTATTGTACTATGTGTACTATTTAATGTACTACTATTACTTTTAATATATTGTGTACTATTTCTTGTTGCTTCCTCTGACTTTATACCTAATGATGCTTTTATTATGTCATGTTTTAATATTCTCTCGCCCGGTAATAAGAACATTCTAATAAAATATTTATAAATTCTTAAATTGTTTCATTTTTAGTCTGTTTACTATACGAATGAACACACAAAAGGAGGATTCTAAGGCTAAAAAGACTTTTGATTGTGATAAGAAGAGGAAGGATAAGATAAAACCAGAAAGGGTGCTCAGAATACCATGTGATATAAAGAAGGGAGACTTTTATAAAGTAACCCTGCATAATAGTGAGAATGGCACTGGGAGGGTGGTTGACTTCAATGAGAGGGAGATAAGGTTCAGTGAGTACACAGAGAGTGACAGTACAGTAGTATACGAATATACGCATAAGGTAGATAATATCGTAAGTATAGAGCCAATGATACAGTCACTACAGAAAGAGAAGAGTGTTAAGAATAATATAGTTATAGTTACGATGAGGACGGGGACTACTGGGTACGGTGAATTACAGAGGGAGACTAAAGACGTGCTGGTTTTAGATAATTTCGTGTTCTTCTCAGATGGATCCATTCCGTACGATATTACTATAAAGAAAGTCTTAATACGGGAGTATCTGAAACTGAATGTGCCTGTAGGGGAGGTAATTGACAGTGAAGAATTAGAGAGGACATTTCAGGTTGATGATGAGATAAGCAAGAAGAAAGAGGGGCAAGAAGGGCGAGTGAAGGAGTTTCAGCCATTTTATAGTTCTAAGGATACGCCTGTAAATGAAAGTATTCATAAGGCGGGGCATGGTAAGAGAGTGTGGAATCAGTTTGAAGCCAATGAGAAATTATTCGGGATGAAAGCCACGTTTGATGAGTCTATGTACACAACAGTATTAGATAAGAACTCAAAGGAGTACAAGAAGTATGCACATGAAGCAGAATGCATTGCCAGGAAGATTGACAAGCCATCTTCATCAAACCCACACATAGAAGAGGAAAGGGGCCGAATCAGCAATAAACCAGAGGATGAGAAGTATGGATCAGCATTCTCAAAAAAAGACCCAAGAAGAGAGAATAAGGAAGTACCCGTTAAGGAATTTAAAGAAACTGTCAATGAACCCATAAAGGAGGAGACTAAAGAACCAATTAATGAACCTGCTGTGGAAGTAAATGAAATAACTAAGGAGGTAAAGGATATGACCAAGGACGTATCTCAGACTGACCCAAAGAGTACTGAATCTGCTGAAGTATCTGGTATACCTGAGACTAAGCAGAATAATATACAGAGGAATATAATCTCTACACCACACATGAAAAGTACATCACCAAAGAAACAGGATAAAACCAAACCTGTGCCCCGTGCAATTATAGCACAGGCAGGTGTGGATTTAAGTGACATGGTATTCTCCAGTATGCGAAACAAGAACAAAGCCGATTCTGCCCCTTCCCCAGGGCAGGCACCTGATAAAGAAAAGAAAGAAGAGAAAAAACCTTTTGTTAAGAAAGTAAAACCAGAAGACACGCAGAAATCAAGCACACCACCACGGCAGCCAGGAAGAAGACTTAACCCAGCTGCGAATATGTTTGATCCTGTCACTGCCAAGAGGACTGAATTTGTTGTTACCCCGGGAGTGGCTAAACAGCTTAGAGAGCTTGGTGAGGCATGGACAGTCACTGGACAAGTCAGTGAAGCCCTGTGGAAGAAACCAAGCGAATCAATAAAAAATGAAAATACAGAAAAAGAAATAATGAAAAAAGAAGATTTCAAGAAAAAAAAGACTGAAAAGGAAGAAGAAAAGAAACCAGCCAGGAATAATTTTATACCAAAAAAGGAATATTCTAACAAATACTACAAGAAACCGTAAATTATCTTTATTTCTACTTAACCCTTCATTATAACGGTTAATTCTCTTCATAATAAATCTCTCAAATTTATTTGTTCACGGACCAGTCCAATTATAAAAATCGTAATGTTTAGTGGTTAATATGGGACACAGCTCCTTTATACGGGATGATGAGTATGTTAGAAATGCTTAAAGTATGTTTCAATCGCATCTTTATCTCTTTTTAAGTAGTCATCTGCTTTTTTATCCGTTATTTTTACCATTTGTGGGAAGTCTATTATCTTTACTCGTTTAAAATCATCTCGTACCATGATATTAAACTCATTGAAGTCTCCGTGTACATATCCAATCTCATATAATCTGTCAATTATCGTATAAAGAGTGGGTTTAAGTGCTGCAGGAATAATTTTAGACGATCTCTGGAGTTTGGACATTGCAGTGTACCCCTCTAAATACTCCATTACAATAATGTGCCTGTTCTGGGCATACGGCCGAGGCATGGGAAGTCTTTTACTGTATAACTCTGTCATGTACTCGTACTCCTTCTGCGCTGATAATCTGGATAAATACATCCAGGAAGTGTGCTTTCTCTTCTGGTGGTAATCTCTCGTGTTCTTTACTGCCTTGAAACAAACCCTCCCTAGCTTATGAATCTTTACACATAAAAGCTTCTTCTCTGGTGATACGCCCAGGAATAAGTCAGACTCTTTCCCTACACCGATCTTATTCGCAATCCCCTCTATTACACCCTCTCTCTGCAGAGCATACAGTGCTAAATTATCATACCCATTATACGTCAGGGCATACCCTTCATATCCAGTCTCTATACTGGGAATACTCTTCAGAAATGTCTGCCTTACAAGATCTGATATAATCCCGGCCATATCACAATTCACATTGGATATCTTGCTAATTAAATCAACCGGCACTGACTCGTGATTTTTACTGCCCATTTCCACTGCCATTAGCACTCTAAAATGATTTCCGGATAAAAACTGCATTTGGTTGCACGTAAATTTCATTGTGGCTGGAATACTTCTACAAAAATTTTTTCATTAAGTAGCCCGTACTCCTCTGCCGTATAATAAATAAATAAAATAATGTATGAGAATTTTTTAAAAAAATACGTTATAAATACGGATATTTCTCTGTTAAAGTACTCCTGGCCTGGGGTGGGTATGGACTGGAAGTGTCTTCCGTTGTTTCTAATGAGTCTTAGAAGGTCTCTGAGTGCTTTTGTGTTGTAATAGTACTTTCCATTCCTTGTTAAGTAATTAAGAAGATCTGCATTTATGTATACATCCCAGTTGGATGGGTCTGATTGCATGAGGAGAGTGATTCTGCTGGTTTCTAAGACTTTCAGCTTTGGATGGTCAAATACGAAATCACTGAAAAGTGACAGGAATTCTAATGACTGTGTGTTAGTCCAGAAAAGTGGATGTGGTACTTTTGATGGAATAACTGTACTGGTAACTAATGAAGATATCCAGTCGAATAGTTCTATCTGGTACTTTGTATTTACATCTATGATGAATTTTGGATATTTCCTATAGTCATATAGTAGAATATCGGGAATTGCATCTGAGAAGGGTTTGTTAGTGCTAAATCCAGTGGTAATTGTGGTAGTTCTTGGATTATTATGTGTGCTCGTATGTGTACTGTAGAATAATTCTGCTAATGATGAATAATCCGTACGCATCCATATTTCCAGATGCTTTCTGTCTATACAGTGTAAATGCTCTGTGGTAATTGGTGGTCCTTCACTCTTAGCAAGTACTTCTGCCCTCTTCAATATTTCATGTGTAATTACCATGTTCTCTACACCCAGCAGTAAAATCGTGTTCATCTGCGTAATAAATACATTATGTACAGATAAATTCACTCCGGCTATGCCCTTATCGTGTAATTCCTGTACATATGCGTATACCATAAATAACATATCAATCGTACTCCTTGGAGTGCTTATAAGCTCTGATAAGCTCTGAATCTCCTTTGGGTATACCATGTAATAATACTCATCTGTTTCTTCTGTGTACATACACGTAGTCTGTATCCTGTTTAATAAAATCAGATTTTGGTACTCCTTTACTTCCTTCTCACTGGTTTTTTCAAATGTTCTTATAAATACACTCTTCTTCCCGAAAAGTGTACCCAAGAACATTCTTGAATCTGTACAGCTTTTATTTATAATAATAGAATTATCTTTATACCCGAATATACGAATAATCACAGGAATAAAAAGGAAGATGCCTCCAATACTCAGCCCAGTCCATAACATACACAGAAATACTCTGTCTAGTATAACCTTGTCACCCTCAGATACGTCAGATACAATTATCTGTGAGAAATAGTACATATTATCTATTTCCTTTAATAGGTAAATAGGTGTATTATGCACTGACATCAAATAGGATATAATAGGGGTATAGATAGACTCTCTACAGACAGTTGTTCTGTTTATGATTGTTGTAATTTCCCTGTCAATATACTCAACCACACCACCCTCTCTGAATATTTTTGTTACTACTTCATTATACACACATACGATTACGCCTATGCTTGACCTGATATACTCTACACCGATTCTTTTCTCTTTTGATAAGACCATTCCACCACTCATTATCTGCCTGTTACTCTTATTAGACAGTACACCCGGAATATTAATACCACTCAGTTCACACATACGCTGCATGCTCATACTCCCATGGTCCTGTACTCGGCTTATTTGTACATTTTCATTATTTCGTATACCCCCAATATTTCTGATACTTTCTGTACCCGGCAGTGGTTGCAGAGTGTTCACATTACTTGAATTCTCAATCACTCCTGAATTTCTCTCTTTCGGAATATTTGTAATTCTGTCGTGAACTGTCGTAAATTGGTGCAGTGGTGCAGAGAACGTCTCAATGACCCGGTGCCTGTTTAAATTGTACAAATTCATTTGGTCACCAGCCTTAAATAGTACAAACTCATTTGATTCTTTCTCCTTCCTTATGCTTACTTTACATAAGCACACAGCCACAAAGTATAAAACTGCGAGTACTCGCACCATAAATATTTTTAATGAATGCACTTGAGAGAATAACCCAAATAATCAATAAAATACAGAAGGAAAGGGAGGAATTAGAAGTAGAAATAAGTGAATATTTAGTAACAGATGAGGCACACCGGGTTAAAGCCCAGAGAGAAAAAGACCTCAAGCAATATTTGGTTATTTCTGAGTACATAGAGAAGGAAATAACAGCACCAAAACCAGAGAAATCCGAAAAATTAGCACCCCAGGACAAAGCACAAGCTGTGCAATTACTTAACAAAAGACTTTCTCAAGTGAATAACACCCAGGAAAAAACTAAAATAATTTCAGATTTAGTCATTGAGTATATACAGCAAAACATACCAAATAGTAAACTAGACGCATTCACTGTGATACTTCTTAAGCGCATGATAGAACAAATAAAAGCACAAGTATCCACGAATAAGGAATCTGCTGTGGGGTATGCTTATTTACTAATATGGTTATCACAGCGTATACCGAATCTTATAAGTAAGTATAAGTACACTATGTTTACATCTGCACTACCACTGGACTGTTTATTAGGGATGTACAGAGTTTATTTTACAGTGCTTAAAGAATCAAATAATCCAGGAGATGCGTGGATGTTTATATCATCACTTCTTAATTACACTGAAGAAATAAGCAGTACGTTCAACCCGTGTGTTATTTCTGTATTTTTAGATGTGCTCCTTTTATTTATGAAGAATATTTATGCGAAGTCATGGTTTAAAATAGAGGAGTACATAAAGAATATTTATTTACCGCTTGTTGACTCAAAGAAGTATGCAACGGAAATATTGCAGATAAAGTCGTATTTGACCTAGTGTGAATAAATGTGTACTAAATAACTGAATGTTTATTATTCATTAATAACCTGAATTAGTGATACTTAACTGTTTATATGATTATAACTAACGGTATTTATAATACCACTGGGAATCACTTGATATTTATACTGTATACTAAGAATAAAAGTGTTTTACACAGAATAGTACTGTATTAGTACTATATTCACATATAAAACTGTTATATACTAAATAAGCCATAACAGAAACTTTCCATTTTCAATTTTTGTGGATTTATCCCCAGCATAAATTTATGCATTTTGGGGTTCGGGTTATAATATAAACTCATTTAATTACGTTAATAAGTGGTAATTTATTACTTATCTTCTACTTACTTTGAGATCTCTCTCGGCCTCTAATAAATAGACATGGTCTCCTTTCCTGACTGGTCCATCAATTACTCTAGTTAATGACCTTTTTGTAGATACAATCATGACTTTAACTACTTGACAGCCACCTCCTGGTCCTGTTCTCTGCATTACTTCTGTTACTTGTGCTAATACTGGTTCTAATACTGCCTCCATGAATTAACCAGGCTAAAAAATAAAATATTTAAGAAATGGAAAATTCTTGCAGAAATGGGAATTGGTCAAGAAATAATGGCGGAGTTAATGAATGATGAAGGATATTTCCTGAAATTAGACAGAAATTCTGAAGAAATAGCAAAAATAGAAGAAGAATTAAGAACGGGAACACTTCCTTCAATATTCAAACTGCACTCACATAAGTCAGTTATAGCCCCGCACAGTGCAGAGGATTATTTAGAGTTATTATTGGTTATAGATATTAAGCAGGCACAGGTTAAAGTGTTAAAGGAAATAGTGGAGAGGGTTATGAGCTATCCTCTGGCGTATTACGAAGTAAAAAAAAGAGTAACTGAATTATTAAGAGAGAAGAGCATGGAGTACATAAGAAAGCATAAGAAACTAGAAATATCATTATTTAAAGCGCATGTTATGGTTATGTCTAGGTGCAGTAAAGCATACTTCAGTGGAATGATTAAACCTTTATGTGATGAAGGTATGTCTAATAATATAGCACTAATTCTTAGCAGAGTTATAATGAAGTGTACGTGTGAGAAAGGGCATATGGAAGATATGCTCAGGAATATTATGGTATTAGAAAGGACTCATTCCGTATACATATTAATAACAGCAATTCTTATTAAAGGAATTCGGTTCAGTCAAGATATAATTGATGATGTACATCAGTACATATTAGATGAACTGCAGAATACCAGTACTAGATACCTTGCATGGAACAAAGTAGTACTTATATTCATAAGGAATTATAAAAACCAAGTAGATACATCTTTATTAATAGACATGTACAGAGAGCCCACCTCTCCCATAGAAATAGAAATATTGAAAGAATTGAATAATGAAAAGACTGAATAATCCAGTGCAACGGTTTATTACAGTAAGAATAAATATTTATACTGAATTATTACACATATTTAAATATACCAGTAAATATTACACATACAGTAAAATATATTAGAATATATAAGACATAGTGTGATAATTTAAATAATATTATATTACTTATTATACATTGTATACTAAGTACTCATATACTAAATATTTACGGCCTATTTACTACTAATATTATACTACTATAAGATATATGATATAATGCACTAAAAATAAAAAAATTAACACAATTTATTGGTAATAGTGTAAATAGTTTTATTACTAAATGAACAAGTACCATATAGTTCTGATCTCTCTATATTTATTCTATTATTAATATGGTATAATAATACATTATATTCAGTTAATTATTACTCTGTAAATATTATTCTTTCTGGTTTTTTCATGGGTAATTCTTCTGGCAACTCTTCTGGCTCCTGTAAATTCTGGTCTTTTTCGTACACTTTGTCTTTTCTTATTAAACGAACACCACTCCTCTTGTATTTATACATGAAATGGTTGAACTCATCTGGATTTGACTCAGCTGCTAATTTTTTAATCAGTTGAATTTTTTCTTCTCTCGCCTTTTCTGCTGTGCTCCTTTTTAGGAAGTGCCGCTTTTTCTCTAAAACACCGAGTGATCTTCTTTCTGCTAATTGCCCTCTTTCTTTATAGTTAGTCTGTCTTTTTTTCATGAAAATTCAGTAAAAAAATTGTATGAAATGTAATAAATGCCAGAATACAATTGGCATACAGGAAAATATAAAAGAGAAAATAGAACTGCTTGGGACAGAAGATCTATTCATGTTCTGTAAGAATTGCAGGGTCTGCTATATTTGTTATACAAAGTCAAGTGAAGTACTTGAGTATTGTAAAATGTGCGGGTACTCCTACCACGTACACCACTGCACAAGAACACAAACTGAAAAGGCAAACTGGTAATCCAGAAGAAAGAGTAGATGGGTGTGAGAAGTGCACAGAGTTACTTAAAGGGGTTAAATTTGATGGGTTGTTAGGACCAGAAATACCCGCACTTGAGAGGAGTACAGAAGAAATTAGCAAAGATGTGTCTAAGAAAGTATGCGATATTATAAAGAAGAACCGACCGGGGAAGAATTCAGAAGGAATACAAAAAGTATTTTTAGGAGAAGTGGAATTAACTCCTCTTTTTTCTTCTCCATATCCAGAGGAGTATGTTAAGCACCGGAACTTATTTATATGCAGTAAGTGCATGGAGTACTTCTCTACGAAATATTCCATGGATAGGCATCAGAGTAAGTGCATGATGGAATATCCACCGGGGAGACTTCTTTATTTAGATAATGATGAGACTGTAATATTTGAGGTGGAGGGAGAGAAAGAGCAGAAATACTGTCAGAGTTTATGTCTTCTAGCCAAGATGTTTTTAGACCATAAAACACTGTATTATGACGTAGAATCATTTCTGTTTTATATTGTAGGAGAGGTAAAGGATAATGTATTCCACATGCAGGGATATTTCTCAAAGGAGAAGGGAGAGGGAAGGAATAATTTATCGTGTATTGTTGTTTTTCCAGCGTATCAGAAATTGGGGATAGGTTCATTTTTAATTGATTTCAGCTACTATTTAACAAAAACCACAGGAACTGTTCCATATATAGCAGGACCAGAACAGCCACTTTCATCAGATGGTGAAAGGGCGTATCTCTCATACTGGACAAATGCTATTCTTAGGTATATTATGGATAAGAAGAACTTCACAAGTGAAGATCATACATTTGAGAAAATATCTGAATATACAGGCGTGTCTAAAGATAATATTAAATCGGCGTATAAACAACTTGTAAAAAGGTTCAATAAAGAACTAACGTACCATGATTTTATATCCAACAGAGACATAGTAAAAAGAACCAGACGAATAAAAAAAGGAGCATCTGTTCAAAAAAGTGTAGAGTGTAATAGAGATCACCCAGAAGATACAAAAATAATCCACTCTGAACTACCTCAAAATATACCAAATATTAATTAATAAACCGTTTTCTTATATTTTCATATTTTATATTCTATTTTTAAATAATTTTGTACACGTGCTCCTATAAAAAAATACATTTTATGGAAATTTCAGAATGTAAACCGTACGGAATAGTAAATTTTACTATAAAATATAATTAATAAGTAATATACGGCATAATAAAGGGAAATACTATTTATTAATTATCCCCGCACCCTTTGCTGGATGCTGTTGGACTCACACCAAACACCTTTGCTATTGCGAGGTAATTACTGTACCTTTGTTTGGCAGAGGCATTAGGGCCACCTTGGCACTCTATTGCCCCGTTGATGGCTTTTGTTGTTTCACCAAAGTTACTCAGTGGGGATTTTGATGTCATTACTCTAGTGTTCCAGTACCAGATACTTACAGCGGCTGCTATGGATTTATCAGTGGCCACTTGGTCTGGGTTTGTATAAAGTCTGTCATCTTTATAGATTGAATTACTTGCCTCTTTATAATTAGCAGGCCAAGTAAGCTGGATATATCCTCTCCCGAAATAATGCTTTCCAGGTGCACCGGCAACAGGGCCGTTTGCTTTGTTGGCATTGTCGTAGTTGGTGCATGGAGTATTAATACAAGCTTGCTCTATTAACATTGTTAACCCACCAGATTCGTGATAGATTTGAGCTAAAAACATACTCTTCTCATTATCACTCCAGTTGTTCTTGTTTATCTGTGTTATAAGTTCATTAACAAAGTCTTGTTTAGGACTGCCAGAGTACCCACATGCAGAAAGAGTCTTTTTTATTTGATCTGCAGTTATTGTGGAGACTTTAGTTGATGGGGCACCTTGGTTGCTACTATCGCCACTTTTGGTATTGCTTGCAGGGGGAGACGATGACTTTGTATCTGTCTTATTTGCAGTATTTGCTGGAGCTGGACTGTTCGCAGCAGGAGCCGCTGTGGCAGAAGATGCCTGTGATAGCATGGTTGAGTGTGATAATGAGCTTATTGGTTCAGGGTTAGATGGTGAAATAGGTGTTTTCTCTTGGCTGGTTCCATTTGCAGAGTCTTTCTGTGTGGGAAGAGTCTTATTAAACTCACCAGGGGTTATTTGTTCTGTTGTATCATTGTTCTTCGTGGATTTAGTAATGCCTGGTATTTTAAAGTCGATATTTCCCGTGCCATTGTCTTTATACTCTATTACAATATTGCCAGCTTCTGTGGGGGTAGACTCGCCACTCTGCTGATTTTTTGTACTGTTGCTAGGTGATAGTGCATTAGTGCTCTGGTCATTAGATCCAGGTATAGAATTCACAGCAGGTGCACTCTCACTCTGTGCGGGTGAATCAGTCCCCATCTGGGTATTATAATCATTGGATGCAGACTTAACTCTGCCACTGTCTGTAGTGCTTGTAGTGCTCTTCTCTGATTGATTAGTGTTCATTCCACTGCTTTGTTTACCTTCTGAGTCAGTATTACTCCCATTTTTATTAGATCCACTGCCACCCGGAGTATCCGACTGAGTTAAAGTGCCCTGATTAGAGGATGCCATGCCCTGGGATGAGTCAGTTATCTGTACAGCTATTATTCTGATTACTGCTGGATTTACTCCCACTATCACTGTTAAATCTATTATTAGTAGATGGATGCTTTATGGTAACCGTGGGTTCTATGTTGCTTGGTAGGGTTATAGTTACTGTGCTTATTTTTATCATGCTTTTGTCTGAAACACACTGCACCTTCCCATTAAGAGATGAACAGGTTTCCCCAGAAGAACAAGAGAATCTCGTCCAAGTATTATCCATTTTTTGTAAAAGCATATCATTCCCTTCACACTTAGCATCTATGAACAGTTTTTCAATATTTGCTATACCGTTTTTAGCAGATATCTTGCTTATGTAAAGTACTACTATACCGATTATATTGTGTGTTTTCATAAACATACAATAACCAAATTGCTTAATAGTACACATAAAGGATTTGTTTCACAATGCAAGATGAAACCGGAAACACACGCGCTCTACTTTATATTTAGAATTTGTCCATGGCCCTGCACTGTAAATTAAATTACAAATTAGAATGCACACATCTCAAGAACAGACCATAGAAATAAATACAAACCCATTAAGTAAATTGACAAAAGGTGTTGCATATTTAATAAATAGATTGAGAGAATGCCCAGAACAAATAGTAACAGATAAAACATTGAAAGAGTTAGTATCACTAAGCATTCTTCTGAACGAGAACAAAGAACCAATAGCAAAGGAAGAGTATCATAGGATAGAAATCCATCCGGAGCACAGTAAAAGAGTAAAAGACAGTGAAGACTACCAATTAATAAGATCAAATAAGAATGCTGTCATACAAATGGAAGAAACCACTGGTCAAGATATTTGTATGATAACACAAAAGGAGATAGAAGAAAGAATAGAAGCACCGTGTGGTCATGTATTTGACAAGAAAGGTCTTTTATTTTTTTATAGCACTGTACCGAGTAAATATAAATTTAAGTGTCCGTATGTGGGGTGTAAGAGTGACTGGCACAAAATGAAATATAATCCAAAGAAGAGTAAATAAAATTATTTAAATATTCAGATATATTCAGTATTATACAATAACAGTATAAGTTAGTCAGTGTATAAGTCAGTCAGTGTATAAGTTAGTCAGTAGATAAGTCAGTGTATGAGTCAGTGTATGGATTAGTCAGTGTATAAGTTAGTCAGTGTATAAGTTAGTCAGTAGATAAGTCAGATAGTCAGTGTATGACAGTAGGTATAAGTTAGTCAGTGTATGACAGTAGGTATAAGTTAGTCAGTGTATGACAGTAGGTATAAGTTAGTCAGTGTATAAGTTAGTCAATGTATAACAGTAGATAAGTCAGATAGTAGATAAGTCAGTGTATGAGTCACTGTATGCGTTAGTCAGTGTATGAGTCACTGTATGCGTTAGTCAGTGTGTATGAATTAGTCAGTGTATGCGTTAGTCAGTGTGTATGAATTAGTCAGTGTATGAGTCACTGTATAAGTCAGATAGTCAATATATGAATTAGTCAGTTAGTCAGTTAGTCACTGTATGAATTAGTCAGTGAGTGAGTTAGTCAGTTATAACAGTATAAGTTAGTCACTGTATGCGTTAGTCGGTTATAACAGTATAATTAGTTAGTCAGTGGATAATAATAATAATATTTTTTATGGTAGAGAATGAATATTCCGTGGATTGAAAAATATCGACCAAGTACATTGGATGAAATAGTGGGAAATAAAGCAGTTATGGATGTTTTTAAAATATTAGCAAAGGAAGAAAGCATGCCGCACTTAATCATAACAGGTCCACCAGGTATAGGAAAAACCACTGTGGCAGGTGCACTGCTGAATTATGTGTTTAAAGAGAAACAAAGCATAAGAAAAGAGTGCGTAATGGAATTAAATGCCTCAGATGAAAGGGGTGTTGATGTAGTGCGTATGAAAATAAAAGGATTCTTGCAGAAGAAGCTTTCTCATGATAGATTTCTAATACTGGACGAGTCAGATTCAATGACCACACAGGCGCAGCAGTCCATGAGAAGACTTTTAGAGAAATACGAGTCAGCCAAGTTCATTTTTATATGTAATGACGTGTCTAAGATATCTGATACAATACAAAGCAGATGTGCTATTTTACGACTCTCAGCACTCTCCACAGCAGATGTATCTGAAATAATTACAAGAACCGCAGAGAAAGAGAATCTTACGATAAGTGACAGTGCAATATCAATTATAGCAGAAACCTCAGAAGGAGATGCAAGGCAGGGATTAAACCTTCTACAGACACTTGCAGCAATTTCAAAAGTAGTAAACATAGAAATGGTTCAAAGAATGAGTCATGTCCCACCCATAGAAACAATTGACAGAATATTTTCAAAGAGTACCCAGGAGAAAGAAGCCCTTTCTTTACTAGATGCTCTTTTTGAGGATGGGTATTCATCAGAAGATATTTCTAAAATGATATTCAAACTGGGTAAGGACAGAGGAGAAATACTTTTACTTGAAAAGGCGTCATCCCTTCTAATGAAACTGTCAGATTCCATTTCTAAAGTGCATTTCTATTCTATTCTAATAGAGTACAAGAATATGCAAGAATGATCCAGTAGTAGATAATGTTCATATACTCTGCGATAATTACACTACGCATAGAAATAAGCATCAAATATAACGTAAATAACGGATAAATTACCAGAATAATAATAAAATATGTTAATAACGGAATTTATAAAAGAGTGATTTATGTGGGTATATTATAATAGTATTAGTACACACATAAATATATGTATACTCAGTTATTTATACGTAATAATTAGTCTATTATTATAACAGAAAGTATAATTCTGTTTTTATTTTTTATTGTATGGCAAAGTATATATAAATTTTATTTCCAACCCCATGTAAAATGGCATTTGATGAGAATGAGGCAAGTGGAATGGTAACTGACATGATCCAGACACAGGAAATTAGACCAAAACATATTATATTTATAAATGATGGAGGAGTAAAGCTAGTGGAAATAACTAGCATAGCAAAGTCCAAGCCAGGAAAGCACGGAGCAGCTAAATTCTGCTTCCAGGGAATTAACCTAGTTACAGGAAAGAACTACCAGTTCACAGAAGGATCCAAGACAAATCTTACAATTTGTACTCTTGTCAAGATCCCATGTGAGTTTATGGAAATCAACGAGAACGACAACTCTCTTGTTGTTCTTAATGAAGAGAATGCTGAAATTATTACAGTGGCCCTTGACAGAATCTCACCAGAAACCATTGAAGAGATTAAAAAGCATTCTGCATTAGTGGGTGCCAATGGAACTGTTAGATTTAAGCTTGTAGACACTCCATATTTAGTGGTTGTAACTGACATAACCTCAAAGGCAGAGTAAAGTGCCAGGAAAGTGTAAACACTCGATAATTTTGTGCAAGAGTCTTGTGCAAAGAGTGTTTCCGCTGTTTGTTGAAATATTCATAATTATAGAAGAAATAAATTCAAACTGGCCAAATAACCCGAAACCCTCTAAGACTTCCTTTATTTATTGCCACAGCAGAAGTGCTTAAATAGGCTCTGTGCTTAAATTTACTATTAAAATGCTTTCTATTCATGCAGCTGAATATTTCAAATACTTGCCTGCATGCCGCGTATACAGAGCCAATAAATAAAACACTTCAATAAATTCCGGGCTGTGCCAGGATATAAGATAGAGCTGTTTAAAATTAAGTGCTAGATTTATTTAATACGCTTATGCTGATCCACCAATGCTGCTGCTTCCGCCAGATCCAAGAATGCAGAATAAACCTCCTGCCACAAGTACAATTGCAAAAATAAATCCAGTAACAGTCATAAATGGACTGGTAATGAACCTGTACAGCTTGCCATGCCCGTCAGAAATTTCAATTGAAGCAAAGAATATGTGGGTAATAAAACCGTCATCATCTCCATCACTGCTGCCTCCATGATGGGGAGCATTTGGATTTTTAGCTGGTCCTGCGCCTGTTCTAGCACTTGGAGGAACTTCTGCCTTGACTGCACTTGAGATAAGTACAAGTGCAATCGCCATCATTAAGAAAATTTTTATGCTTTGTTTGTTCATTCTAGGAAATTCGTTATTTCTGATATAAATACTTTGTTTTCAAGTTTCCTTATTAATGTACCAATGATCTGATGCCACCTACACAAATCAGAAAGAGGCAAAGCGGAAAAAACCAATTCTTAAACAGAAAAGAAACAAAATATTCTACTCCATGCACAGCCGTCCAATTATTACGTCCTGAGTGTTCATTGATACATTTTATAGAGTCACCTGATTGACTGATTCCTGAACTCTCTGACACGTGTTCCGGCCTATTCTGAGGAAGTGCATCAAATGAGCCGAATGTGTTTTATAAATGGGGTAGAATAACATTTTATTAATTAATAAGAAATTCCCAGATACCACGCGAGTCATGTTTCAGGGGGTATTCGGGCTATTTCTTAGGGGGTTCATCCTCTGCCAGGACAATCACTTCATCAATTCGCAGGATGCTTATGGCTGCTTCTGTGGCTGCACGGAGTGCCTTTAATTTTGTGTCAAGTGGTTCAATTACTCCCTTCTTAAAGTTATCCACGACAGTGCCCTTTTCAAGGTCCAAGCCCATGTCCCAGTTGCACTTGTCGTGCTCAGAGAGTAGCTTAGCATACACTTCATTTGTATCCAGGGCGGCATTTACTAAAAGCGTCTTTGGGATTCTTAAAAGGGCATCTCCAAACTTCTGGATGACCACTTGCTCGTTTGTGCCGAAGGACAGGCCAAAGTTAGAGATGTACACACCAAGAGCAGTTTCAAAGGCACCTCCTCCTACAACCACGGACTTACTTTCCAAGGTTCTTTTAAGAGTGCACAGTCCGTCGTGTACACTTCTTTCCATCTCATCAAGTATTTGCTCATTGGCTCCCCTTAGAATAATAGAGGCACCTACGCCCTTTGAAGTGCTTATAACAGTACACCTCTCCTCCCCAAGGATTTCTATGTGTACACTGTCAGCCGTGCCAATCATGGGAACAAACTCTTCTCCAGTCACATCCTCAAAAGAAGAGTACACTTTTGTACCGGTTGTTGCAGCAATTCTTTCCAAGTCCTCTTTCTTGCATCTGCGTATGCCAAGAGCACCTGCTTCAATAAGTAATTTAGTGCACCCATCACTGATTCCCTTTGTAGTAAATATTACATTTACACCGTGTTTTAAAAGCTTCCTGATCTTATCGTGTGAGTTAGTAATCTCTTTCTCCCGAATTTTTTCTAAGTCGTCAGGTGTTTCAGCAGTTATTTTCACGGACAGCCCCATTTTCATCTGCTGTAAGTCCATGTCTAAGCACACAATCCGTGCCCTGTTAACTCGTGTGGGCATTAAATTACTGCTGGGTACACAGTTTATCGCATACCCAGCTATAAACATACTCTCATCCATGCTCTTCCCTTGCTTCTTTAGTATGTTAATCTCCTCAATTGGGTAGGATATGCTCTTGTCTAACTCAACCCGTTTCACGGCCTGGACAGAATCAACCATTAATTTACTGAATAAACCACTGCTGCACCTAATAACCTTGCTGGAAATAGTGCTCTCACATATTTTTAACAGATCGGCATGCCCCACGTGCTTCATTTTCTTCTCAAGAGTATTCCTAATAAACCCAACAGAATGCTTAAACGCAGTCTTGTACCCAGAAACAACAATCGTGGGATGTACGCCATCCTCTATTAAGCCTATCCCGTACTCTATTAATGCAGCAGCTAATAAAACAACACTAGTAGTCCCATCCCCTACCTCTTCATCCTGCTGTACAGCTAAGTCTATTAATATCCTCCCAGCAGAGTCCGTGCTCTGTAGTGATGATAAGATAGTTGCTCCATCATTCGTAATCGACACATCACCTATCTTGCTTATTATCATTTTGTCTAACCCATTTGGCCCATACGATGACTTGACCGTATTAGCAATGCTCATAATTGCTGACAAATTCTTGCTCCTTGCAGAACTTCCTGTCAGTCTCTCACCATCCACAAATAATTCTTGAACTGACATGGTATACTAAAATTATTTTTATTATATTCTGTTGTTATTGAGAGAGTCCATTGTTTGTATTTATGAGCCAAGAATTAAGGCAGCAAAGCAAGAATAAGAATTGTCTTTTTGAATTATTCAGAAAACACGTCAAATCAGGAAACTTAAAAAGATTCAAAAATTTATTGGAAATCCACGAGATAAGCCCAACAGAAATACGAACAAATTCAAATACGACACTCCTTCATATTGCTGCACTCTACAATAAACCAAAAATTGCCACTTTTCTTATGAGCAGTGGACTGTCCATGCACGAGCAGAACAGTAAAAATTACTGCCCATACTTCCTGGCAGTTCTGCATAACAGCAAGAGGGTCATGGAGTGTATGGAGAGATGAAATAATAAATATTTTTTATGAATTAATGGTTGAACAGTGTAATCATCCAGTGAGGATAGAGGGAATGTGTGGGTGCTGTGGTGCAGATGTGAATGAGCGGAGTGAGGAATTATTTACACTCCTTCATAATAACACAAGCTTACTTCTAAATAAAAAAGAAGCAGAGAGAGTTAATGAAGAAATGTACACTGGCACTGTTAAAAGCAAGAGGTTAGTATTGCTTCTGGATTTAGACCAGACAGTCATTCATACGAGTGCATCGGGAAAGTTCAAAAAGTATTTTGAAGCACTGAGGCCTTACTTAACCCAGGAGTCACCCGATACTTCTACTCCGGATAATGAAACAGCCCAAAGTACCCCAGAAATATCTGGAGATATGACGGCGTGTATAGAAGAATCCATAAGTAAAGAAATAAAAATGGGCTTAGACTGTGATAAGTCTAATAATATAAATAGTAACAGGACCAGGCGTATTACAGATATAAATATAGACCAAAGAAAAAGAAGAAAACTCACAGGGAGTGCTGAATTATTAGATATACAGAAAAAAAAGAAAGAACATTCAATGACATACGAGAAATAAAAATAGAAGGGCACTCTTATTATGTGAAACTACGGGATAATTTACAGTGGTTCTTAGAAGAAGTATCGAAATATTATGAAATACACATTTATACAATGGGGAACAAGTCGTATGCATGCTCTATTGCAGGGTTATTAGACCCAACGGGTAAATTATTCGGCAGCAGGATTATAAGCAGAGATGATAATTTCGGGTGTTTTGACAAGGACATAAAGAGACTCTTCCCAACAAATTCTAAACACGTGGTAATATTAGATGATAGACCAGATGTATGGGGATTTGTTGATAATTTATACCCAATAAGACCGTATTACTACTTCCAAACAGATGATATAAACAGTCCTGAAGCATTACAGGGCATGAAAAGTGCACTTTCTGAGGATGTAAGGAATAGTCCAGTAGGAGAAGTATTCAGAAACAAAAATGACTTAATCGAATTAATTGACAGAGAGTGTATATTAACGTATTTTGACAATGAATTAGAAAAAGTACTTTCTGGGTTAAAGGAGGTGCACACAGAATTCTTCTCAACGCAGCAGGACACTGCAAGTATCCTCAAAAAAAAGAAAGAAATTTTCAAAGGGTGCACAGCAGAAATATTTTCAAGTGTGAATGAGTACACGCTTTATTTAAATCTTTTGTTTAAGCACCATGGCGGACAGACTTTTAGTCATGGTTCAGTAAATAAAGTGACACACCTTATTACAACAGGAAATGGAAGAATAAGAAGTGTTTGGAAGAACAAGAAGGATCCAGTAATAGACCCCGTATGTGTGCAGGTGGAGTGGATGCACGAGTCAATATACGCATTTAAAAGGTTGGATGAAAAAGAGTTCATACTTAATGTAGATGACTTAGAGAGTGCTCAGGAAGAGCCAGATACAAACACGGCCAGTTCATCAGACGGTAATCACAGTAATGATGAGCTCATTGATTTAGAAGACAGTGCGGATACTTCAAATACAACAGGCGAAGCATTTGGGAGCAGTGATGATTCTTTGTATAAAAAGATACTGGATGATAATTAGATTAAATATTTAGGGATAATTCAGCGTATTAGTCTGTTTATGTGTTTGGTTTATTATGCCATATATTGGTTATTATTATAATTCGAGGGAATGTTTCAAAGACTGTTTAAATTACTTGGTGTATGATTATGCATGCGAGAAATGATTCGTACACTTATTATAGTATACGCTATAATATCACTTAGTCATAAATGCTTTGGTAAGTACATATTCGATGAAAGACTGGTACTATTCTCAGATGACAGACAGACTAAAGTACTCATTGATAAGGAATTAGTGCAGGGATTTACTACGCACAGTATTACGTACAGTAGGGACTGGATTAATGGGAAGTATACAAAAAGGATAACAGATGATACATTATACGATTTATCCACAGTAGGGTCACTGCCCATTCCAAAGGAGTACTTTAAGGGGTTAGAAGAGTTTTTCAGTATGACGGGTATTATAAGGTACTCAGAAAACAGAAAAATGGATTTCTCAGAATTCGTTGATGTGATCTGGGGGTGGACACACTTCCATTTAGACCCGAATGAAGTATTAATTGATATTCCTGAGAGTGCCCGGCCATTTACTAAAGTAGAGTGCTTTAAGGAAAACCTTCTTCTTCTGCTAAGGGCCAATCCCAGGATAAGGAATACCTTGCATAGTGTGATTAATGAGATAAACAGGATAAACCTACCAAATAGTCCTCTGCCCGCATATAAAATGGTACCCAGGGATAAAATACAGTGGTTTCTTAATGCAAAGCAGCATAATTGGATAAAAAGGTTTCTTGAACTGTGCCTGTGCCGTAGAATAGGAAATATATCCCTGCACGCAAAAGTAACCGAGAATATCCATGAGAGAAGTACCGTACAGCTCACTGTAAGGCCGTACACTAAAAGAACAGCAAGACAATCAACTGAACTATTCAGTACATTCATAATGAATAACAGCACGTATACCTTCTCAAATATGAACATTCAAATAGAGGAGAATACAATTATATCTGCAAGTATTATGAACGACTTATTCGTTATATTCGGAAGGACAGATACGCTCATATTAGACCATCCAGGCGGTGTTAGTCATATAAAAGAGTACTCGGCACTTCTTACAAGTATTTTACGGGATGAAGTTATAAGGAAGCAGAATCATTCTATTTCCCTGCTTAAAGGACTGATTCTGTCGCATACGCTGTTTATAACGGAGAAGGCTCTTGAATACCTGGAAAAAACGGACATCACGAAATTCGGGTTTAAAAAGTACTACCCGCCTTCTTATAGGGCAGAAAAGGCATACCACACAATCCAGAACATGATAAATAATTTCATTTCCAGGCTGCTCACTGGACAGTCGCCGATCTCCTCATCACTAGAATATTTACTGGGGCCGGACAGACTCTTCTTCTCAAAGCACGTGAAGTACGATAATCTTCCAAAATTAGGCACAATTGAGATCCATGTGAGTAACACAGTAAAGTCCGTTAATAGATCAACATTTACTATCCCCAGTACATCTACGGTTAAAACTGTCGTACTTGTTGAAGATGTAACTGCCAGTGCAAGGGATACTTATAATGTCTTATACGGAATATCTTCACTGCGGCACTTAACCACACTCGATGTGAAAAGAACAACAGTAAACCCAATGAAAGTCATCCCAATCCTGCTGGATATAAATACAAAGTATAAAACAACCATACGTGCAATTGAATTCCCGTATGCACCTGGTACTACCACAGCACACGAATGGCCGATTAGTTCGTTCATTAAATCGGTTCCCAGTATAAGAAAGTACGGAATTTACGTACCAGCAAATAACCCAGAAAGAACTCTTTTGCCTCTTATACGGGACATCCAAGATACATTCAAGACGGCATCAGCCGGTACGCGAGTGAATCTAACCATCAGAAATATCTCCATAACGAGTTATCACGGGATTAGTTCATATACGGTTACACCGCATTATATAAACCGACGCATGTTTATGTCCGTGTATAAAACACTGCCACTCCCCGTGGTGGGCAGTGGCAAGTATCCAGCAGCAGATGAAATTCTAAGAGTTCTGTCTAAAGCCACTGCACTGGATAATACTCCAAAAAATAGTGCACGCTAGGGTGCCCGTTATTTCTAATGTGAATAAATCTAGTACTTTCCTATAACGTATTTTATTAGTAATTTTAGTAGAAGGCGCTCATTGGGTCAATGCTCTTTGGGAGAGTGAATGGAGTGGCAAAGTACGTCTTTAATCCTTTAATACCTGCACATTCCTTCTCTATTGCCATGTCTATTATGCTCTGCTTTCCATCTACGTTTATTAAGTCTAATATTTCAAGATCTACGGCATTCTCAGTGGTCCAGTCTCTTATCGCACTTATCCCCTCTTCGTTCACCTCGATTGAGTCAATAAAGTCTCTCTTCAGAGGAACAAAGACAGAAACAGGATGGACAAATCTTTGGTTTACTACAGCGAATGTCATTCCATTAATCTTAGATGGTCCACTGATCAGAACTAAGTTCTTTGGAAGCTTTTTTACGATTACCCCTCTGAGAGAAGTGTACTGCCCTTTAAGAACCACCACAACCTGTCCTTCAATTATATCAGATCTCTCAGCGTCAGTGTGCCTCTTGTTCTCATCTATCCATCTGAGTACTTTGCTGGGAATGTCATCTGCTTCATACTTCCCATTGTCCTGCTTGTTTATTATAATGTTTCTAATCATCTGGGGGGCAGAAAAATAAAAAAATAAATAGAAATACAGAAACCGAAAAGATGCCCAGACGCACTGAATAATTAAAATATGCACAGAGGCCACTTAAAGAACACTTTTATTCCACTTACTGCCCTGTAAAATATTCTTAATTATCCATGATTATTGAAATTCGGGTTATTCGGGTTATTCATGAGCACTCCACACAGAATAAATATAAATTATGGACTGTAAGCATACGCAGACCCAGTCAATACGCCACACCCGTGCAGGAAGTAAAGTGAAATGTTTCTGTTTATTTTAGCAGTTTTCTTAGGTCTAAGTTCGGGTCAGCAGTCTTCTTCATTACTTTTGCTACAGCCATTTCAAAGTCATCTTTTGTTACATGAGTCCTCCTCTCTCGTAGTGCGAACATACCCGCCTCTGTGCAGACTCCCTTCACCTCTGCACCACTCGCACCCACTAATTTTTCTGATATTTTCGACAAGTCAATATTTTTTGTTAAATTCATTTTCCGTGAGTGAATTTTTAATATTTCGAGCCGGGCCTCCTCCTTCGGGGCAGGGAATTCAATTTTCCTGTCAATCCGCCCCGGTCGGAGCAGGGCAGAATCGAGGATATCTATCCTGTTAGTGGCCATAATCACCTTTATGTTCTGATGGGCTTCAAACCCGTCCAGCTGGTTAAGCAGTTCTAGCATCGTACGCTGTACTTCACTGCTCCCGTTGGAACCTTCCATCCTGACCGATCCGATCGAGTCTATCTCGTCCATGAAAATGATTGACGGGGCGTGCTCCCGGGCCATTATGAAGAGTTCCCTGACTAGCCGGGACCCTTCTCCTATATACTTCTGTACTAGCTCAGACCCAGAAACACGAATAAACCTGCACTGTGTGTGGTGTGCTACGGCCCGTGCTAAAAGAGTCTTCCCAGTGCCTGGTGGACCGTATAAAAGTACTCCCTTCGGCTGTGCTATACCAAGTGACTCAAACAGTTCCGGGTGCTTAATTGGAAGTTCAATCACTTCCTTAACCTCCTTTATCTGGTCATTTAACCCCCCAATCATATCATACGTTGAATCAGGCGTCTTCTCAACCATCATTAAAGACACAATCGGGTCAACCTTGGACGGGAGTACTTTATACAGTGCATACGTGTCACTCCGTAATGCGACCCGCATCCCAAGCTTAAGACTGTCATAATCAACCTGTGGTTCTACCTGTACTAAATGCTTTCCTTCAGTAGTTGTCTTCACTAGAATGATATTCTTCCCCATCTTCTTGGCTATTTCTCCCACTGTACAGGATGGTTCCTGTATTATGGCGATTTCTTCTTTTAACTGCCTGACCTGATGGTTCAGCGTGTTCTTTATCTTGTCTAATCTTTCAATATTGTGCTGCTTTTTTTCTATCCTTACTTTCAATTCTTCTGCTCTGCTCGTGTTGTACTGCTGAAGGATGTGCATAGATACAATACAAATAAAATAATTTATACAATGTAAATTAAATAAAATAACAGAACGCGTTGTAATTAGTCTATAAACTTATGAATACTTATGACACACTGTATAAATAATTATGCATGCATAATTACACTGTAAATTATAAATTTATGGGTGGTAAATATGCATTATATAATGAGCATTGTGTAATAAATTTAGTAATATTTATGGAATTAATGGTAAAATAGAGTGAATTATGAATAACACCAGAAGATTGAATACTTATTAATGATGGGATGTATTATATACAGTATATACGCATAAACAAGTCATTTAGTCATTCAAAATAAGAATTATTCATGGTATAAATATATACATGCTAAAATATATGATGTATAGTGTAATATATTTTGCATAGTTATCCATAATCACGGAGTGAAGTACTGCTGCATACGCCGTGGTGGCCAGCCCAAATATTCTTATTCTGAATATTTATGGGATAAATCTTTTTTTGTACGTTAATGGAGGACAGACTTAGGAATGAGCTTGGTGACATTATAAGCAAATCCTGTGGTATTGAAGTGGAGAGAGTAAATAAAGCCATTATGCGGAGTAAAACCATAAAGAACGGTGATTTTATAGTTCCATTCTCACAGCTCACACGGGACGAGGCAGTCATACAGACAGTAGCAGAGAGTATTAAAGAAGGCCATTCCATCATAAAGAGAGTAGAGGTAATTAAGCAAATGCTCTGTATATACATAGATGTAAAGGGAATAGCAAAAGAATTAGTCATAGATATACTTACCAAGAAGGGCGAGTACGGGAGCAGCACAGAGGGGAAGGATAAAGCGGTTGTGATTGATTTTAGTTCTCCAAATATTGCGAAGGTGTTCCATGCAGGCCATTTAAGAACCACAATTATTGGGAATTACATCCAGAACATATACAAGAAGATGGGCTACAAGACAGTTGCACTGAACTATTTAGGCGACTGGGGGAAACAGTTTGGATTCTTAGCCATAGGGTACACAGAAGACCAGAAAGCGTGCAATGGAGAGTCTGAGAGGATGAAAGAGGATCCAATCAGGTACTTGAATGACATATACGTACGCATGAATAAGAGGGCAGAAGAAGACCCCTCCCTGCACGATAAAGCCAGGGAGTTCTTTAAGAGAATGGAAGATGGTGATGAAGAAGCAATGACTCTGTGGAGTAAGTTCAGGGAGTTAAGTATATCTAAGTATAAGGAAATGTATGCCAGTATGAACATATACTTCGACGTATACTCAGGAGAGAGTTTCTACGGGGGCCAGGCGGCTTTAGATAATATCCTGTCTAAGCCGTACTTAGTCCCGTGTGAGGATGGGTCAAAGATAGCTGACTTAGATAGGCTTGGTAAGACGGTTTTAGTGAAGAAGGATGGGTCGACTATTTACATCACAAGAGACGTCCTCTCAGCACAGGACAGAATTAAAACGTACTCACCGCATAAGCTTATATACGTAGTGGCCAGTCAGCAGGACCTGCACTTCAAGCAATTATTCAACCTTATGGAGATGGATGGTTATGACCCAGCACTATTCCTGCACATAAATTTCGGCATGGTCAAGGGAATGTCCACCAGGAAGGGCACTGCCGTATCCCTGTCGGATATTATAGATGTGGCACAGGAAGCCGTCCTTGAGAAAATGGAGGAGAGTGGTAAATCAGACCAAATAATCGATAAGAGAGACACTTCAAGGAACCTGGCACTCTCAGCGATTCTTATACAGGACTTTAAAGCCAAGCGGATCAAGGACTATGAGTTTGACATGAAGAAGAACACTTCATTCATTGGTGATACGGGGCCGTATATTCAGTACACTCTGTGCAGACTGGCCAGTATTAGCAGGAATTCTATTTATCCTGTGGGGAGTCCATTAGAACTGGACTTTACTGATTTAGGCAGTGACAAGTGCTATGACCTCCTATTTCTACTTGGCAGGTACCCTTCTGTCCTATTGGAGAGTATCAGGACGCATGAACCATCGATTATTGTTACGTATATCCTGCAGGTGTGTCAGTTAGTTAACTCTATCTTCCGTGTTATATGGGTGGCTAATCAGCCTAAAGATATTGCCAGGGCGAGACTTGCGATGTACGAGTCAATCAGATACGTATTGGCAGATGCCGTAAGTATCCTGGGCATGAAACCATTAGAAGTGATGTAATCCATTAGGCTAGATGTTCATAATCTGACAGTTATTCTGATAAGAATAATTACTTATTTATCCGTTATAATAAATATTATAAGTATAATTACCATTAATCATTACTAATATACAGAATACTCAAATACACACCAGTATAATAATGTATAATATAGGCTAGTTATGTATAATATAGGCTAATACAGTATATTACAGACTAATAATGTATAATGCCAGCCTAATACAGTCTAAATATAGTCCTTATGCCTAATACCAGTCTAATACAGTCCTTATGTATAATTATGTATAATAATGTATAATACCAGCCTAATTATGTCAATCATATCTAATACCAGGCTATTTATGTATAATACTGTATAATACATTCCTTATGTCTAATTATGTATAATACAGATATTTAAGCCTAATCATGTATAATACACTCCTTATGCCTAATACAGCCTAATATAGTCTGTTAATCCTAATTCACTCCTTTAAGCCTATTCCTGCCTAATGCAGTCCAATCCTGTCTAATACAGTCCTTATGTATAATGCCAGTCTAATACAGTCTAAATATAGTCCTTATGGTTAATCATGTCTAATACAGTCCTTATGTCTAATACCAGTCTAATACAGTCCTTTAAGCCTAATCATGTCTAATATACCCCTTATGTATAATACAGTCCTTATGTATAATTCAGTCTAATCTACTCTAATACAGTCCTTATGTATAATACAGTCCTTTAAGCCTAATCCTGCCCATTCCAGTCTAATCCAGTCTAATACTGCCTAATCCTGTCTGATTATTTTATTTAGACTAAATTTATATTATAAACACTTTGCATGCAGGAGAAATTGGTGCCTTTAATCGTGCTCGGTGGAGGTGGTCACACACAGGAAATAATTGAAGTCATGAAAAAAGGACCTGAATTCTTGAATGTTTCACTCATTTGCTCACCTTGTGATCACCTCTCAGAAAGACACTTTATTAATGAAATATCCCCAATGAAGTACTCCCTGTATACAGTGCCCAGACCAAATACGGTACTTGCTGCATACTCCCTGTTACAAATCATACATTCCCTTGTGATGGCCTTTTTAATAGTATTCCGTGCTAAGAGTGACTTTCTGATATGCAATGGTCCTGGGATATCTGCACCCATTGCGGTTGCGTATAGAATCCTGTTCCCATTCCGTAGAATATTTTACATTGAAAGTATGACCAGGACTAAATCACTCTCCACCACGGGAAGGATAGTTCAGTATATTGCAAGTACATTTATAGTGCAAAGTAAGGAATTATCCAGTGCCGTATACCCATACAGAACGTATCATAACATATTTACTATAAAATGCATAACCCGATATAACCCGAATTATACTTATAATAAACACAGTGATACGGCCATCACCGTATAAGTGCACGTATCTAAGACTGATCTATAAATACACCTGTACATACGGTGATATAACCAAAATATAAGGCAGGGATCTAATAATCAACGGAAGTATAACCATAAGGACTATAATAGTACTAGTATAACCATAAGGACTATATGTCCGTATGGGCACAGACTGCTTCATAATACAATAAATACCGTATCCCATTAACTCTCCTATACCGGACTATAATAGTACCTGGCCCATGGTATTACTCCTTATTAATACTTTACTTATACGGTGGTCTCTGGTATATACTTATGATTATAATGGTATAATTAAGGTATAATCTACTCTTATGCATATTTTATTATTACATGTGCTGTGCTTACTGTGCTTCAGATGCATATCTTATACTGCTGTAAATAGACTAAATACTTTAAATGTAAGTGATACTCCCAGAATAATTGATATCCCTGCAATTATTATACTCGTATACAGGACCCTGTTCATATTTATACTGTTCATACGTACTTGGTCATTATTATACGCACTCGATCTGTGCAGTACTTTAATTATATCCAGCATAATCCATTTAATAACCCAGCAGACTGGCCAGCAGAAAGTGCCTTTCTCTACGTAGCAATAAATATCTGTGTGGTCACCCATTTCAACAGTCCTTTTAAAGCATATCCTTGAAATAACTTGTGCCTCAGGGATAAATTTGAGCACCTTTATCGTAGAGAACAGAAGTATCGTGGGGTACTCCGTGCCTTCATCGGCCGTATACGTTTCTGTATACAGTACTGAAAATATCCGGATATCTTTGTACTTTATGTGCTTCATGAAAGACCTCTTCTTGACCTTATTCTCCCAGGTTGTATTGCTTATGAGCGTATACCCGTGCAGTGAAAGTGATTTTATTTCATCCTCTGCTTCTGGTATGAATTTATTCTGTAATAGCGTGCTTGGACTCTCTTCTGTGCTTCCTATTAGGACAGGATGTACACTTTCATATTTTGAATTGTTATACCACTGGCATAAGTCTAATACGTCCCTGTACGTACAGAATATCTTCAGCCATACGGTTTCCGTCTTTAAAATAATCAAAGACTCAGCAGGACGGAAGAATACGATCTCATTCTTCTGAATTGAATAGTTCCATCCGAATACCATGTCGCATATAACTAAGACATCTGAAGATATCTGGAATACCCCCCGGAATAAATTATCTCCAATCTCGAACCGGGCGAAGAAACTTGCAACTTCCGTGCTCTTGCTCTTCCTCTGGAATAAGAATCCTTCCTTGTCCGGGATAAGTTTCCTTTTAATAAGTGTCTCCACGGGGCGTACCATTCTTTCTTCATTTACTGGCCTGTACTCATTGGTTATTTTTCGTTTATGTCTCTCTAACTCGTCCGGTGCCAGCTGTGCGAGTGTAGTGACCTCCTTGGTGATCATTGGTGAGATGGCATTGTCCACTGAATTGTACTGGTACTCCTTCATTCTCTGTATGCTTAGACAGTGCCTGGCATGTTCTACAGATACTTTTTCAATGGATTCAATCTCATTGAATATTTCCTTTAACAGGGTAAGCGACAGCTTGTTCATCTGTATGGAGAAGTTCATCTTATGCTGTGTAAAGTTTACTTTCTTCTCGTATAACTGAAACTGTCTCTCTAATTCTAATGATCCTTCTGTTATACTCTCAGTCCTAATGAATGACAATAATCCGTCGTACCGATTCTTAGCATGCTTATACTCCTCACTCGCTTTCTTGATGATTTTGTTTATGCTTGAATGGATCGATTCGGATGTACTGCTAATGCTTGGGGGCATGAACAGATGGCTGTACTTGAGCACTCTGCTGTGGTTAAGCTTCTTCACTGGGACGGCTCTTTTGTATATTTCAGAATTCTCAATTGCTTCTATTGAGTGCACGTACTCCACAAAGGCTGTCCTGAGCTTCTCTATCTGTAATTCAAGTAACTTCTTCTTTTTCTCGTACCCTTCAATGTCTTTCTTTAAATCCTTCATGGATTCGTAAGCTGCCCTGGATTTCTCTAGAAATTCAAACCCGTCTGCACAGACATTTTCTAATGATAGTTCCATGGACTCTAAGAAGCCTTTCTCTCCCGTCTCTCCTGCCATATTTTAAAATAAAAAACCATTCTCAGATTGTGGTCTTATATGGTTAATGCGTAATAAATTCTGAATATTTTCCAGGTGGTGTAATAAATTCTGAATATTTTCCAGGTGATTTATGCATTATAATATACTATTATTTATTACCGATTTAAGCAAATATTCTATTATTTATACACAATAGACCAATAAATTCTGCATATACGATTAGAACTTATTACACTATTAGTAGAATGTTTTGTTATTATGGTAATAAGTTGTGGTTTTATGGTAATAAGTCTTGGTCTCGTATGAATTTTAGTCATCTAAGGTTTCAAAGTCTAAGTTGTCGAATAAGTCCAATTTGCCAGTGGACGTCTCCGGGGCGGGCATGGACATCTCAGAGAATTTCTTGTGCATGTAATTAAGCGCCTGGTCAGTGAGGAAACCCGTCCTGACTGAAAATACTTTCTGTGTAAACCCTTCTGTTTCTTCTATCTTATCGTATACCTCTGGATTGTCCATGATAACGAATGCTTTTGATACATTCTTCCATACATATACCTGATATTTATACGTGCTTGGATCCTTCCTGGGGTCATACCCGTACTTAACCCAAAGCTTCTTCCATGGGCCTGTAGAGTACGTATACGCAATGCATGCAAGTATATTCTTAACAGATGACCATTTCCACGACTGAAAGTCTTTCTGGTGCTCCTTAAAGTACTTCTCAATGCCTTTAATCGGCCAGATAGGCCTCTGCGTAAATGCTCTGTTCAGTACATCCTTAAACATACTGTAATTCTGTCCAATCTGTGACCGTACTGTATCCTCTACTTGTGAATCTGCCTCTGGAACACGCTCCTCTATCCGGATCTTCTTTACTAAAAATGTCCTTCTCTGCGTATTCTTAAGCTCTTTAAAGTTGTAGTACTTGAACACCCCGGAGTGCGTGGTCAGTGGAACAGGATAAAATGGAATCGGATCGGATTTAACATGCTGATTGAAATACCCTTCAACCCCCGTTGAAATGTCCGCATTAAGCAGATTCCTCATCTTATCATAAAAATAAACCGATCCGCACGGCATCGGAATGTAAAAATCCGACAGGATCGGAGTCATCCGTACACCCACACAGCCGTAAATCGTTGTTTCCGTGGTGCTCTGCACAGCAATAAACATGTTGGAATCAACCCGTTTCTCTTCTAAATGGATCTCTTTCCTCTGCGGTGACTCTCTTAAATATAACGAGTCATCTGCCCAGGTGTACGCCTCGTACCCACCCGGCAGAGAAATAATAGAAATACTTTTTAGTTTCTCCTTTATAAATAAATTATGCATAAGAATAAAAAAACAGAGTAAATATTTATGCTGCAGAATGCACTAATGGGGATGAAGAGGGGGAGAGGTGCTTTGACTAATTATCGGCCTAACCCGTACAGTTTAGTATCTTTTGCGTCTACGTTAACGTTCTTTTCGATTATTTTAGGTATAAAGTGGGTTATTTTAATATACGTCCTGTACTACATAACTGCGTGTAAGAAGGTTATCCTGTACTACCAGGCTACAGAGAGCAATGGTTTTATTGTTTCAAAGCTGAAGGGTCTTGAGAAAGTGTTTTATCCGCATATTTTATGGATTCTTCCGCAGATTCAGACTGTGTCGTACTTTGTACGCACGCCATTACAGCAGAGGCATACACAAATAGAAATAACACAGGATGATGGAGGGTCTTTTGTGATTATGGTGTACGAACCAGAAGTACTTGCCACGCATACGGTTATTGTACTGCACGGTCTTGGTGGGTCGGCTAATTCAAAGAATGTACGGATACTTGCCTCACACCTTATTAAGGAGGGGTACAGAGTGATCGGGCTGAGTGCCCGGGGGACTATTAAAAAGCTTAAAACCCCGGTGTTCTTCCATATAGGGTGGAATAAGGATTTAGTCACTACGTTTAAGTACGCCCTGAGCACGTACACTGGGAGTGTCTCTGGTGTAGGGTTTAGCATGGGCGGTCACTGGCTGACAAAAACCTTTGGTGAGATGGACGTGCACTTTACAGAAGATGAAATATCCAGGATAAAAGGGGGCATGGCAATTTCGATCCCCTTTGATTTTGTAAAGATATCTGAGTATATGCAGAAACCAATCCCCAGGCGGATATACAACCGAGAATTCGCCAGGAAGATCCATAAATTCATACAAAGGAACAGAGACGTATTTGAAGAGAATGGGTACCCAGTGGATAAATTACTAAAAATGAACACGATGCATGAATTAGACGTAGCACTTACTTCTAAAGTATTCGGTATCACAGACCTACAGGAATATTATCATAAAGAGTCCTGTGTAAATGTTATTCATAAGATTAGGAAGCCATTCTTTATACTGAATTCAAAGGACGACCCAATTGTCCCGCATTATACAATACCCATAAAGGAGTGCATGCAAAGTACTCATGTTATACTCGGGCTAACTGAGCGGGGTGGGCACATGGGCTTCCTGGGGTACTCAAACCATAAAAGTTATGCAGAAGATGCAGCAATTGAATTTATTTCGGTTATATCTGCACTATAAAGGGAATTTTCAATTAAATATTCAAATTGTCAGTTATTCTTAATAAATATAATTTTTATTTTTGTGTTTTTATAAAATGTGTTCATTCTGCACGTGATCCTGAAAGGGTTTATAAATAAAAATAATTCATAAATAAGATTACAGTTATAATAAGAGAAGTATATGATAAGAGTATATGATAAGAGGGGTATACAACAGAGGGGTATATGATAAGAGTATAACAGAGAGTATATATGACAGGTGAATATTCGGGTTATATATAACAAGACTATGCGACACAAGTATAACAGGTCTATATGATAAGAGGAGTATATATATAATAAGAGGAGTACAATAGGAGTATATATACAGTATGAGTATAACAGATCTATAACAAGAGCACAATAGGCCTATATATATAACAGAGAGTACAATAGGAATACACATATAATAGGAGTATACAACAAGCGGGGTATACAGCATGAGTATATGATATGAGTATATGACAGGTGACTATAATAGGAATACACATATAACAGGAGTATATATATAACAGAGGAATATCAGTGACAAGAGTATATATATAACAGAGAGTATATATACAGTATAAGTATAATATGTCTATATATACAGCATAAGAACTATAACTGGTCTATAATATGTCTATATATATACAGTATATGTATAATAGGAGTGTCTGGTGTGTACCAGTATATTTATGATTAAGTAAATTTAAGCTGTTTATTAGTCTATGTTGTACCCTACCTCAGACATATTTGTACCGATCGGAATGGGCTTTCCTATCGTAAGACAGGATGAAGGGTTAATTAAATTATCAACTGAACTGTCTACGATCGTGTCCTTTATGAAGGTATACGCAGTCTCATAGGATATCCTCTGGATAGGGGACCCCATCACACTAAATGCACTCCTGTTGAATGAGATAATTGTTCCCTTATGGGTCATGTAGTCAGCAATCAGTGACAAGTGCCTGTAATCAATTGTTATACCGTACACCTCAAATACAGCTGCTATCTCCCTGATGATAGAAGACCGTGCTGCTTCTATCCCAAGCGTACTGAACATTTCCCAGATACTGTTTGATCTTACAGTGGTTACATCCATTAAGTCACAAAGGAGTGAGTCCCCTACCCGGTCAAATAATGAGTGGATACCCCCCTGCTGCACGAAGTACTGGCTGTTATTGTACGTACAGCTCTCAAATGTAGCACCTGTCTCCAGGTACATCTTGCTGAGTATGCCCTCAATACGGGGCATGTAAAGTGTCTTATACGCTGCAGACGTGTGCAGGGTTATGTGAATTGTAGTGCCATCATTAACACAGGAGGGTTCTTCAAATTTACCTTCAAATTTATCCTCTTCATGGTCGGATTCTTGTTCATCCTTCCCGTCCTCATCTGAGGGTTCTTCATCTGAGAGGTCTTCATGGCTGGTGCTTGATGATGATGCATCCTCATCCTCATCCGGGTTATCCAGGACGAGTTCTTTGAGTTCCTTTGAGGTTTCGGTTATCTCCTGGGATGCAAGTGATTTGAAGAACATCTTCATGTTCCTACTGAACCTGACAAAGAACTCGCTTCTTAAGGCACTCTCCACGGCATCTAATACTGCACTGAACGGGGTAATCGATATTTTTAGTTGCTGTACTGGTGTAGTATTATACAGCAGCACTTGCTCGGATAGTTTTATGCCTGTGATGAGTGACAGGAGGCTCTTGCGGCCTGAGACATTTAGGATCTGCTCCTCCCCTGGGGTTGGTGGCCGCTTTGCTTCTACAGTCATAATCGGGGTCTTTATCTTTTTAGTGGCGTGCATGACCAGCTCCTTCAGCCGGGGCATGCCGAGAGTCACGTTCTTTCCCCCAACACCGGCTAAGTGGAAGGTGTTCAGTGTCATCTGCGTAGAGGGTTCTCCCACACTCTGTGCAGCAAGTACTCCAACGGCTTCACCCGGTTCTGCTGTGCATTTAATGTACCTCTCCCATAAATTATCCTTTCTTATGCTGCGCTCAGATGACTTCAAGTACTTCTCAGAGACTCGCCCTGTAATAGTACGCATATTGTACAACTCGCCCGTGTTTATGCCCAGTACGCCGTGTATCTTGCCATCGGATACGCCGTGCTGGTTCTGGTTGAAGAATTCGTGATTGTGCAGGTACGCCGACTTCTCTGGATGAATGCCGTCTTCTCCGTATACCATCTGAATAACAGAACCATCTGCATCCTTCACAGACCCATCCACATCAATCCGGAGACCTTCTAAGTGCTTAATAAGACACCTCTGCAAGTATCCTGACCTACTGGTCTTAACGGCCGTATCAATCAATCCCTCCCTTCCTGCCATGCAGTGGAAGTAAAACTCCTCTGGGTGCACTCCCGTTAAGAACCGCTGGGCAATAAACCCGTGCGCCCGTGGCGTATTCTCCAGTGGGTTGAACGTGGGAAGAGTTCTCCCAGTGGGCATCATCGGCACACGCATTCCTTCAAGTTCCTGCTGGCCAAGCATAGATATAATTTGGCCTAAGTTCACTAAACTGCCCTTTGCACCCGAAGCCACCATAATGTACATGCGGTTACTCTTTCCCTTTGTGCACAGACCAGCACTCGTTATATCAAGAACCTTTGAGGAGCACTCACTCGTTGGCTTCCTCATCTCTGCATCCAGCTCCTTTTTATCCTCAGGGACTTCTCCGATCGCAGCGATCCTAGAGACTTTCAAGAGATACTCCGGGTTGTTCTCCAAGAACGTGTTTGAGACACTACTCCCCTCAAGGAGTCCCTGCTCAATTTCTTGCCTTCTGCAGTGCTCAGCACCTTCAAATATTGCCAGGTCGTCCATGGTGCACGAATGTCCGAATACGACCAGTGCCCGATTAAGAAGTCTTCCGATCGCCGTTAGTAAATTATTGCTCATGGCACCGCCGTACTTCTCATTCACTGCATGCGTCAGGCCGTATGAGGAAGTTCCGATCTGCGACTTATCCAGGGACCCGCAAATAACCACACCATTCCGGGTTATAAACTGGTCACTCAGCTTGGTCTTGCACGATATGCTTATGTCGATGCCTAAGTTGCGAATAACCCCTGTGATGCACTGATTTCCCGTATACTTCCTTACTGGCCTAAGAATTGCAGGCTGCTCCAGGGCGTACTTCTTTATGCTTGGAATGTTCCCCAGAGCTGCCACGAGTAGCTGGGCGTACTCGTCCTTCTCCACGAAAATATTCTTCTGTGAGAGGATTGCCCCCATAACCACATGGTCCTGTACATGGCCACGTACGGGTGCCCCATTAGTTGCAGAAATAAAGCAGTGGTTAGTTGAGCACACTTCAGCCACTTCCACCTGCGATGCAATATCCTGTGGGAAGTGAACGTTCATCTCGTCCCCATCAAAGTCGGCATTGTACGAGTTACAGTTGACATAATGAAGACGGATGGTCCTCTCCCTTGGGAGCACCTTTACTTTATGCCCCATCATACTTACTTTATGCAGGGATGGCTGTCTGTTAACCAGGACATTATCACCCGATCGCATATGCCGCCATACTCTGCGAATATTTCCCTCTATTTTCTGTCTGTCCACCTCCCCAGTGAACACCTCCTGGGCATCTTTGTCCGTGATGGAGTGGGCATTGAATGACGTGCACGTAAGTAGCTGATTAGCCAGATGGATCCTCTTATCACGTGATATGTACTTTAAGCTGATAAGCCTGCCTGATGAATCCTCTACAAATTCAGCACCTGGATATTCCGGTCCGTTAATCACTGCCTGCCGTAACCCTTCAATATTAACAGGGGATATCCCCACGGGAATGGTCAATTTAGATGCAAATTCAACGGGAAGGCCCACTTCATCCACACCAATCGCTGGATCAGGTGAAATAACCGACCGTGCAATATAATTAACCCGCTTCCCCATGATGTTCTTCCTGAATATACCATCCTTCTTCTCAATAAGCTGTTTCAGACCCTGTGCCTGTGCTTTATTAGATGAGGATACGTCCCTGGCTGAGTACAGTTCACTAACAACCTCCTGTAGCTTTATGTAATTAGCAGTGACTGATTTAGCCGACCGATCCTCTAAGTTAAATACGTCTATGCATACACTGATGATATTCTGGTACGCCACTGTCCTGGGATTCGGTACGATCGATTCATTAGCAAGCTTATTCATCGGCCGGAGCTGATTGGGCGTCACTAGGACGACCTCAATGAAAAACATGGGCAGCAGGAAATTCGTGCCCTGCACCTTCCTGTGCATACTCGGGAAGAGTTCTCCTAATAATCCCTCTTCATTCTGCGTGAGTTTCTGGACCATCTGGACAGCTTCAATCGGAAGCAGTAATTCTTCCTTTATCACTGAAGGACCTTCTTTTGACTGAGCTTCTTTCTCAATCAGGATACGCAGTGATCCGCTGGTTATTTTTCTCTCTGATGATCCGCACCACATGCACGCCTTGTTCTGTAACCCGAAGAATCTGTTTCTTATGGCGTGTGTCATGGTCTCTACTGAATCCTCTTTCTGTGCAGTGCCCTCTGTGATAGTATTCTTAAGAACCTCCTTTACTTCCGCATACTTCATGTCCTTTAATAAATCACCAACTTGTGCTGCTTCTATCTCATACCCGTACCGTGCTAGTTTAATCTGTGCTGTATACCCTTCTGATTCATCCTTGCCCATACGGAACCTATAACAAACCGTACAAGCCTGTTTAAGAACCTTTGTTAGTACGTCATACGTCATTGGGTTATAAACAGGGAGTGGTAAGTCAATATGCCCAAAGTGTCCCAGGCACCTGTTGTACCCAAGATTACAACTCCCACAGGGTGACCCAGAATCCATTGCACCAAGCCTTGAATCATGCAGTCCCCCTACAACAGAATGTCCCATGTCATCGTATAGCATGGAATCAATCACTTTAAGAACACTTTCATTTTTAATCTCCTGCGGTGTAAACATCTGCATATTTAGTCTCTGACCTCTGAACAGTAATGGTCTTTCCTTGTCCATTCTTTAAGTAAAAAAATATTTCTTAGAATTTAACTGCACCATAAAAATATTCGCTATAAATATTTAATAAACCAGCGTATTATAAGTATAATATACGTATATTAGGGTTATATCGGGCTGTACTGTAATATACGTATAATAGACATATTATACATATTATACTGTATATTCGGGTTATATAAGTATATTCATACTGTATTACATCTATTATTAGGGTTATATCGGGTTATACTGTAATATACTCTATTATACTCTGTTCGGGTTATACTGTAATATACTGTAATATGTCTATTATACTGTAATATATACTGTATTATACTCTATTATACTGTGCTATATACTATATTATACTGTATATAGACATATACATGCATATTATACTGTGCTATATACTGCGTTATACTCTGTTTGGGTTGTACTGTATATTCATGCATATTATTCGGGCTGTACTGTATTATACTGTATTATACTGTAATATACCTGTTATACTCATGCATACTCTGTTATACTCTGTTATAAGTATATTCATATTGTGATAATTTGAATATTCTTGTGATTTATTAAAAATAACGGATATTTCCTATAATGGACATAATTACTCTTTTTAGTAATTATTTCATTATCTTATATCTATAAATAGAATATTTTATAAGTTATTTCCTAATTTGTAATTTATTAATTATCCATATAAATAAATTATTATTCTGCTCTTTGTTTATGTCACAGAGTATCGACGTAAGTGGGAGGTACACAGACACAGGGAATATCCTACAAATAGAATACGCCAGGAAGGCAGCAGCAAAAGGACACACAACAATAGGAATACAGTATAAAGATGGAGTTATACTAGCAGTGGATAAGAAGGCACCTTCAAAATTAGTGGACATTAAGAAGTACCTGTTCATAGAGAGCATATCCGATGCATTCGCACTGGCATACACCGGAATGGGCCATGATGCATTCGTGTTAAAGCATGAACTTAAAAAGTACTGCATAGAAGTACTGCAGGCCAGGGAGAGGGAACCATTAGAGGAAGAAATGCTTGATCAGATCAGGATGTATTTAGTACACTTTACGTCATATATGTCATGGAGACCTGTCGGGTGCGAGTTCTTGCTGTCCTCACAGGGTGCACAGGGCGTGAACCTATTCCATATTGATCCGTCAGGTGCAGTGAATAAGTGCCGTGCTTATGCGGTTGGTCTTAATGCACAGGCTGCTAAGACTGAGTTAGAGAAGGTTCAGGACATAACCACACGGGATGATGCCGTACAAGCAGCCATCCGGGTACTTCACTTATCCAAGGATGAGCTGTCAGATGGCTTGTTTGTTATTGAGATGGTTGAGGTGTCTAAGGATGCTGGGATTAAACGGGTGCCTGAGGATGAGATTAATTCAATTTCTGAGGGGTTTATTAGTGGGCACAGTTAGTGGATTATATTTTGATATTCGGGTTAATTCGGGTTATAATAAATTGCATAATTAATGATCCATTTGCTATTAAGTATGAATAAATACACATTGTGTATAAAGTACTTTTGTGTTTATTGTGATTTATAACAGGATTTACGCATTATGATTTATAATACTTTATACATATTGTGCATAAAGTACTACCGTATAATATACGTATACTTACACTGTGTGGATGTATTCGGGTTATATCGGGTTATTTATATTATTAAATTTATGCTAACTGCTGTATATATCCCGATTATTTTTTATTTATATTATGTTTAGTGGTAAAGACAAGCTGTTCGCTTTGGATAAAGGCACAACCACGGCGTCATTCATTACAAAAGATGGGATTGTTGTGGCAGTAGATTCCAGGGCCACTTCTGGGTCGTATATCGCATCACAGACTGTTAATAAAGTCATACAAGTGAATAAGTACTTGCTTGGTACCATGGCAGGTGGTGCTGCTGACTGCTTCTACTGGGAGAGAGCCATGGGAAATTATGCCATGCAGCATGAATTAAAGTACGGAGAAAGAATCCCAGTGGCAGGTGCAGCTAAATACCTTTCTGCTACGCTTAATGCGTATAAGGGCCGTGGTTTATCCATAGGGAGCATGGTATGCGGGTGGGGTTCATCTGGTCCGGCCATTTACTATGTGGATGATTCAGGTAACTGTGTAAATGGCAAGTTATTCTCTGTTGGGTCTGGGTCACTGTTCGCTTACGGTATCTTAAACACAGGCTATAAATACGAGATGGACAAAGAAGATGCAATTGAATTAGCAAGACGGGCGATATTTCATGCTGGTCACAGTGATGCGTATTCTGGTGGTACTGTGAATATTTACTTTATTGATGAGACTGGGTGGAGTAAGGTTGACTCACAGGATGTGTCCTGTTTATATGATAAGTATATGGAATAACCCGAATTAACCCTAAATTATTCTTAGTGTAATTATAGTATTAAGAGTAATTTACGGACACTTCAATTATTACAGAAATTAAAAATATAAAACCCCTTCATTTTTATCTTTACTAAATTAAAACTGGACACTTTCAATAAAATCAAAATTCGTATATTTATATTTAGGGTTATATCGGGTTGTAATATTAAACGTATTAATTAAATTTATTATTATGAATTTTTTATTTACCGATACGCATGAAGAGAAACAAAAGCAGTGCCTGGCTGAATAGCTTAATATTATTAATAATGCGTGGGATGAAGCACGTAATGCTCCCATTTGATATAAAGGCAGTGTTAGTCATAGGGACAGAGTACGTATTAGAGTACATATACGGTATTATGCACAGTGAGAGTAGAATTAAGGAAAGTCCTTCAGAGGCAGGTATAGATACAGAAATCAAGGACGTGCCCAGGAAGAGTGCAGTATTATTAGATGGAACCAGTAAATATGGAAGTATCCTGCGGGATAAGCTCATAAAACAGGGTTATTCTGTTACATACCCAGATGAGGCAGGTGTGCATGCGGAGTATACCGTACCCATCCCGATTAAAATAAGAAATGAAGATTCCATAGACATATTCATTAAGAAAGTACCACAGAAATCAATTGATCTTCTGGTTATAAATTCATCTGCGTGTAAGTTATCCAAGGACATCAGAGTGCAGCCAATTAAAGGGATTGAGAAGAAAATAATCCCATCCAAGGAGAAGAAAGGGTTCATTAACAAGAATGAGTTATACAAAGATAAGAGCAGGATTTTATTAGAGAAGGATCATAATGCCAAGAAGAATTACTTGTTCAACTTTCTATTAATAAGAGGTCTTGCTGATAAGTTAAAGAGTGGTAATGGCATGGTTATAATTTGTACGCACCGGGTGTTCAATCTGGTTGAGAAACCTCCTGTACTTATCCCGAGTTATTTATTCTCTTATTGTTATAGTCAGTTACTGAGTTGTTTCTTAGGGATTGGTGCTAAATCAAGGTACAGTTACTTAGACGTAAGGATCATAAGTTGTAGTTTTATGAATGAGTTATGGACTGATTATGTCATGCACAGTATAAAGAAGACTAAAAAGAGAACAGTTCAATATTTCAATGGAGTATCAGAGGAACGTATAAATTCAGAATATTTCGACCGTGCTAATGACGTATGGGAGAATGCAGAGATGATTTCATAGTGATGTACTCATGAGGAGGCACTGTACCCATCTGTATAACACACTCTATGATAGAGATAGTATTGATAATGCTCTTTATTATGATTATTAGGATATCGGGATGTGCATGAGTCCTTGTGGTACTATTAGTACTGTGCCTTATGGTGAATGTATCCCGTGGTTCTTTTATGATTTGGCTGAGTGCGTGATATTTATATAGTCTAAGATAATCTGTGATTCATAGACCCCAGCCTGTATCAAGGCAGAATCATCGTGCGTAGTCACGTTGTATGATCAGTCTCGGGCATGTACGTATGTGTGATGGTATCATTATGGATAGAGTACTTCGACGTATAAATAAACCACATTAGACTATTTATTATAATTATCAGTGCATTACCTGAATGTATTACCATAAGGCATAGAGATAAGCATAGTATATAGTACATATATAGACAAGTATACGTATAAGTAATATATAAGTAAGTATACGTAAGTATAGTATATAGACAGGTGTAAGTATAGTAATACAGTATCAGACAGTAATAAAATTAAACAAGTGTATATAAGTATAGTAATACAGTATAAGTAATATATATAGTCATATAAGTATAAGTATAAGTATAGTAATACAATTAGACAGGTATAAGTATAGTAATACAATTAGACAGGTATACAGTATATATATATAGTATAAGTATATGTAAGTATAGTATATACAGTATAAGTATAGTAATACAATTAGACAGGTATAAGCATAAGCATATAAGTGTATAGTCATATAAGCATATGTAAGTATAGTATATAGTATAAGTATAGTCATACTGTGGTACTATTGTATATGTGTATATATATAGTCATACTGTGGTATTGTGGTACTATTGTATATGTATATTATTCTTACTGCTCTGTTATAAATATGTATAAGAATGGGTGGCTTATTTATTATATTTAGTACGTATTATACATATAATAGTAAGTTATTAATACTTCAGTCTTATTACACTGGATTTGGTTAAGTATATTATACTGATACTTATATCGGGTGGTCTTCTGTTTATTATTGTATTTATACTTGGTCCTTACTTATTTTATGCTTCTTCTATGATGGGCTTCTTTTCAATTGGTTCTGGTGGTTCTGGTGGTGCTGGTAGTTCTAGTAGTTTTGGTTTGTTTGACTGTCCACCTTTTGCTGGCTTATCGTTGTTTCTGATTATGTGGTATATCCATATGACTATAATTACTGCTGTTACTGTTATGCCGATTTGTATAAATTGATTCTTTCTTGATGTCTTATGCATATGGAAACTTGCTTATTTAATACATACTGTATTTATAGATGACTTACCATCATAAAAGCTGTCACTTCATATTTTGACAGTTTAAACAGCATCTGGGTGTCACTATCCAAAACCACCAATTACTTATTACACATAGTACATTACTTATTACACATAGTATATTATATTCTATTACTTATTACACATAGTGTATTATATTCTATTACTTATTACATATAGTATATTACTTATTATTGTATTATTGCTAATTACTGTATAAAATCCTGTTTAAAATATAAGTAAAATATATTATTTATTATTATGGTATGTGTAATAAATATTTATATTTATTATTATTGGTTCATCTTATAGTATACTATTATTACTAAGTTTTGCTTTTACTAGTAATATACTCTACGTATATTCTCACTGTCTAAAATTGGGTCTACAATTCTCCACTGCTCTTCTATCTCAGAGAGAGCAGAGAAGTTGCTGTAATCCTCTTTAAATATTAACTGGTGGAATAAGTGCTCGTACGCATCTATTTTATCTTCTGTTTTTGGTATGGGAATGTTCACTTTCTTTGCAAGTTTATTTTTATATTTTAATTCTACCGATATTTCCTCTTTTGGAGTTATTTTTATTTTTATCTTTCCCGATATGGTAGTTTTTTTTGTATTTTTTGTTTTATCAAAATTTTCTGTACTTTCTTCTGATTCATTGACACTTTCATCCGTTTCCACACATATATCATCAGATAATGAAATATCCTGGGTGTCTTGGTCTAATTTATCGGGGTTTTCTAGTTTTTTTATTATTTTTTCTAATAATTTCAGGTTTTCATAATCTTTTACGTCTGTTTTTTGTTTTGCAAATTTTAAAATACCTGATTTTTTCATAATTAAAATAACCCCAACAAAATGTGATGGCATCTTCTTGCCAGCAGTCATTTTTAATGGAATGTTCCAATTTCCACCTATTTTAGTAACAGTCCTTATAAAAGTCTCTTTTACATCGGTATTTTTTATATTTCCGTTATTTTTTATTTCCTTATTTGGAATATTTTTGATTTTACTGATTTTTTCAAGTGACGTCTCACTATAACTCTCACGCACACTGTCACACACACTAATACTCCTACTGATAACCTTATAATACTCCTTATACACACCAAATACAGTGCCACCTTCAGTTAGTGCAGTAATATCCTGTAGTATAGATAGTCTACTATTAGTACCAGCTAATACAGTAGATATAATTAGTAATAAATGGTTCTGTAATACATCCCTGCACGCACCTGACGTATTATAATAACTCTCCCTGCCTGATACACCAATTACTTCATTAAAGTACGCTTTTACTTCAGAAATATGTTCAGGTACTATTATATCCTGTAATACACTGGTGGTGTACAGGTCTTTATACATTACCATTACATTCTTGAATAAATAATGGTCTACACATAAAGATCTGTCTAAATCTGATAATATATCTTGTTTTAACTGTAAAAATGAGTTAAGTGATGTACCAATGGGTTTTTCAATTAATAAAATTGGTAATTTAAAAATACCGTTATTTCCGTTATTTTTTAAAATTTTTACACTTTTTAAAATACTTGGATAAATTTCAGGTGGTACAGCTAAATAAAAATATATAGGCTCATTACTTACTGTACTATCCATATTATACTCTTCATTAATCATACCATATATATTACTAACCATATCCTTATACTCCCCACTGTAATACTCTATATTACTAATAGTCTCCTTAAGATAAGATATATTAGGATCAATCCGCTGTATAAATTGTGTACTATTTAATATACTCCTGGCGTACCCTATAATTCTAGGTATTTTTATGTTATTGTTAATTAATAAATCACCCTGTAAAATTTTTTTATATAAAATTTTACTTTCCGTTGCTTCTAAATAATTTTTATTGCATTTACTGTCCTTTGGGTTGGCATGCGTAATTGGACTGTACTTGCTTAAGTTATGTGCTGATGTAGAACTGCTTAGTGTGGCATCTGTTAGGTCTAATTCTTTATTTGTATAATTTGTATTTGTACAGTTGTACAATTCCCTTCTGAATAATTTATTAATGGCTGGGAACAACTTCTTCTTGCTTAAGTCTCCTGTACATCCTGCTATAATTATCATGCAATACGTAATAAATAAAAATAAATAGTAATAGAGTAATAAGTAATATATATAATACAATGTGTAATAAATAAAAATAAAAAATAATAAATAATAAACATAGAGTAATAAGTAATAGTATATGTGTAATAAGTAATAGTATATGTGTAATAAGTAATAGTATATGTGTAATAAGTAATAGTATATGTGTAATAAGTAATAATTAAGAACAGTCTAATAAGATAAATAATAATTAATTAGGAGTAATTGTATAATATATAATAAATAAGAACAGTCTAATATTTAATAAGTAATAAGTAATAAGTAATAAGTAATATTTAATGTAGTTTGTGTAATAATTAAAAATAAAAAAATAAATATAAGGTAATATAATGTATTACTTATTGGTAATTGTATAATAAATAGTATTATTTAAGAGTAATTGTATAATATATAATATATAAACATACATAACTTATTGTACTATATATAATATATAATGTATTACTTATTATACAATTACCAATAAGTAATATTTAATTATTTTTATAGTTATAAATACTCTTTATATGCTCTTTATATACTATTATATTTATTATTGTATAATCTGATAATATTATACGGATTTAGTATATGTGAACTATGCATGATTTATTTATTAAAATATTATTTATGCCTTACAGCATATAATACACTATGCACTGATTATTCCTGGCTATACTTGATGGTGGCTGTGTAATCTTGATTAAATCCGTTATTTTTAGCAAATTTTTAATATAATTTATTTTTCATAAAAATTTGATGGACATAAATGAACAGAAGTTAAGAGCCCAAATACAAAGAGCATTCTCAAAGTCCAACGAAAATTTAATGTGCTTAGAAGATATCCAAGATAGATTAATCACAATAGTACTAAATGTCTATAAAAAAGACGATTTACACAATGAAAAATATACAAATTTAAATAATCTAGCTTATAATGTATTTATATCACTAATAGTATGCCATACATATATTATTAAAGAAATAAATGAGCACACGATTATTAATATAATTAATGAATCCATGCGTATATCCGATACATTCATAAATAATATTAAAGCCAGTGACGTACTAAATACAAACAAATCAGCCATTTATAACCTACTGAATAATTTACACATATATACAGCACTCCCAAATACACTCATAAATTCAATTAAAGATGATATTCATATGGCATTATACTTACACAGACGAGATAATAATCAAAAAGAACCCGATTATAGCCAGAAATACGCAATGAGATACTTATGTAAACCACATGTGTCAGGTAAATGTTCAAATTTTGAAAGAGTCTTAGATATAATAACCGCAAATATAAGTAATTTTACTACGTGTAATTATAAATCTAATGTATTACGATCTAATATACACAATCTAGACTTATCTGATGATGATATCCAATTATTATCCTTATTTGTATCTTGTTATACTGAAGATATATACAGATGTATGCAAATAATGAATCATTCCATAATTATAGAAAGTAAAAAAATAACAAAAAGTGAGCTTAAGAAAGAATTTCAAAATTCGCATATAAAGAAAGTATTGGATTTACCGATTTTAAGAGAATTAATTAGTAGTACGGTTGAATTTATAAAGAAAGGGACAAGAATAATTGAGAAAGTTCCTGGGTTAAAGGATAAATTAGATCATATGGTGAAATTCTTAAAGGGATTTTATAATGTAAGTAAGCTATCTGGGGTTAATTTCATGGTATCGCATGCACCTGGGGTTAAATCTAAACTAATCAAAAGTGTATGTGATTGTTTACCTGTTTATATGGAATTTAATTGTATGCATGGTATAGTATACTTATTATTTGCTATGGATAAGGCTATGTGTACGTATACAGGGATTATTAATGGTCTAATTAAACTTGGACTGTACACATACCAGGAATATGATGTTTGTATTAATTATAATGACTATACGCATGAGAAATTGAAAAATCTTTGTTATTCATATAATATGGATATAGATGAGTTTAATGAGAATGTGGTTGTACCAAGAGCATGGAATATTAAGAATCAGATAAGTATGATATTTAATGAACCATTGAATATGCCACTGAATAATATATTAAATACCACAATACAGGATATAAAACCACTTGGACATAAGAATAAGTGTTTTAAACCAGTAGATAGTGTAATAGATAGTATTAGTGCTATTGATATAGATATGATGCTAAATAATCCATTTTTTTATGGTAAGGATCATGATATTATGATTAATATAGAGAGTATAGAAGATACTTCTAATCCTGAAGTATCTAAGACTGAATCTATTATAATGGATGAATATACTCCTGGTACGTATCAGAATAATCCCAGTACAGAAACACTCAGAGGATGTATTAATTCAAGTGGTTCTAAATCATCAATTAAATTCCATGATGATAGTACTACTAGTGCGTATGAACCACAGACTAATTATAGTGTACAAGCAGAAGTTACTTCAGTGGTAAATGATCTTATCGCTGCTGTGTCTGATCCTATGACTAATTATCCTGGTATACACGGGAGTATTCCTGTGGCTGATCCTCATGTACAAATAGATATTCCTGTGATAAATGATCCTATTCCTGATCCTCATGTACAAATAGATATTCCTGTGATAAATGATCCTATTCCTGATCCTCATGTACAAATAGATATTCCTGTGGTAAATGATCCTGTGGCTGATCCTCATGTACAAATAGATATTCCTGTGGTAAATGATCCAGTGACTAATTCTTATATAACTGATTTATTTAATAGATATATAATATATGTATTATTACTTATATTATTACTTATTACTGCTAGTGTATTATATTATAATAATATATTGGTATTTGTGTAATAAATATTACTTATTACTATTTGTGTATTATATTATATTATTACTTATATTATTACTTATTACTGCTTGTGTATTATATATTACTTATTATATATTGTGTTGTTTGTTCTGTTATACGAATATAAACTGTTCTGTAATTTTACTGTTTCTGATTTGTACTTTACATATAAATCATCATCAACCCGTAAAATTTCACAGGGAATGCCGTTATAAATAACATAATTATATGGGAAATAGTCTGTCCAGTTGTAAAAATTTTCATAAAAATTTTTATTATAAAAAACTTTTTCAATTTCCGTTATTAAAATTTTAAATAATTCATTTTTATCAATATTTTTGTTTGTTAGATCTTTTATGGTTTTATAATGGATACTTTTGTTGTTACACGGTATAAGATTTATCCCTACACCAATTATTGCTAGCTCAGTATTACTAGAACTTTTTACATAATTAACTAAAACTCCTGCTACTTTATTCTCTTTTTCATTTTTTTTTATAATTAAATCATTTGGCCATTTTATTTCAATACCTGAAATATTAAAATTTTTTATTAGAACACTTTTTATTACACTAGATGTAATAAGTGATGCATTTTTTAAATTATTTTTTATATCTATAATTATAGAGAATGTAAGGGACCCTTCAGAAGACACCCAATTGGAATTACTTCTTCCTATGCCATGGGTTTGCTTGTCTGTTATAACTGCGGATGGTATGGGGAGATCATTTACTCTCTCAAGGCAGTAAAGCTGTGTGGATGGGAGCGTGTCTAATTTTATTATATGCATAAAAAATAAAAAATAAAACTTATAAGCACATTGCCATTATATTCTGTAATTAATACACATAGGTTAATAAATAATATAAATATGCTTATACTGATTAAATATTTATACATAAGAGTAAGATACTTTATATATTATATAATACATAAGAATATAACTAAAATATAAAAAGAATACTTATTATGCACATATTATAGAATATATTATAGAATATATAAAGTAGTGTGCTAAAAATAACTTATTTATAAGATATAGTGTAAAATATAATAATAATCATAATTTATAAGGTATAGTGTGATTAATTATAAAACTAATTGTACATTGTTGTATAATTAATGGTCATATTAATATTACTTAATATGGTATGTGTATTTAATTTTATATTAATTATAGGTATATATAAAAAATAATTTATGATTTTTTGATGGGAAGAGCACTTATAGGAGAATACAGTATAAAGAACAAACCATTCAGTATAAGAATTAATACAATGGGGGTAATAGAAAGGTATAGACGGTTTATAAGTATATACAAGAATAATAGAATCATATCAAAGAATGTTGAATTTATAGTTAGTTATATATTCAATGATAATGTGGATGTAGACAGTGATGAAAATCTGACAGATACTGAATTTAAATGCATATTAGCAATGGTAATGTATGGAATTCAGGTTAGCATAAATGCCATACAAACCCAGAATATTAACAGGCTGAAAATGCACCTTGCTAAGATGTCACCCGATGCAGTAGAACTCATTAAAACAAACTTACTAGAAGAAAGTGAAGGAGTAGAGACACTAAAAACCGCATTGGATGAGACAATTAAGACATACCTTTATAATATGGATAGGTTCAGTGTGGACAATGAGGAAGAGACTAACTTAGACTGCTTTTATAGGCATATGGATGAATTTAATCATTGTAAAACATTTAGCTGTGGAGAATATGTGCAAAATGATTTAGTCCAAATTCATTATAATGCACTTGCTATAAGGAGTGTGTTTAACAGCAATTTAAAGAGTGAAGGAGGTCTTTATACTCTGAGTGATTTATACACAAAACAGAAGAATGGGAAGTATTTAATTGATTATGGACTAAAGTGCATTTACAGGAACATACATTTATTAAAGGGAGTCGCAGCTGGACTGAAAAGAATAAAGGATGAAGAGACTTCTAAAGAAGAAAAAATACAAAGTATTGAAAGACTTATGACATTAGATGATTTAAGAATACTTAGAAGTATCTGCACATACCGTGATCAAATATTAACTGAAAGAAAGTTTATGCGATACCTATTGGAGATAGATAACTTACTAAAGCAAAAAATTGATTCTGATGGAATTGTATCTGGTGAGGATGGAGTAGACTTGTACCATGAAATGCGAGAAATGGCAGTTGAACCAAAAGTGTTGAAATATATTATAAAGCAGACTATACTGTCCTATGCTAGAACGTATATAAATAATGCTTTACATAAATATACAACAGAAACTAAAGAGACTTCTAAAGAAGACCGATATAATTGTGTTAGACCAGGCGTATACACAGTTTAAAGAAAAAGTATCTGAGCTAGGAATAGGAAATGTTTTATCTGATGAATTATACGATATATTCCATGATGAAGCAGTGAGTGTACTACAGGATAATAAACATTCTACTGAAGTAGATAATAAGAATACTCAAAGCCCCAGTAAAGAACCAAAAGAAATTCAGTTATTGGATGATTACTTAAAAGGGATGTTTAACACTGATAAGTTAAACCTTGCACAGAAAGAATATCTTGTGCGTAAGACAATAAAGAGACTGGCTAATTTAGGCATAAGTATTGAGAAAATATTAGAACCACTTAATACCACAGAGACTAAAAAAACAGAATCTGAAATTGAAGCAAATCCAGATGCTTCAAAAAATGAATTATCCAATACAACGAGTAGCACAGAAAGTAAAAATTCAGAAGAATCAGAAAGTGAAGTAAATGAAGGAGGAGATAAAGGAACAGGTGTACCAACTAACCGTACGTTAAGATCTGTACTTTTACTATCAGCAGTAGGTTCAATTACAGTAACAGGTGTATACAACTTACTCTACAATTAAACTAATTCATTGAGAATATTACTAAGTATAAGAATATATTATAATTATTATAAAACTACTCAGAAATATTTGTAAATTATGGAATTAAATAAATTTATTATGCTTTACTCAAATAAAATAAGTAAATAACCAGAAATTACTTAAAATTATTACTTACTCATTCATAATTTAAAGTATATTCATATAAATACTACAATACAGTATATTATAGAGTATTACAGTATATAGTTAGATATTACTGTGTATTATAGAGTATTACTATATATTATAAAGTATTGCTGTATATATTTATATTGTGCTTTGGATTATTTAATTAGAATATTAAGATTATCCATTTATTTTTATAATAAAATAAATAGAATATCAACAAACTGACTTCCATTTAAAAAAATAAAAATAAAATAAGATAACCAGAATTCTAATGATAAATTAATTTATTAATAGAAGAAAAAATAAAAATATTTTAATGGACTACCAAATAAATAACTGCATAGATATGAATAAAGCACAAGAAGCGGGCATAGAAATAAGCCCAAAGTTAGATCCAGTGTCAATACCCATTAAAGACTCACTAAATAAAAAAGAAGAAGAAAGTAATAGTAATAGTAATGGATTAATGGAAGTACTAAAAGACAGTGTAGACCTGGTTTGTTCTATTAAAAATTGTTTATTTGACGGGTTTGAATACTTTAAGATGTTCTTGAATAGTATACTTGTGGTAATTTACTCTACATATATATTAACATTCTTAAATACTGGAGCATCTGTTTCTTCTCAAATCACACCAAAAACACCAATTCCAGTGACAGGTGTTATTACAACTAGTATCTGGGCTACAGTATTTCATATAATTAATATTGGTGTGCACGTGTTTATTGCATTTATATCTGTTAAAGAAATTAACAAGTTTTCTTTAAATACGCCTTCTTGGTCTAAAAGTATTCGTATATTTTTCTATATAAATCTTATAGCTAATATAATTATTGCACTTATGATTGGTGCATTTACTACAAAGATTTTCTACACATTAGAATTTATTTACTGGGCAACAATTATATACGTAATACAACAAATAATTTATATTTTAAACTGTGGTTTGGTTAGTCTTATAAGTTACATGCTCCCAATGGATGCAACAAATAATATTTTTTTATTGGTAAATCTAACTCCAGAAACGTGCTTATTATAATGTATGGTATACTTGGGATTGGTTCTATTATACTGAATATAATAAATATAAAAGATTTACACGTCTGGGTGAATTTAAGTAGTATAGACACCGTATAAACAGAAAGTATTACATCTCAGAGTATATTCAGTTAATAAGCTTATTTATAATAAGTACAGTTATTATTAAAACTTCTTATTAATTATTATTAATTGGCTCCTATAATAGAAATAATCCAAATAATAAATAATACTTTATTCTATGGATTTTGCTGTTCTTTCTATAACTTCCATTAAACTACATAAAAATAACTCTATATATACTGTACTATTAAGTGTCTGTTTAATATATGGGTTTTTAATGTTTATTGAGTCTTTTCCTTATTTCTATAAATTTGTGGGATTCCTAAATTATGAATATGCACTGCCCTTCTTTAATTTCTTCTGTGAATATTCTTTAAATTTCTTAAATAGAATAAGAAGTCTTCACATTTATTTTATATTGTAATCCAGTGAAGAGAATTATAAATTTCAAAATTTATTTATATTTAAATAAAATAATTACTAATCCATATAAGAACAGGGCGTATTATATGATAAAGTAGACTAAAATAAGAATATACCATAGAATTACATGTATATGATAGAAATAGGGTATTAAAGAATATTATATATTAAAATAGTATAAAAATAGAATAATACTAATAAGATATAATGAAATATAATTATAAAGAGGTATTCGACTAGACATATTAATAGTTATCCCAAGTACTCTTATTGCCAAACTGTTTATCCAGTCTAGCACACTCGCTCCAAAGATATTGGAATGCTAGGTCTCTGTTTCCCTTTCCCATTTCCCATGCATTTAAAAAACTAGCAGGGTACACAGAGTTCCATCTAGTGAGCTCAAACTCGATTTCTTTATATGTCTTGGGCTCTGATAAAATGGCTTGCCCATAAAATGCCTCGCACCAGTCAGTGTAATTAATTTCCCCAATGCAGCGTGGAAAGCATTTAATACAGGGTAAATTACTCACTGAAAAGGGTCCCTCCTGCTCAGCTATTTGTAAAATTAGAGCCCAGCATTTATTCCACAGTTCTTCCGTGCATTCTTCAAAAGAGGTGGAATTCATAGGGGCTAAAAGCCTTTTTATTTCTTTACCCATCTTAGCCTCTATTAAATTGTAGCGAAAAGCTAGTTCATTCCGTAAGATTCCTATTTTTGTCCTTGGATTGAGATTGTACCAGGCTTCTGGGTATATATCTATTATAACCATAAGTTGGATCTCCAGCTCCTTTCTGCCTGTGTTGAAATCCATTCTCTTAAATTCTTGCAGAATCCTTTCAGCATCGTTTTTTCTTTCCTTTTTACTGTATTCTTCTTGCCTATGGAAAATACGAGGAGGTTTTTCTTTTAGCTGTTTTCTTTCTTCTTTGAAGTGTGAGCTCTTGTTTGCCATATATAAATCTAATTTTTTATTGAAGATAGGAAACTCTTTTATAGTTTTATTTTTGTTTGAAGCCAGCTAGTGTCACATCGTGACCCAATAAATAATGCTAAAAAGTGTTCAACGATCAGGGAATGGATTACAAAACTGCTGATGTTAGTATAGAAGCTAGAGATATCATAAAGACAATATGGAGTATATGCACTTGTAAAAACAATAATTAGTATAAAAACAAATTGATATGGCATGAAATATAAAGAGTAGTTGAGAAAATATATTGTGTGAGAAGAAAAATGAACAGCTTAATAATAGGAACTTACATCCTTTGCATAAATATGATCACAATACATGCTGCTATGATGGCACATAGTTTACGTACACTAAAATATTTATCAGATAAAGACAGTGGATTTATAAATAGTGCCAATCCAGTACCAACTAGGTATATGCACCTAAGCCAGAACAGTCAGAATATTAGAAAAATAAAAAGAAAATTAGATAGTGCAGTAGAAATGAATAAAGAGGGCGTTGAACGTACTTCAAATAAGGAGTCAGTAAATAATAATGGGGTTGGGTGTACATGTGGGACATAAACCACAATAACTATATGGAAGAATATAAAAAGCACACGGGGTCTGAGATAAAAGATGATATGGATAGATGGAGGGAGCGCATGCCAGATATTTATAAGTCTATTTATTGTGTAATCAATAACAATGTACTTTTTGAATATTTTATAGATAGTGGATTATTCTCTCAAAATGAACAATACAAATTCTCTGGCTTGCCTATATTTACAGCAGACATTTCTAAATATTACCATGCATTAAAGAAGGATTTTAAAAGCATAATGGAATTATCTCAGAGACTAAGACGTATTAACCATAAAAAACACGACTATACAAATTCTTCTATAGATGAATATATGGCAACTAGCATTATGCGGCCCACTCAACCAGTTCATATTTTTAGAAGGTTTAATTTTTTCGATATAATGCAGTATAATTCACCAGGCGAGTATATTGAAAAAGAATTACTTTATAGTGTATAGTTATGGTATATGAAACTTATAAATGGCATGAGTAAAACAAAAATGAATAAAAAAAACCCTGGGTATATTTTTTATGTGTTAGAAGAATTTTAGTCTCACAAGTAACTATACCCGAATTAGAAGAAAAACTGCTCTTCATATTCTCTGATACATACAAAGCACCAGCATATATAAATAATTATACTGAAAACATTCAGCTGCAGTGACTACTTACGCGGAAGCTCACAAGCACGGCTTTTATTCTACAGGTAGAAGACTTGTTCAAGATGATGGAAGAAATCTGGGGGTTGCGAGTTCTAACTCTGCGCGTTTGGGAAAATACATTAATAGCTACAGAGACAAATATGTAAAACAGATCATGAGTACTTTACAAAAATGTACTTGCTTATTTCTACGATTAAGCATAAGCTTGAAGCTACAGATGTAAAGGATTTATATGAGGGACCAGTAAAATAATAAACAAGCGTGTGCTATATCTATCATGTCAAATGCTAAATCTAATATACTATTCTAGTTCGTGTGAGGATAGTAGTATAAGTATTAATCAAGAATATATATCTGAAAATATATATTATGGCCCAGATAAACTTAACGAGGTTGCGACTAAATATGCAACATGTGTATGGAAAACAGCAAAAATCATGGAAAAGTATTTGAATATGCCAGAAGAAGACTTAAGAACACGTCATGTGGACTATTCGCATAAAGTGCTTAAAAATATAATCATGCTAGAAGTAGAGACTAAAGCCCCATCAGACGAAATTAACAAGTCAAATAATTCTGAATCTACTGAAAACTCTGTGATTACATCTGTATATAGCAGATTCTGCTTATTTATAATAGTAGGTATTCATATGGCTCTAAGAGCCCTTTCAATTAAAAATTAGTAATAAAGAATTTATAACCCAAAATATATTTATTCAATATTTTAGTGGCTGCATTTAATTATAAAAGTAGAATTATTATATAGACAGAATTAAAACCAAATGAAAGAATAGGACATCTCGTTATTCTTAAATTTATAGTTGGTATAGAACAATAAACATATGACGTATTAAGTTAAGTTATATTTAAGACAGAAATGAATTTCTAGTTATATAGTAAAAATATACTGGATACATAGCGTATTCCTGGTAATTAATGAAACATATAAAAACACCCCGAAATTGAAATTTGCATATTCTTCTTAGTGTATGTTTAAAGAATGTATAATGGTAATTTCTGCTATTATTGGGCATATAACTACCCCGTACTAGGAAGTACAGATGGATTTTTATAGAAAGTGATTGGATTTGCCATATCCACCCAGTTGTCTATGTTGTACCATGCTATTAAGCTTAGTATACTAAAAGAAATATCTGTTATAATGAACACATAAGTGAACATAGAGTTTTTAAATAGTCCAAATAAATAATTCGATTTTGGTGGAGCCAGTGTGCCAAGCCAGTTTCTGCTTGAATCTAGCAGGACAATCAACATATGAAAAATGCGGAGTGAAATGAATGTCAGAATTTTCTCTTTTATACTATAAATACAACCCGCATAACTGCCCATATATCCCATAATTACCATTATTAATAGCACAGCGGTTTCTAGCAATATACCGAATATAACTTGCGCAGTAGAAACATCCTTCTTTATGCTGCTGAGTGAAAATATACTAAGGATGTAGACAAATAATCCCCATGGAAAGAGAAGATCTACTAAGTGGTAAATTCCTATGTTAATTATATACCGAATATCCTTTTCTTTTCCTATCTCACCCGCCACACCATATGTTAGAGACATATATATGTAAACAACTAGACCGAGAGTTATGGAATTTACTATTAGATAGATGAATGGCAGAGCAGTATTATAACAGAAATTAGTAAACATTAAATAGGGCTCCAACCTTATATATTCTCTTTTTTTTTCACGTCTAGCAATGTTCTGCTTTATTTCTTGGCCACGATCTTCAATGGAGGATGTTATTGTATCCCGATTTTCATCTATGGGTAAAATACTTGGAATTTCATTATCTTTTATACTGTGCCTGTCACAAGTATGAGATAACATGTCTTTTATTTCAGAATTAATAGAAGTTTCATTCTCCTTGCCTGATATAGAAGATGGCTTGTTCATTCCTTCAGAGCCAATAGAGCTGGCATCTCCTTCTTCAGAATACTCAGATGGTTCACTGTCGTTTTCGTTATTAATGGTATTATTTATTAAGAAACAATCATCTATGACCATTCTATTTATTCTTTCCATAAGATATTATTATTAAAAAATACTATTTTTATTTCAGGATACTTCGAAATATTCTTATATAATATAACCCAAAAGTAGAATTCCCTATATTTACACATAAATTACACTTTTACATGTACTCATGCATAGAGAATTATTAACCATTAGAATACCATGTAAAGAAATAAACTAAAGCTATAAACAAATGGTTAGACAATACACATAAAGATACATAATGGCGGCCAATTACCAATAAAAATATACACAAATAATTTTTTACCCCGGGTATGCCCCTTTAATTTATTTGTTTTCATAGAGCAGTTGCTTAATGTGCATATAAAAATATTTTATAAAGAAATTCCTATTACAGCATAAAATAACCAATAATTAATATTGCCTAGAAATATTAAATGTATAGAGGGTGCTGATTATCCATAGACAGTATAAACATTATACAATTCCTTGGGGTGGCACTGGCTTGCAATGAGGCAGTATAGCAGTAAATTAAGAACAATTAAACTTTCTGGTGTAGTATCAAAGTGATGGCCAATAGAGCTATGCTTAAATTTTTAATAATAGAAGTTTTTAACTTGGAAAAATAAGAGTTTGCACATATGAGAAATAGCTGATATCATTAAAAATACATTTAAAATTTAATTTAAACAGAAACATTTGCATTTCATACATAAAATTTTATGAATAGAACCCCCAGAGTGAATGTTATTGGTATAAACAACGAAAGATGTAATATAGACATAGGGCTAGAAGATATAATAAAGAGGTATAAAGAGATAAGAGACAATACTAGTGGAGAAACTGATGTGGCAAAAATGGGAGAGTACCAAATACTTGACTATATATTCAATAGATCCATTTCAGTTGCTTCTAAATCAACTTCAGTTACAGGCCCAAATGATCTTAAGCAGATATTAATGGCATTACTGTTTGAATCCATCATTAATAATGAATTAAATAATGAGAATATTGCAAATGTAAGAAATATATTTTTCAAAAGATTTGAGAATGCAGAAAATTCCTCTGCAGAAGAGAAAGAAAATATTATTAGAACAAATCTAGAGACACGCCAGTATAAGCCCCAAGAGAATAATTACCGTCCAAATCTTCTAGAACAATTATTTAAGGATATAAATCAATTTTTATATTACTATAATGCAAATAATAATAGGATTAGTGGCTATAGAGAGTTTGTCATAGATCATATAAACAACTATATAACATACCTTTATATTGCAGATAGCTATGAACTAAAACAGTCTCTACGAGGTGTGCTTGAAGGGTATGAAAACAATGAAGATACAGAAGAAACCAGTGAAAATGGATTATATACGCTTGAAGAACTGTACAAAAATTCCATTAATGGAGTGAGTTTCGTAGAAATAGGGTTAAATCTTATATTTATGTATAGGGATGAAATTAAAAAATGCTATGCAAATAAAACTCTAATAACAGGATTTTCGGGTTATGAAAAGAAAATACTAAAAAGCATTAGAGCCTATTTAGACCGTATTATACAAGAAAGAGCACTGTACTTCAAAGTAATAACCATTCACAATGTGAACAAATTCATTCCTCAATGCGTTAGTAATGGATTGTTTTTGAACAATCTTGAAATGTGCACACCTGAAATAGAAAAAGAGATTGGAATGGGAACATCTCTGTATCTTGTGCTTGGTCTTAGCCAGTTATCAATTGATAATAAGTCAATTATTATGAATGAATTAGCTAAGACACAGGCTCGGATAGAAGAGTTAGAGAAACAAGAAAATAATTATAATAAAATACCAGAAAACACTGATTGTGACAATCTTATAGATAGAACACAAAATAGACTAAACAAAAAAGTGAGGATCATAAAGAATTTAAATAATTATTATGCAAAGGTAAATGAATGTCTTAACGCAATAAGTCTTATTGAAATTCTGGATAAGTCACAGAAAGACTTTATAATTGCCCAGGCCCAAACATATTTGAGATACTTTGATACAAGCATAAAACTAAATTCCCCAGAGGAATTACATAGACCTAGCATATTGAAAGTTCTAAGGAAACTAAAAACACCAGCAATGGTTATGGTAATAGTTATACTAATCATTATACTTATATGGATGGTTATTTCCAACCCAAGGAGGATAACCAAACAAATTATATAAATAAATTTAGAATCACCAATTTTACTATTGGCTAATTACCGCCCATAGAATAGCATACATAGAATAATTTAAAATAATTTAGTTAAACAGAAATAAATAATTTCAGCTATAGAATAAAGAGAAAAAGTAGGAAATTATTAAGGAATAAAGCAGTATAGATGGACTATAAGTGTAATGTCAATATGCCATGCGATTACTCAAATGCATTTGAATAATTCTTCAAAAATTTGTAGTGGTTGAAATTTGTATTGGTAGAAGTATATGAAAGCTTGTTTTAGTTATGAGCTTCTTTATAATAGCATATTTACGTTATAATGATTCTTATTATTAATATGCGTATAAAGCCATAATACAAAAACTTAGAGAAGGTATAGTGCAAAGAATCTCTGCATGCAGGAATACTACTATGGCTATAAACAATGTCTTTACTAGTGTGATCTGTCTGGATTTGTTTGTTGTGTGTTTTAGAAGGAGGTGTTTTTATCTGTCAATATAAACTCTTTAGAACCATAGCAGAACTACATGAAAAGTGCTGATTAAAATATTTAGCAGCCGGTTTGTTTATTTGCATGAAACTAGTTGGAATAACTGGCGGTATATGCACAGGAACCAGTACAGTGATAGAATATATAGAAGATAAAGGATTTTCGGTTGTAAAAAAAAAGAAGTCTGGCAATTCTTGCACAGTATGCGGCGGTTCGCAAAGTACAATATTCCCGTGGATATTTTTACCAACGAAAAGCTTAGGATATTGGTAAAGCCGTATATTGTTGAGTATATTAAAACCCGGCAGAATTTCTTTAGGCTGGCGTGCAAGTCTGTGCTGTTCATTGACCTGCCTTTCTTGTTTGAGTGCGGATTAGAAGAGTACTTTACACACACTATTGTAGTAACATGCGGCCCAAAAACCCAGGAAGAAAGAATTCACAAAAAGTACAGCACGGCTTTAAGCAAAGCAGAGAAATACGATGAGTCTAGAACAATCCACCAAATAATGGAAGTTGTAGAGACTGAAATGAACATGGCAGAAAAGAGAAAGAAGTGTACATATGTTATAGACAATAATAAAGGAGTAGAAAACACTTATAGCCAGCTGGACAGCCTCCTGTATAAATACTATAAGTACTCTGGATTCTACATAGCCATTATATGTATATCTATAGCTGCAATAGTACTTCCTGTTCTAATTAAGTACAAGGAAAAAGCAAGCGAAATCAGCAAAGCAATAAACCCACTCATAGAAAAAATAAAAGCAAGAATTACAAAATATGGCTGGTGAGATAGATTATCTGTCCTTTAAATAAAGAACTAACTAGAATTTATGTTTATTCTTTGAATATAATTTCTCCCTCTTCTTCTGGCTCTACTGTCTTGTTTACTGCTAATGGGTCAGAATCATACAGACTTGGGTAGTCGTTTTCGGTTAAGTAGTGCTTTCTTCTTATGTATTCTATTCCTTTCTTGTTGATTACATAATATCCATCTCTCCAAGCAAAGACCTTTTCTACACATCCTTTGGAGTATAAGCTTCTTACTATCTTCATAACCTTAAAGTTGGCGACATTCACGTATGGATGTGGCTTAAGTGATCTGTTGAATTGGACTACAATACATCCTTTGTCAAATATGAATCTCTGTACCTCTTTTATTTCGTTGGTTGGAATGTGCATTTTACAAGGATAGTAAAAAAAAATTAACCAAGTACTTCAAAGAAAATTCACTCATTTCTTAGAAAATGTGGCATTGTGCCATATTTGAAAGAAATGCACTTTAGCGCAGGCCGGCTGCTATTTCAATTTTTTTGCGTATAAGCATAGCCAGGTAGCATATTACAGAGACTACTATAAATATAATTAGAAGTTTTATTTCAAATTCCATTTAGCACATGCAAATTTCTTTGCTGAATATTAATTAATGCTAGAATGCATGATCACTTTATAGTGCTGCGCAAGAAATCAAGTGTATATTTTGTTCTTAATTTCATTTATACAGTTTGTGGCATCTGAATAGTATATACGGAATTGTAAATTGTTCTTCTGCACTAATAACTAAATTACCATGAGAGAGCAATACTAGGCAAAAATAAAAGTACTATTTATTATTGAAGAGTATATTTAGAGAATTCCTATTACACTATTTTGGAGTATATCTTAGAGTGCATGGCCATTCAGTGGCTTAATATATATTATATTGGCTTAATTTGAGCTATATCTATCTTTTATCTTGATATTAAATTCTTTTTATATGCACACCTCTGGATTATGGGATATTATATGCCTCTCTGTTTTTAAGATATACTGGTTTGTCATTGTAAGACAGAGTTTCTTTCCCTTCCCAAAGCAGTTTCTTCTTTATATTTTTGATAATCTGTGGATTATCTCTGCAATTATTGTGCTATGCGCTTCTATTGTATACCACGGTAAGTTTTATTTAGAGCCTTCTGCCGCACCGCTTTCTCTTGTTCTCTGCTTTTGCGCGCCATCTTTCTTATTTCTCATATATTATATAACATACCATATGTGCTCTGCTCCTTCGCTGCCTAGCTATACTACTAGAAATATACATCGACCAGAACCGCTTGAAGTTTTCATATATATTAACTCAAATGGAGAAGAGTGCACGCTTTTCTCCCGCCCTACAGAGACACCAAATTAAATACAAACAATCATAAAACACTTTATTTTAATCTACTTTCATTTATCTTTTGTTCTTTTTAATATTTCTTTTTATCCTTCACATGAGCCAGCAAGTAAATAATCACAGAACTCTAGAATTCTTTTCCAAGCTCTATCTCTTCTTATTTCCTTCTTTTAGGCTAATAATAGATGACTACAGGTTCTTCTCCTTCATACTTTTCTATAAAGTGCTTGGTCTTACTTACGCACTGATGTTTTCCATTTCTCTTATTACTGGGCTTGCTGCATATCCTCCTGTTTCACTTTATAGAGCTGTTCTACTATTTATATACTTTTTGTTCTTTCTCGCTCTTTTTTGTTATAGCACATGTATTATATACGCCAACTCAGATCATCCGCTGTTTTTCGGCAAAAAAAGACACATCAAATCTTCCCTGGGATGCAAATAACCCTATATCTTTGTATTTATCATACAACTCACAATAAAGTACCCCCTTTTCTCATAACAAATGTTTTTCATAATTGTGAGTTACTCTTACTTGCTTTCTCTTTTTTATTTTTGTAGCATATGCCAATTCACAAATACAAACACAATAACTACTACGATCACGAGTACTTTTCCTGTTCTGACAGATTCTTCTTTGTCATAATTGGGCTTATCTGTATTCACGCCCTCGCAATCTATCTTTCTGAGGTGGGCAATTGCTCTACCATTCTTCTTGCGGTTTCTTCATGCTCCACCCTCATTATCTTTGCCTTAGCTCTGTTTTAGATCTGCTCACTTGCCCCCCTCTATCTTTATTCCATAGTGTAATGAAAATACCTAACTCTTCTTTAAAAAATAAATGTAAACAGTTATAATTACTCTTATAGATATACATCAATTCTCTTCATATATATTGTTATCTAGTGCATTCTTATCCGAAATACAACCAAATTTTCCGTCTCCTTTTCTAGAAACCTCCTGAAATTCAAATTACTTATATTTAATATGTAAAATTACATAAAACTGCAATTATATAAATAATTTCAGGTGTTTTATGTTTTTGGTTTTATACACTCTAAGGAACTTTCTCTTCTTTTACATCCTGTTGCTACGCCTCTATATATAACTCAAAATACGCCCAATAACCCATTATATACAGCATTGTGCACTAAAAACAATTAAATTTTACTTCTTCTAATATAGCCTAAAATAACCCGAAATATCTTGTATATATATGGCTATAATAAACACATATTGTTACTGGTTGTCGTATACTGCCACTTATTTAGTGCTTTTCGGCATATTACCCCCAATATGCCTATTCCCACTGAGTGCTGCTCTGTTCTGAGTAATTCTCTATAAAAATTTGTTCAAAACGTTTTTATATACCTTTATTTTAATAAATATTTAAATTATTCAACAATCATTTTATTGAAGGTAATTAATTAACCTCACAAATAAAAATATATAAAGATAGGAAAAGCTTGAAAAATAAATGTGTAATAATTATGAGAAGGAAGGTAACGGACCAGTTTTCAATAGAATTGTAATTCCAATTGAAATTAAAGAGTATAAACCAACATTAACAGAATATAGGTCACAGACTATGGCTCTATTTAAGCATTTGGCAAGTACACCAGTGCACCCATGGTCAGCATTTGAAAATCAACTGGAAGAGCATTATAAAGAGTTATACAATCTAGAGCTGAGTATAGACTGTGAGTGGAACCAATTACTTAGTGCAGATAATGATATAAGACGAAATGAGTTCTATTATTTGGTACAGGAGATTATTTCTGTAAAAAAATACTTAGACCACTGCAAAAACTTTAATATATCCATAGGCGTGGTATCCCCTTCTCACATAGTCACTAAACTGAATGACCTTTTAACCCCATTGAGCACAAACAATGAAAAGTTTGAGATAGTGAATGACTCTTCTAATAAAACTGACTTTATACTATACATAGTTAAAACTCCACCGGATTCTACTGAAAGCACGCCTGCTGTTTGTGAAATTGCCAGAGATGAGAATTCTGTATCAAATGATCAGCCTAATGATGTGCCAAGTAGTTCTTCATGCAGTATGAATATTCAAAATAGCAATACAAGTTTAAAGAAAGGTGCATGCACGGGCTGTAGAAATTTGTGTGGGAGGGCATTGCATATTATTACACATCCCTTTTCCAATATAGAATGTAAGGGCCGCCTCCTGTGTGCAGTTAATATTGTATGCAGTATTATATTTGGTTTACTGGGAATTTTTATTCTAGTCAAATATATATTATGGGCAATACATGTATTTGAAAATGAGAGTAATTAATTTAAACACAGTAGCTTTCGGGCTGAGTAAGAAACAAAGCATGTCATTCTTAAATGAGTATCTAAATAAAACACATATATAAAGTTTAAACTTCCTATTCCTTGCTTCTAAGAAAGATGGGCATGCAGCACTGCCAATGGAGAGTGCATATGCATATATACTTATATTAAGTAGATGTAACAGGATGTCTGCTATGTATAGCAATTATAGGTTTTCTGGTGTATAATAGAGAAGAAGAAGTAAAATTTTATTAATGTGTGACCAGGAAGAAATACGCAAGTTATGGCTGTGCCAGAAAACAATCTTCCAAATGATGAAGTGCCGTGGATATACGGTTTCTGAAGCAGATCTTGAAATGGATCTTGATCTGTTTAAAACCTCGTATCCTGCGCTTATAAACACGGGAAGCAAGCATTCGCTTTCAATGCTTTTCCAGCATACTACTATGCCAGAAAAACAGCTTTTTGTCTTTTTCCCAGACAATGCGTATTTCAAGGCAAAGGATATAAAGCTGTACACCTCTACATTGGGAAAGCAAAACATACACAATGGAATAATTGTGTGCAAAGAAACTCTTAAGGCACACAGTCTCAAAGCACTGGATGAGTCAAGAAAGGAATATGACTTAGAGCTATTCTACATAAGAGAGCTGCTTTTTAATATTACAAAGCACAAGGATGTGCCCAAGCATATTTTACTTACAGAAGAGGAGAAGAAGAATGTCTTAAAAGAAAGAAAAGTGGGTGAGGCACAGCTTAAGAAGATATTAGTAGACGATCCTGTCAATAGATATTATGCAGGAAAAAGAGGGCAAGTCTACAGAATAATAAGAAATTCAGAAACTGCCGGTATTTCAATAGAGTACAGAATAGTAGAGTAAAATAAGATGTGCGTTATATGCAAAGCATTTGTTTTGGGTTATAAATATCTATCAATTTTTGATCTGTTCTTATAGATATATCAATGGGCTTGCACTTGCTGCTGGCTGTTATGCCTTCTTTTTTTTATTCTATATGGGATTAGTTAAGCTACTGTTTGAATTTAAGAATTCATTAATTCCTGTGGCTGTGAAAAGGGGCATAACTTTACTAGAGGCTGCTGCACAGAACCCAACTGTACCACTGCGCGGTGCATGCGAAGGATCTCTAGCATGCACTACTTGTCACGTGGTGTTAGATAAGTCTGTGTTTAAAAAGTGCGGAGCAGCATCAGAAAGAGAGGAGGATCTGCTAGATACAAGCAAGCTTCTTACATCTACATCTAGACTAGGGTGCCAAGTAAAGGTAATTCCAGAAATGGAAAACAGTATAATCAGAATACCAAATATTAACAAAAATATACTGTAGCCATTTATTATACAACAGAGAACTTTAGGCCCCGCTGCAGTAAAATTATTTATGAAAGCGAAGAAGAACAAAACACTTAAGCAGCTGCACGCAAGAATATCCAGCGAGTCTCCTCTCTACATTGCACTGTTCAATAGAGTGTCGGTTAAGCCGCAGCTACAGCTATGTGATATTACAGGCCTGCACGCAAAGTATGTATGCCCAAAGACAGGCCTGCAATACAGCTCATGCCAAGTATATGAAAGACTGCGAGAAATGCCAACAGAAAATGCACAAATTCTGGGCAGCATCCGGCAGATGGGAAAAGAGCTCTCTACACTAACAAAGAAATAAATCCATAATAAAATTTACGAAAACTCTTATAAACGGCAAAACACGCCAGTACACGGTGGATTAAATTATAAAGATCAAAAGAATAGAATAAGTAGATTTATTCAATGTTAGAAAGGATGTTGTCTAGCTCCTTTTTAAAGGCGGGGCTGGCAAGAAGCTCCTGCTTCTTCTTTTCGTTCTGTTCCTTTTCTTTCTGTGCTACAGATACTCTCTTAATTCTCTCAGCCTCAAACTTCTCAAGAAGTCCTGCGCTGGTCCATCCCATCTGCACACAAATCTCTCCAAGAGTGCATGTCTTAGTGACTGGGTTTAATTTGGTCTCTGCAAGCACGTGAGAAACTACAACTCTTTCCTGTAATTCATACTCCATTGGAATTCCATCGAATGCCTTTAATCTGGCGTAGTCCATGGCTCCCTGCTTTCCTTTGTACTTAAGCATACCTCTAACAATTCTCTTGAAGCACTTAGATGGCTCCTTGTAGTGGAATGGTCCCTTCTGTGGGTTTACAAGACATCTCTTTCTCTTCTTGTCCTTATATATACTTACCATTCTTTCAATAGGGGATGAGAAAATAAGACCTTCTGATCTTAAAATTACAACACTGTAACCTTCTCTTAATGACTTTGCTACGTATGCAGCTAATCTTCCTACGATATGGCCTTTTGCATCAATAACGAGTTTTGTTCCGTGTGCCATATTTCTTACTTGGGCTAAAAATTAAAAAAATATTTATATTAAGAAGCCAGTGCACCCAGCTAAATATTGCCATAAATACAGCCAGCCAAATGCACTACATAGCCTTGCTAAGCATTCCCGTGGACTAGATATTTTGTAAAGCATGGATGCACTGAGGCCTGCAGTGTTTAATATAAACTGAATATTTATCACTTTTTACAGATATTTCTTCCAAACAAGAAAGCATATTTAACGAATATTTTATTTATCTATTATTATAACGTGTATGCGCGATGCTTTATAACACAAAGTACAAAATTACTTCTTTCCTATCTTTTTAAAGGCTCGCCCCTTGCTTAGCTGTATTTCTCGTAGATCTTGCTTTTCCAGATGAAGAACTCCAAGCGTGCTGTTTAAAATGCCCTTTTCCACGTTTTTTATCTTCTTTTCTGTCTGCCTGACCTGTTTGCTTGTTTCTTTCTGCTGCATAAAGTTCATTCTGTGCTCTTCAACTATTTCTAGTGTGATTGGCGATGCAACCGGCACAAGTTTAAATGGCGATGCCTCTATCTCAAACAAGTTTAAACCGATTGTATTCTCTAACAGGTCTATTCCTATTGCATACTTAATTATGCCCAGCCCAACAGAACTTGGCGGGGAGTCTCGTAGAAAGTCCATAAGCAAATTTAGCTTAAGCGGGTCAATGTAACCGTTCCTATGCACAAGCAGAATGTGCAGGCTGTTTGTCAATAGGCTTAGGTCAGTAAGAGAGTGGGCAACTTTGTACTGCGCCAGCTCTACTATCTGGAATTCGTGGGTTCTTCCTATAATCAACCGCGGCTGGTTTGTCTTGTTTGTGTAAATATATGCGAATAATGAACAGTCCATTCTTTTTAGAAGGCCCTCCAGCTTTCCATTAGAAACTGAGGAGTTTGATGTTGTTGGCTGGTATACTCCATCCTTATCTGTGTATTTCACTGCATTCTGTTTGATGTTCATGAAGAATGAGATAAGTTGTGCCACTCCCGGTGTATTTGGAGTTGGTGAAAGGATTAAAAGCTTCTTGGCGGGCTCAATCACGCATGGCTTCTTGTCTTTTTTCATGGAGTAAAAATATTTCTGCAATATACAATAATAATTTATTCAGTTATCCGTTGTGCATATTCTTTTCTTTAAAGCACTTCGGATCGGTTCTGTTATCTATACTAGTAACTAGCAAATATAACTGTGCAATTCTTTCTAAGAATTTTTATCATGCATGAATTTCTTCTCTATACGACTGTTTCTTGTCTTCTCTGATTTATTGTGCATAGACCATAAGACGACTCTTGCGACACACAAATACTCCCGTCTGTTACTCTGCGTAGTAAGTGCATAAACGCCTGTGCTTTTGTTCTTCTGTCACTAGATAATAAGTCCTCGGAAATCTGCTGTATAGATAAGCTTTCTCTGCCTAAAATACTTTCGTTAGATAGATCTCCATTCTGCGGCATAAATGACATGTCTGCACCTGGCGCGGAGATAAATGTGGTTTCTCCACCTCTTGGAACTTCTATTGAGGCATTTGATGCTTCTGCTGGTATTTGGTCAATAGTTGTGCTGGATAGATTCTGTGTTGCCCCAGGCAATTCACTTATTGTGCTTTCCATCACTATACTTTGCCGCTCTTCTGATTTCTTTCCCGTGTTTATTTCTTGCTGCCCAATAGAACTGTGCATTTTTTGCAGAGAGGTATAAATACCCTGCAGAACTATTGGAAGGTGCGATCTTTTTGCTTCTTCTGTAAATGGCTTAATTGCCTGGTGTTTGATCAATTTGATGCATTTACTGTCTATCTCTGTTGTTTGGTCTATCTTCTGTCTTTTTGTTTCTATAAGACTCTCCTGCCTTTTTCGGGAAGGTTTTACTGGGCTATTTAGAATAGTATCTAGCATAACTGATGGATCTCCTATAGAAATAGCAGATAGATTTGCATCTATGCTTATTGCCCCTACTTGCATGGTCTCCCCGTGGCTTCTTCGGCTTTGATCTTCATGCACTATACTGTGCTGCTCTGGTAGTATTATAGCACTTGCTTCGCTTGCTGCCTGAATCTCTGAAATTGTTTCTGCAAGAGACAGAGATATATTGTTTAAGCTAAATGAATAATCCTGAAAGCTCAACATTCCTCCAATAGATCCTCTCCCCTCTTCTATTTCTTCTTCAATACTCTCTATACTCTTATTGGGTAGTACCATGTGCTTGAATATATCAATACTATATGTTATTTTTTTCTTACTGAGCTTAGACGGCTGCTGGTCACTTGGTTCCTTTTTCTTTACACATATAAATAGCTCTTTGCACTCGTCATAGAGTATCTTTGTCTTTCTAAAGAGTATCTTAGAAAGCCCCAAAAGAATGTGGCTAGATGTTCTCAGCGCAAGCTCGGGTACATCTCCTGATTCTATTGAATTCACGGTGTCTTCTATATCCACCTGCTGTATGTCAGATTTGCTTAGTCTTCTGTCGAAATAAGCAGCCACCCATGCGGCTGAAAGCTTTCCTTTGTTTGATAAAAAGTTCACTGCGTAGAACATCCCTACCCATTCTTTTTCTCTATATATATTTTTTATGCCGGGAAATATCCCGCCATTCTGCTTAAAAATAAGTAGCTACTCTATACGCCTAAGTATACAGAAGTAATATGAAAATTCTATAAATAGATATAACCCAAAATACTAAATTCACTAATTTAGTGCACAGAATGCTTAATTACGCCCACAGTTTAAAATAGTTAATATTTATTAGTAATACAGCATTAGTCAATAAACATCTTACTCTACCTGTATACATTCATATAACCCGAATCTCTCTTCTTCTTAATATACTGCACATTCACATAGTTATACAATATGCGAAAGATTCTAATTATTTTATAATACGCATACTTTTAATCCATTACAGTGTCCATAGCATGTCATATATCTCATCAAGCGTTATTTTATTTGGTAGTTTTAGAACTATTAAAAATGCAACTGCTGTAAAAACAATCTTCTCATATATAGAAAAGTCTCCTTTGCGTGGATCATATACAAATCGGAATATAGCTCTAGCTAATTTTAAAATTTGCACTATAGGTAGACATATTATACACCATATTTTATAAAAAAGCAATTCCCAGCACCTCTTTTTCCATATTTCTACATCATCAGTTAATGCCATATCTTTCAAATTGTCTTTCAAACTTTCATTATATTTGTTTACTGCTTTATCCAGTTCATACATGTCAATAAGATTGTTTTTATTGTAGTTAAAATTCATGTAGTATTTACTTTTTTTACTCGATGTAACAACCAACTTTTTTGACCTTTTTTCTATCTGAAACAATATAGTATACTCTATGTCAAACGGAAAACAGCTATTTAAATTGCTATAATCAAAGAAACCATATATAGTGTGCAAAAACACTTGTCTAGATCCTTTTTCATTTTCTACACATAATCCATTCTGTATGATAGCAATAGGAACCAATGCAAGAGACCTATTTAAAGAAATAAATATAAGCGATTCAATGTCATAGTATTGAATTTTGTACTCTACTGCCATAGAATCCATTGCTTCTGTCTCACTATTATATTTTGTTAGCTTTCCTGGATACTTATTCAGTAAATCTATCACATCAAGCAGTCTATTCCGCTTGGTTTCTGGGACAGTCTCTGTTATATAAGGTTTCTCTATAATAAGGGTTTCTGCCTGTTCTTTATTTATATGAATGTTAGCAAATATTAATAAATCTAAAGTTATATACTTCATTACAGCAGGATCTCTTAGCATATAAGAAAGACTGTAGTTATTTAGTGTGGAAATGTACTTATCTAGGTCTCTCTTTGTTGGTATTTTTTCAACAATTTTATTTACTATTTTCATTACATTCCACATGTTATTTACTGCAATATCTGCTGCCTGGTTTAAATCTTCTGCTTTGAGTGCTTTGCCATATGAGTCAAGCATTAAGTTATTTATTTCTATAACTAAATTATACAGAAGTAAGTCAGATGCGGTTTTATATAAGATTAATTTGCCTCCTAAACAATTGGTTATTTGGTTTTTGGGTATCTTGCTATAGGATGTCTTTACTATAGAAATAAAATCAAAGTCTTCACAATGTATCTCGTGCCAATTGTTATTATCCATTTATATTTTAAAAAGTTTTATCTATTTATCTTCTTATATTAAGTGTAATACAATACAATACAAAACTATAAATGTAATAAAAACAATGATTAAACTATTTAATATTAAGTGAAGCTGCATATTTTCCATAATTTTCGAGGGAGCCAATTATATCTACTATATTATGCATATTGCATAAATATATTATGCGATTGGTGGTATATTATGTAGTATATTGCAATTTAAGCATTAGTGCGTCTTATTGGTCTTCTGTCTCATCATTATATTAATTATTGGTTATTTGTTTGGATTTGTTTCATTCATTTTATAAATATAAAGAGTATGTACAGGGACTTACAAATGAAAGAAAAGAAAAATGAATTATTTAAGAATCCATCTATTGATATGCTCAAAAACAGAAATAATATGTCAACCAGCGAAGTATCGATTGACTGCACTGCCAAGAGTAAAGATAAATCACAGAGATATGTTAAGTACAATTTGTGTGAAAGCATTCTATTTAATAGTAAATAGGTTATTTGTTGTTTATCTTTATATCATATTTTCTGTAATGTTCATTTCTTCTTTTATTCTATCTATTTCTGCTGAGGTAATTCCCATAATATAATGCGTACTATTTACTGCGTATTCCTCTTTGGGTTTTGTGCTGCTTACATAAAGAATATTTTGTTTCTTCATTAAGAATGCTCTTCCTACCTTTAATGCAAATGCTAGTGTAAGAATGTTCTCTACAGTCTTTCCAAATGAGTCTACATTTATAATTAGTCTGTAAAGTTCTACTTCTCCTATTTCTTTCAGGATTCGGTAGACTCTTTTTATTTCTTTTGGTGCATCCATCTGCTCTTCTTTTACTTCTTTTGTTTCTTCTGGTTTTTCCTGTGCCTTCTCTAGCTTTGGTTTTTTAGGCTTTTTAATTGGTTGCTCTGCTATACTCCCAGTGAGTGTTAGAATTGGTGGAAAATATGCTCCTCTGTAATAACTTTTTGCTAGCTGTGTATGAATGCTTGTGTTAGTACTGGCCATTTCAATGTAGTTGTTTAGCGTTATGTGGTTATTGCACTGTAGAAATATTCTTTTGCTTTCTTCTCCTATTATCTCACTCACCAGGCAAGAATCTAGGCGCAATTCATGTGTTGTTCTTATTTCTTTTAACAGCTCGTTACTTCTTTGGTACAGAGGATATAGAACTTCGTTTTTCTTCTTTTTCTGTTTGGCTGTTCTGATTAGTTCCATGTACTCATCAGTTAGTTGCTTTGCCATTCTCTTTTCTTAAATTTACTTTTATTTTAAAGTTTTTCGCTTTATGCTATTTATAGGACTAATAAGTGGTGGAAAAGATAGTATTTATAATATGCAAATGTGCATTGAAGATGGGCATACTCCAGTATGCTTGCTTCATATGAAAATGGAGAAAGAAGAAGATTCTTATATGTTCCAGTACGCAGGATGCAATCTTTTACCGGCCATTGCAGAATGTTTAGATCTTCCGCTGCATCAGTTTTCTACCTCTGGTGTGTCTAAAGATCGCAGCATAGGTTATAAAATAACAGAAAAAGATGAAATAGAAGACTTATTCTGTGCTATTGGCGCTCTTTTGAAAAAATATTCGTTTTCTGGTGTGTCAGTTGGAGCTATTTCCTCGGTGTATCAGTATAATAGAGTGAAGAGTGTGTGTGATAGACTTGGATTAACTATGCTGGGGTATTTATGGGGGTCAAATCAGAAGGCACTGCTTGGTAAAATGATAGAGAATAGTGTTTATGCAGTTGTAGTGAAGGGCGGTGAGTATGTAAGCAATTTAGTTGGAGAGTCTCTTCAGAGTGTACGTGATAAGTATTCTGCATATATTCTAGAACAAATACATAAATATCCTGGATTAAAAGAAGAGGATTTCAACCTATGCGGCGAAGGAGGTGAGTATGAAACAATCACACTTGATGCCAAAATATATAAAAAGAAAATAGAAATAGTAAGAAGTGATGTGGTAGAAGTAGACGGAGTAAAGAGATTAGATGTTTTAGAACACAGAGTGGTGCCCAAATAGAACCCTATCTACGATTGTTTATGTTTTGTAGTGGGCTATTAGTTTTATTATGGGTTTGATGTGATAGATTAACAATATTAAATATAAAAATTCTTATATTAAACTTGTTTTGTTTTGTGTTTGTGCGTAATTAGTTGAATTGTTGGCTTACATGGGTTTGTCCTCTCTAGTAATAAATTTTATTGTTTTTGTAATATTTTTTTTTATCTTAAAACAGTTTATTGATATAAGTTTCGAGGGGCCTCAAACGGATGGACGTCGAGCGCCACACACTCTCTTCCTATTCTCTCTAAGCCGTTCCTCGTGCCCCTAGGGCGGCCGTAACAAGTTAATGTCTTTGACTGCTAGGGGTGGAGGAACGTGGCTTATAAAGTAGGACTTTATACGGTCACTCCTCAATGGGATGATGGCACTGAGATAACGTGCCACCGCGCGAGTAGTACTCACGCTACGGTCTACGCACTGGGCCTTAGTCTCGGGATAGTCCCGGAACAGAGTCCTCCATGCGTGTTTGGGTAACTTCCCCCCAAGAAGTGCATCGACCAAACTGTCTGTCGATACTTGAGATAGTGCGCCTATCTCCAGGCGGATCGCATCAATTTGTAATAAAGGTGTATTTTTCAACTTTAAAACTATTTATGTATACACTTTGGTTTTAAATAAAGGATATAAGAATGAATATGAAGAAATCTGAAATAAAAATATTAAATGCATATATAAGTAGAGAAGCAAACACGCCAGGTATAAATCGCGTAGAAATAACAGAAAATCACTTTTCTATTTCTATTTAATCTTTTTATAACCTTTAAGCTATAATTAACAGATAGATAATCTTCTATTAGCTTCTATACTATATAACTATTTATTAATTTAACTGATTTATACTACATTATATACCCTGTGAGATTTATTTATATCTACAACAATACTCAAGCCCTTTATGTGTCAGACTCATAATCATTTCTTTGCTATACCCTTTCCGAACCATCCCTTCTATTAATAAGCCCTCATAATCGGTTGCATATTTATTATTAGTGCCTATCCCATTCCTATACAAACTTATCGCCCGGTCTATCTTGTTCTCTCTCTCCTGTTGTTGTTTTAAAATACCATACGCAGTTGATACTCCGTCCATACAGCTGTTTTCATCCAGATCTATCTGCTCTTGATTTTCTAGGTCCTCACGCATTTCTGCTTTTCTATTATCTATATTTTCATTTAATATTTCTCTCTTCTCTTTAATTTTTTCTTTAATTATTTGAGATATTCGGGTTATTTCTTTATTTACGCTGTACATTGTAATGCTAATATAGTGCTCTTTAACTATCTCTGTCAACTTTTTTTTGTCGTTATAAAAAGACAGAATTAAAATAGAAGTCAGTGGAGACTTGTTGTGGTAATAAGTGCTATTAAAAAGAACAAGCACCTTTTCCTTTATGTAGTCATATGTAAGAGTGATCTCCGGATCAAACAAAGAATAAATTCTATCTAAAACATTTAGAACATATTCTATCGATACTGTTGAGTTAGAAACTATCCCCTTGTTCTTAACAAGCAGAGACAAGAATGCAATCCGATTTAGATTGCAATATATCAATACATCTTCTATTAAAATGGGTATAGATTTACTTCTAAGAAACAAAAACACAATAATTGATACTTTTGTTAGATAATTCACACGAGTGGCAAATGATGCGCTCTGGATAATATTTTGAATATCGTCATAGTGCACCATTGCATTAATATCTTTTAATACAGATTTAAGAATTACTTCCTTTGAAGTTCCATTCAGAAGCCAAATGGGCGTATTGCTCATAAAAAATAAATATTTCTATGTATATATATGCCAATTAATTAAGTTCATTTCTAAACATAGTAATATTGATAATAAGCAAAATAATTAATATCACAGCAGAGATCTAAAAGATTCTTTCTCGGCAAAAACATAAATATACAAAAACAGCAATATAATTAATACAAAAGGTAGTTTTAATATTATACATAAAAATAACTAAAATCATTTAAAAACACTCTATAGCATCTGCTAGTTCAAACAAAATAGTGTTTATATTCTATATTTCTTCTTGTTCCTTTATTTAGTTTAGATAGTTTTATATGTGATATAAATTGGAATACTCTGAAATATAGCAAAAGACTAAAAATAAGAATAGAAATAGAATAAAGAAGGGATACATAAGAAAGAGAACGGCATATAAAAACAGAAAAGCAGAAAACAGCTTAATATGAATAGAACTATCAACAAGGCAATTTATATAAATAGTGTATGTTTGTTGGGTCTAATGTAAATATATACAGTTGATAGAATATATAAGACACATGGTATATTTTATGATCGATACTTCTGTATGCCAGGTCTTTTAAATAATTATAGTCTTATTGTAAGCAGAATTGATTAAAGTAACATTTATCTCTGTAAATATTCCTGAGATTTAATATTAATTTTTATTGCATAATTTCATGGGCTCAGTTTTAGTAAGTAATATATATTTGTAGGAGCTTGGCTTATAAGGGGTTGGGCTAATAAATAATTTAATATTTTCTCATTTTTCTATAAAATGAGTTTGCTTGAGATATCCTATAAGAAACATGACCAAATTAGTTTAGAAAAGCTCGCTGCGTTTATAACGGCATGTAGACTCAGAAAACCCCGCACGCCAATTACAAACAAATTCAATACATCTGATATAAAAAGGATACTTGTGATTATTAGTGAGTCGTGCCTTTCCTATGCGGACAAAAATAAGAGAAAGGGCAATTACCAAGTAGCTCTTAAGGAATATCCACTGCCAGAAGACATTCCTATATACTTGCACTCTATTCGAGAAAAAACACCAAAGCAGCATAAGATTGATCAAATAGCGGGGGAAATGATGGAGGAAGAAGATATTTCAATGTTTCTTACAGAGGACCTCAATTCCATATACACAGAAGGGATAGACCATCGGCTATACACCATTCCTATGATTGAGAAAAGCGCGTTTTACTTAAGATACGGCACGCCGTCGATTCTTCCGCAGATAGCTACTTTGAAGCCATTAAAAGTAGAAAAAGTTGAAAATACTTCAACAAATAAAGAAAAGCCATACTGCGATGTAGCGATGATTAATGGCAAAAAAATGTTTATGTTTAAAAACCGCACAAAGAACTGCATTTTAGCAATTGACTGTGAAATGGTTATAACTGACATAGGATGCGAGCTAGCTAGAATAAGCGTAGTAAACAAGTATAAAAAAGCAGTTTACGATCAAATCATTATACCAGAAGGGAAGGTTGCCGATTATATATCAGATATAACAGGAATATCTGAAAGTACGTACGACAAGAAGTGTACTTGTAACACGTGTGAATACATTGCTGCCAAAAGACTGAATATAAAAGATAATGAAGAGGACTCAGCGCATAGTGGGTGTATAACATATGATGCAATGCTTTATGACTTATCAAAAATAATAGGAAAGAACACAATTCTTATAGGCCATTCAATATCCCATGATTTGCTGGCAATGAATGTATTTCACAAAAATATTATTGACACATCGCTGCTGTTTAATAGCAAAACACACCATCGGTACAAGCTGAAATCCCTTTGCTCAACCTATTTAAACAAGGAAATACAGGAAACAGAGCACTCTTCAATAATAGATGCAGAAGCGTGTATAGACCTAGTCAGTTATCTAGTAAGACGCAGAATACCATCTCTTCACTACCAAAAAATGAAGAATTTAACAGTTTCAACTGAATATAATAGTGCGACTTCGCAAAAAATCACTCATAAAGGAACCCCGCCAATTGACTATGTGTATACTAACTGCTTACCAGAGGATATAGATGCCAACACTGTGATAATATGCCTAGAAAGAACAGAAGAAGAATGGATTGTTAGGGTATCTAATACTTAAAATAAATATATATCACATGGTAATCACATATAATTAAGAAAAACAGCAGATCTTAGAATTTCTATAAAACCTCGCATCTATTCACATAATATATTCAAAAGAAGCCTTATATAATATATATAGTTAGTATAATCCGCGCGAGAAATTCCGGGCTTTTATTTGGTTGAACGGTAAAATATTCGAAAGAATGTCATGTGAACATAGAAATCAGTTTATTTTTAGAAGTGTCTATGCAAGATAAGTGCACTTTATGGTACTCAGATTATTTAGTCAAGTTTCTGAGCAGCTATTCTGGCAGTTCCATTTGTAAGCACTATTCCTAGATCTGCAGCCCTTTTTACGATTTCTATTCTCTTCTTTGCACCAACTGCATGGGCAATCTCTCCACAGTATACTCTGTTAAGAGAAATAAGTGCGTCTAAGTCCTTTATGTTCTGGATTATGACCTTTCTAAATCCGTTTGGAAGAAGATGTCTTACTAATTTGTCGGCCTTGAATCCAACAGTTGGCATGACCATAGTACCCTTTACCTTTCTTCTTACTTTGTTGTCAATACCTCTTGGCTTTCTCCAAGACTTGCTTAATCTCTTAAACTGGTCACTCTGGAATCGGTTGAACTTTCTGTTTGTCTTCTTTACTGCTATGAATTTGACTAATGGAGTAGTCGTTAATAAGTCCTGCATTACTCTTGTCTGGGGTTAAAAATAATTAAAAAATTTATAAGTAATGCTGGTTCTTTAAAATAGATGCAATAGCAAGAATTCGTAAATGCTGGCGCCAATAAAAAAGAACAGAAAAACATTCCATATGCTGCCATTGCATTAAATACATAAGCAAATAATCATTTTCATGCAGCAATTTCTAAGTAATAAATATGTATAATATCATTATACAGAGCAATTATTTAATATTTATAGTGCGTATAAGTCTATTATTTATAATAGAATACATAAAGGACGCCTATTTATATGCTTTTCTTATAAAATTGCTGCTGTTATATTAATAATTTGAATATAAAATGTTCATCAATATAATTTAGTCTATCCATGAATTGCAATTTATAGGGTATTATATGGTTTTTATACACAGTATTATATGAGAAGACTGTTCTAAAAACTTAATTTTATTATATATAACACTGGTTTGTTTTATGGAAATATGTCTATGCATTACTATGATACTTTACACCAGCACTATTTTATTTTTAACAGAAAATAATAAGAAACTGGCAATAGCCCATAATATCTGCATAATTATCTATTAACTACTAGAAATATATTTAAACTGCAATTTATCTAATTGTTAATTAACCATGAAATATCCAGACAAGACAGGCTTCTGGTTATAAACACAAATTTTAATATATAGAAACTCCACACGCTAAATAATACCAATGCAAATGATCTATTTATAAATTATGCCAATAGTATAATAAAATAATAAATAGAATACTAAATATATGCACTAGAAATTTTTTCAAAGGAAGCGGAAGCAACTATAATATAACACAAAAGCAATATTTTATTTTTATGTCTATTATTTTGTATTGTATATTCGAGAAAAGATAATAGTGTATAATAAAAGGCAAAGGACATTTGAATATAGAAAATTATCAAAAAGAATGGCAGAAAATCTAGAAGGTTTGGTGATGAAAACGAAATATTCTACACTTTATCCGGATTGTATTAGTGCATGTATTAGTAATTTCATATAAACCACTACAGGATTTTCAATAATTCTGATGATATAACAAATGAGTCAATACTTAAAGGAAAAGTATTTGTCTGGTTGTCTAAATGATGACAGAAAATATTTAATTCATGAATTAAGGTATCCTCTGATAAAATCTATTATCATATATATACTGCAAAATACAACAATATATGAATCTTATACTAAGCCTAATAAAGACATGAAAGCATAATATAGAAATAATGAAGCATAAAGTATATAAGTATTGCTTTAATTCAATAGAAAAATTTTAGTATATTACAAATATAGTGCATCACGGCATATCAATTACTAAACCATAAAATTCATTGCTAAATTTATAGTTGCTGGTATGAATTAAGTAATGGCTATAATTTACATATCTTTACTTCTTAAAGCCATCTAATCTATACCTATCTTTTTATAAACCTTTATGTGTGTAATTGAATTATAAATAGGATTATGAAAACTTTTAGTAAACAGAAAATTTTCTACTAATGGAATTAAATAGAAAGACAGCAGAATCATTACAAATTAATACAGAGCCAGAACCCCCAAAAGAAAAAGAACCGGTAAGTTTATTTAAATCTGAGGAAAAGCAGTTGGCATGGGAGCTGGTTAATAAAATCATGTCTCTATATGATAATAAAAAAATATCGACAAAGAAACAGACATACCCACAAATGAAAAATTTATATCGATCAGTGTTTTTGGCACAAGTAATAGCGTATATTGATTCTATAGACACCATAACCACACTCGATGGATTTGATGAAATAGTTTTTTCTGCACTAGAGAACACAAATGTTATAATGAGCGGAGTAAATGGTATAAAAAACACTAAAGACTATTATAAACTGATGGAGAATAACCATATATCACAGCTCCTATTAAACAAGATGGTATATAACTATGTTTTAGATGATCTTTCTTTTGCTGTAAACAAATATCTTGACACTAATCCGGAATTACTCACATTAGACCCAACTATAAATAACGATTTAGACCATAATGTAAATTCTGCCGAATATATTTGTAGAAAAATGAATGAGCTATTTAAAAAAGATTCATCCGGTACTTATAGAATAATTCGTGTAAAGGAGATATTAGAGAAACACGTAGGAGCATTTCTAGATTTGATATAAATAATAGTGAGAAATCTTGTAATTTTAAGACATTCGGATTAAATTTAGATGATATTAAATCACTTATTTACTTTAAACAAGCAGGAGAAATTGCAAGAATAGCGCTAAATATGATAGAATGTCCTCTTATGATCCCATCAATTGCCACAGAAGAATATCCTATCTGTTCATTTACTGATTTAATTTATCCATTCTTCAGTAGTAAGTTTTCAATCTCTGATGATGATTGGATAAATCAGATTGCCGAATATATACAATATCCTTGGGAGATGGAAAATGATTTCTTGTCTGAAAAAAACTACATAATAGGATTTTTATTCGGCATATATCAATATATTAAAACCGAAGATATTATTTATGTTTCCTCTCAGTGCAGAAAGAAACTATTGCAATCTATTTATAATACGCAATCAAGAACTATACCAGAAACAGAGCCAGAAAAAAAAGTTGTGCCCATTTCAAAGCCCATTACAGCAACAAAATATATAGAACAGAGTATAGATAAAATATTAAACTGGGGTAAGGAAAGGATTGATCCAGCGCCAGCTGAAAATCGCCCCGAATCAGTTATATATAGTTTACTTGGTTTCATTGTATTTATTTTAATCTTTAAGACTATATATTTTGTTCTTGTTTTTAATAATATAATTCCTGCCGATGATTAAATTATATTTATCACATTCATCATTTTATACTCTATTAATTATTGCATAGATACAAATAGGCATAATATAACATAGGCATTAAATAAATTTTATTTTGAATTGGCTATATTTGTATAACACATAGATTATTATTACAGAATACAACACAAATCAGTATTTAAGTTCAAAATGCTTCATACTGTATAAAATATTGAATATAGTAGATAATTTTGCTTTATAAACATTATTTTATTACAGACGAATAAATATAATTTACTTTGAGTATTGTGCTATCAAGAAAACTCGTGCAGTGTTTGTTTTGGCTGTATTGGCAAACCAGCAATAACATATAGTTATTCTATTTTATATGGATATTTCCTTTTACTTCTCCTATGGTTTAGATTTACTTTTCTGTGGTCTTGGTTCTTAAAGCTCCGGATAATGGCTAGTTGTTTGTCCAGTCTGCCGCATTCTTCCAATAGATAGCGGTTTGCATCATCTCTGTCTTCTCTGCCTAGCCGCCATATCTCCAAAAAATTAGCCGGGTACATGAATCTTCTAATTTAAACTCCAGTGTTATGTATTTGGATCACCAAGCTATCGGTAGTGCAGTCTGCCCAATCATTGTAGCACACCAGTCCACCAGGGTCGCATCCATTGTAATTCTCTTCTTGTTTTTCTCTCTGCGATTTGGAAGTAATATCTATATCTGCCTCTAGTTGATTTTTGTCTTCTCTTTTTGAATGTGCATTACTAGATTTCATAACTAAATTTCGTATTTATTACATTCCAGAAACTCTTATATAGTTTCTGCCCCCGTGATTTATGATTCCTGCACACATGCGCATAGAAAAAATGATGCATACACATAGATTACTATCACACTAACTGTTCTATTGCACCAAAAGAAGTAATATCATCGCTAAGAACCAATATATATAATTAACATAATACTTATAGGCGTTTTAACGATAAAAGATACCTATCGTATATTCTAATGTTTGCCGGCTTTGGCAATAAATGGTGGTTGTTTGAGGTTTATATGTAGAGTCTTCATTGCAATCTTATATTTTTTCTAGCTTTATCTCAACAAAGCACCGATACATTTCTTTTTGTTTTTTTCGGTTTACCACAAGCTTTGTATCTTCAGTGTATTTGACTACTCTAAACAGATTGGATATTTGCGATTCAATCTCTTTTCTACTGAAGTAGTAGACATATGTGTTGTCTCCTCTTTGATAGAAGTTTTTTGATAGCACTTGGTTTTCTTTAAACCGTAGCTGAGTCAAATCCATCTCGTAATAGTCTTTAAATATGACAATCCCACCTGGAGATAATGTTTTATGCATTAAAGCGAAAATAGAGGGATATGATGATGGATGAATTGCGGATAATGTGTATATAAGAAGAATAATATCTATTCTATTAATTATCTGATCTTCTATCATTACATCTTTTAGCTGAGTAATATCACTCGGAGCAAACTGCGATTTTAGCTGAGGAACCCTCTCCTGCAGTAGCTGAACCGCAGTGGCCGAATAGTCTACACCAAAAATGTTTTGGCACTTAGATATATCTTTGTCACTTAATATTATTTCTTCTTTTGTGCTTTCTCTTTCTTCTACAGCGCACCCATTGCCCATCTCTTTATCTTCCTGGAGATAGTCGTTTTTGTGATCAATTCTCTCTTTTATTATTGGAATAAGAGTACTTCCAGTACCACATCCTAGCTCTAGTATTCTATTTGTGTGTACTAACAACTCTGGGTACTCTTTACTTATCCACTGTCTTTCTTTAAAAAATGTCCTATTATACCGCTTGTAAAATATATCCCATGGCTCATATGTTATCTCATAGTTTTGAAAGTCCTTTAGATTATCTTTCTCTATTTTCTGCAGTGCTTCTTCTTTGTACTCCTTTGGTATTTCTACTTTGTCCCATACATTGTATTTATATTTGTCATCGTTCTCTGTAAGTACTCGCATATAGCAGAATAAAAATTTGAAGCCGGATTATGTTTCTTTGAATTTAACGCGAAATAATTCAAAATAACGTTAGTATGCGTGTGTGCATAACCCAAACTTTAAATAAATAACTGTGCTGTATATATTATATACGGCTTCTAAAGATATGTTTTTTAATAATTATCTAATTCTTTCTATTATTTTCTAATGCTTAATGTGGTTTTTATATGTAAATTTATAGTTCGCTTTTTCTGTTATTTCTGCTATTCACAGCTTTTTCCTTCCCTACTCTCTTCTACTCTTCCTTTTTTGTTTTTCTTATTTCTCCCCTATATTTATAGTTTTAAGGGGTTCTTGTTCTGCTAAGCTTTCTTTTATTTGGCACTACATTGCTCATATTAGCCAAGCGAGTTAAACAGAAATACTTAAGAATCAGTAATTTGGCATATATATGAATTTAACGAAAGATGTATTGATTTTGTAGTGTGGTTTTGATTAACTATTCCGTGTGAGACTCTCTTCTATTTATATTTTATTCAGTGCTTAAATTATTGATAATAGTTTTATTTTTTCTGCCGGATGCTTCTTATAGTATTTACAGGAGTATTGGCTTTGTTTTTAACAGTACTATTCTCTAAGAAAGTCATACAAAGGAAGAATGCAGTGTGTTTGTCTGTTAAAAGGCCCAAATGGGTCTTTATTATAAATATGTATGGTTGTGTTCCAAAGGAAACAATTGAAAAATTAGGAAAAACACATGATATTAAATTAACTGTCCAAGAAACAGATCAGGATACGTTTCAAAGCAATCATGCAAAGTTTTGTAAAATGATAGGTGAATCTAAAACAAAGGTTCCATATAATGAGATAGTTGAATTTATATCCAAAAATAAGTCTGTTTTTCCTGATATAGTCATACTGTGCTCAGATACTACTGTCTTTAAGACAAATTCGCCTTTTCTTTTATATTCTGCAGAAGTTCTACATTTTAGAAAGAATTTTTCTAGTGATGTACTAGAAAGCGCACTAAACCACTATTCCTTATGCGAAGTTAGAAATGGAAAATAGTTTAAATAATTTTCTCTTTTGTTTATACACAGATATAATTACTTAAATATCACATCATGGCGTTAGACAGTAATTAAGAAGTGGTTAAATATATAAATTATATCTACTGTGATATTATCAGCACATGGTGTAACTTTTTACCTTTTCATAATAATTGAATCTTTATTAATTCGTATTTTTATCCATTCTTTCAGTCTATATCACATTAGAGCCCCTGTCTATTATTATTAAAGTAGTAATTTTCTGCTAATATAGTAGCATGTATTCTTTCATATAGTAAGTATCAAGAATCATTTGCATTTTTTATATAAATTGTATTTCAGAATTATTTTTATTTTGGAATTCTGTCATGTGCATATTAGAAATGAAATATAAGTGAATGGGTTTTCTTTTAAACAATTTAAATTTTATTTAGTCAAATAATCAGTTAATGTATTTGGAGGGAGAATATTACTATGCAGTATTTCTTCAATCTGATAATGCTTAGCAGATAGTTTAGAAATATATCTGCAAAGTCTTTCACTTACTCTCCACTGGCTTCCAACGCTTTTAAACACATTGATCATTCTTACTTTTGAGGATCCATTTATATGATATGGAGTTGTTGAGTTTATAAACAGCCCAAATCTATTATAATACTGGCATGCTCTTTCAATTGGAATCAAATTTTCAATATAGTATACATCGGTTGGCCTGCTGGATATCCTGTCATTTTTATAGGATTCTTCAAGAATAAGAGCCTTTTTAAGAACCCCTTTAAATTCCTCGCCAATTACTAGTTCAGTTGGCTTGATTCCAAGGGGAATATGTATAGAAACATCGCCTATTACAACCTTGCACTGTTTGCTAGACAGAGTTATTCCCATAGAAAGGCTCCACCCAGTTCGGCTGTTGATTATACTTGGGATGTCACTTGTGCTTTTATCTGATGTATACTCTGCTTTGCACTCAACTTCTTCTACTGTGTTGTTCTTGTTTTTAAGAACTTTTTTATATCTGGTCATTAGCACACCATCCCTAATAAAAACCTCAACCTCAGAGTGTGTGTCTATGGCCTTTAGCACACTCTGCCTTCCTGCGAATTCTTTTTGTGTTAGCATTAGATAAGCAGTGAGTTTTTTGGTCTTGTTAGGTAGAGAAACGCTAATTGATGACTTATTACCCAGAACCAGGCCTTCCTCCTCTAGACAGTCTATTTCTAATTTCTCCACTAAGCAGGAGGCCATTGATATATCGGGAACACTTCGCTTGCTTATTAATCTGAGAAGATAAACGATGTCTTCTTCATTGTTCAGAAGGTAGAGGATATCATCTTGCATCATAATGGAATTTAACGAGCGAATCGAGTTGCCCAGTGAAATCTGTTTTTTTGCTTGTATAAACCAGTGGGCGTCTTGGTGCAGCTCGTTCCTTTCCTTCAGCTGCATAAGAAATTCCTGGAGCTTTTGTATTTCCGGCTTGAGTCTTTTTATTTCCATGCGGATGCACTTAATAGTAAACATATCGGGGTCTGATGTAAGAAGGATAGAGAAAACCCCCAGACATCTGGCCAGCTTAAGCAGCTGCCTTTGTATAGAGGGAACTTCTCTATAATGGTTCAAAACATCCACAATATGATCTATTTCATCTGAAACACACTTGCTAAATCTGGTTCTATCAATAGAAATCGAGCTTCGCTGGTCCTTTTCTGTATTATTCTTCTTTATATCTAGCCCGTTTGACATATAAATTGCTGATATTAGTCGGTCAACATGCTCAGACACCATGTAAGCTCCCTTCTTTTCTATCTCACACCATACTATTCTTTTTATAGAAAGTGACATGTCTGGGAAATAAAGCATAAGAAGAAGCCCTTTCTCAAGCGAGTCAATCGTAATTTTCTGGACACTAAATACTCTTCCGCAGAACTTGCGGATATCCCAGTCCGTTTTAATTGTGGTTTCGCCGCTTTTTATACTAACCGACTTATTTTTGCAGATTTCAGATATAACTCTAACTATCTCTTTAAACACTTTTTTCTCCTCACATAGCAGTTTAAAATAGTCGCTGTCACAAAGAAGCCGTAGCATTTCTTGTGGTATACAGTCTATCTGCTCCGCACAAATTATGCTTGTTTCTGCATAGTCTCTGTCTATGATAAATGATGTTTTAAAGAAGTATGGAGCAAGTTCAGTTGCTCCTCCTATAATAATCAAGGACTTGGTAAGAGATTCTGCAGCAACCGGGCTATACTTTGCAATGTTCTGAAGAATCTGTATTGTGCATTGATAATTCTCCTTTGTGTATGTATTTATAAGTATTTCTGATAGCTCTTTAGTTGGTAGCTTCCCCTTTCTGTGGCTGTTTATAATTATTGATGCATTGCACATAATTGCATGTGAGTTTGCCGCTCGTACAATCTCAATGGCATCATCTATGCTTCTTATCTTCTGCATCTCTAATTTGCAGTATTCTAATATATTTATAGACGGGAGGTATAGAGGAGTTAAATCCAGAGTATCCCCCATTTCTGTCACCCATTTTGTAAGTATTTTTGCTTTTTCCTGTGCTGTGTCTGTTAGGCTATAAAGCAAAAAGTAAAAGTAGTCCAAAGGCAACTGTTTAACATCTGCGCTAAGCACAAGTGAATCATCATACATTTCTGTTTCCTCTCTACTCTCTTCTATTTCTAGTTTCTTTGTATTACTATTAAGCAGTAGTGTAAGACTTGGTGCGTATATGCCACCAATATTAGCAAGTGCATATGCGCATAAGTCACACCTGTTTCCAGTAATAACAGTCCGTCTTAATATGTATTCCTGCGCCAGAGACATGAGCTCGCGAGCAGAGGAAAGCAGTGGGCCCGGAGTGACAAACTCTTTTTCTGTTACCCACTTGTTTTCTTGAATGATGCGGGTTTTTTTCAGATGAGACAGCCACCGGTCTTTAAACTGCGCTAAGAATAGCCCAAGCTCAAATATCTGAAGAAGTGTTGAATAATCTGTTTCAGATAGTGTTTCTGCCCGGATAATTCGATGGGCTATTCGGCACAGAATAATTGCAATCCGCTCCATTTCAGTTGCCACTCTACTATCACTGTTCAAAAACAATGACTCTAGCTCTAGCTCCAGCGAAGATTGTGGTGATGATGGCAGAGACAGTTGGCTTCGAACTACTTCTAGCCGGTCTAGGCACACGTCTACAGGATTACTCAAATCATTTGGATCATTCCCAATAGCCTCTGCCTGCTCAGAATGATCTTGCACCTCAGGTACTATATATTTTCTATCTAACATATGCATTCTACTTACCTCTTCTATTTATTTAAAGACTCAAACACTGTTTCACAATAATTCTGTTACAGACTGATTGCTTTTCTGGCAGGTCCATCTAAATAAGATTTACAGCTCTCCACAACCAATCTTTATATTTTTCCTGGCACAATCCATCCCTATCAATATCTTAATAATAAAAATCATCTAGCCCGAAATATGCACTATTACAAAACTATTTTTATTTATAGAGTCTCTAACAGAGTAGTTAGTAGAACCACACCGCGTATATATTCAACTGAGTGGCATCCCATATTATCTGCATATAATCTATGATCTGCTTTTCATGCATTAGCATATATTATAATTATATAAGGAGAAATTTTAGAGTGTTTGTACTGAATTATAATGTATAAATAATTATTCTTACTGAAAAGAATAGAAAAGAGAAGATACTCCATGATTAATTAATTTATTTTAAGAAAAAGTACATTTCTATTTTTCTAGTTGAACTGCTGCAGAAACTTTTTCAACCATTTTATCGCCTTTTTTGACTCTGATAAAGAAAGGAGCAGTGCTTTTTATCCTAAGCTTTTCATCTATTTGGTACAGGTTTATTCCAAAGTGGATACAGAATAGAGGAATTAGCTGATAGACCGCAGGGTCATTGTGTTCTGGCAGCATAAACAGATATTCTGTGGAAGTGTCCTTGTTCTCATACTCTTCCATTAGTTCATTATAATCAACGGAATAGTCTGAAATATTCTCAATAAGAAAGGATATCTTGTCTTGGGCGATTCTGGGAATATTTGACGTCAAGTCTATTTTTCTCTTAGCTTCTCTCTTTTTCATTTTTCATGGAAAACAGAAGGCCTATAAGAATCCAGAAGAAGGAAGAAATATTCAGAATTAAAGAGACAGCACAGCCTGTAGATAACTCAGCAGCAGCAGGCAGTACAAATTCCATAAATACGAATAAAGAGGAAGATTCAGATGAAACCACTGCATCAGATGCACTTAGCACAGAGGAGGAAGATGAAGTAGCAGCAAAGAAGCAAAAGACTCCTCATTTATTGAAATATGCAACATTCTATTGGTCAGCTATTATGTGTATTATTATTGGATATCTCTTCCACTGCGTGAATCATAAGTGTGAGACAAACATAAAAACAATGGCACAGGCAAATCATATTCTTACAGAAAAGATAAATCAGCTGGAAAGCCTTCTGCACAGCAAGCACAGAGAGATAGATGTTGCAGATTATTTAGAAGGCGCAAGAATCATACACGACTTAACAACAGACTCGTTTGTTAAGAAGGGATGGCTTAATTCAGTGAAGGGCCTGGGGGCTGAGGTGGCAATAGACCGAGTCTGCACAAAATATCACTGCTACTCTTTTAAAGGGTCTGAAGGAAAGTTGGCAATTGCATTTAAAAATGAAAAAGTAATTCGAAAGATCGGCATCATTCATCCTTCATATGACAACAAATCTTCTGCAATGAAGTCTTTCTTTGTTGATTGCATTGTGAATAATAACCACGTGTGTATGGGAGAATTTGAATACGAAGTGCCGGGCGACGCATTTCAGCAGTTTTTAATCCCTCCAACAAAATGTACAGGAATAGTGTTTAGAATAAAGTCTAATCATGGCAAAAAAGAGTATACTTGTATTTATAAGGTATATGCATTTGAATAATCAAGTAGCAGCCCTATAAGCACACCTGTATGGTATAATATGCTCCTATCTACTTATACACAGATACCGAGTGCAGTAGTTAATGAGTGCATACACTAGTAATAATTCGAAAGTGTGGCAAAGAAAATATGAAATTTATACAATAGAAGCAATAGCCGCTAAAAATATTTTTGCTTATTATTTAAAAAAGCCATATTGGAAATAACCCGAAAATGAAGATTTTACTGATTATTCTAAAGATAAATATTAGATAAGTATATAGAATAGTTTAATTTACAATTTAAATGGATATAAAATATTTAGGCGCCTTCTAGATCGGTAAATTATTCAATAGAAGTTCTTTTAACAGAAACTCTCTTTATATTCCAAGCTAGATAGTTGTTAATTATAAGAAAGCCTAGTGTAATAGCAGAGGAAATAAAAAGAGTAATATTACTTATAGAAGCGCATAAAACAATGTCTTTGAATGTTAGCGCAACAACTGTTCCTGTTGTATACGGCAGATATTTGTTTTCTTTATAGAATGTATGTAGCAAGAAAAGAACAACTACTATTTTAGACAAAACATAATTTGTGGACATAATATATACCAAGCATGCAAACTGCGAAATAAAAAGCAATATTTCATTTGTTTTACCTAATGTGTAGTGTAGAATCTCTAGCTCGCCCGATAGTAGTGCGCTTTTTAGCTGTCTTTCTTTATGGATGTTATGTATACCAAGCAGTATAAACAAAAGGCTTGTTCCATCAACGGCTATTATGATTGAAATTGGAGAGACAGACAGCTTTTCCATGTGACTCAGATATATGCAGGCTATCATGGTGTATATTGTCAAATATATGGAATACTTCTGATAAATCGTTTTTTCAATAAGAATGCCCTTTGAGAAGAGTAAAAACGTACATGTTTTGTTAAGAACAAAGAAAATAAAACTGTCTTTATCCATTTTTTCTTCAATGCAAGCAGAATATGCAACTGCCAAGCATAAAATTGTAAGTGCCCCCGCTGTTAAAAGAAGAAAAGTGTCTAAGTTACGCATTACCACCCACAAATAAAACCAAATATAACCCGAATGTGTAAAACAGTGTGTCAAATTATCTATATCCAGTTATATTCATGCAGTTCTAACTGGTACAATAATGTAGTGTAATTAGAATATTCTCTTACAAAATTATAAATTTCTCTAGTAATTATGAGTGTGTCTGTCTATTTTTAATGAAGATCATGTACACATTAAATATTATATTGAAGAATTTAAATAAGATAAAATAAAAATATTGTCAGAAATGTAAATACAAAATATTCTCAAGTAAATTATAAAATAAACAATCATAGAGGCGCCAAGTGCCCTGAAACCTGAACCACCTGAAATAATCACTAAGTACCCTGGAATATTCCAACATAATAAGCAGTAGACAAAAATATCTGTAAGTTTCGGGATAACATATTCAAGATAAAATCCATGCGTATAGTAGTATTTTATATTTTATGCACTGCCATCATTAGTACTATAAGCAAAAGAAGAAACCATAGGAAAACATACCATGCACATACGCGTATTCAGAGACGCAAAAAAACGTCCTGACAGGGACTCGAACCCAGAACCTCCTGATTAGAAGTCAGATGCGCTGCCAATTGCGCCACCAGGACCTACACTGAATAATATTCCAAGCATATTTTTATTCCCATGAATAATACAGATGAGAGGAGCCAAGCCACAGAGGAATGCTTAGAAGACACACAGGCTGCACACGAACAGACTGAAAATGTTATAATAGAAGAAGAAACATGCACTTTATGCAATGATTCTGCACAGTGCGTAACAGTATGCAAACACTTCTTCTGCTATACATGCGCAAGAGGATTTATTACTCAGTCAACTAAGTGTGTAGTGTGCAGTGAAGAAACCAATGGAATAGTATTTATCACTGTAAATGAAAGTAGAAACAAACAAAGTAAAAAGAAGTAAAGAAGTATTCAATGGAGTAATATTAATAAATACAGAATTAATGTGTGCACAGACACTTTATTCCGTCCAACCCGAAACACTCCAAATACATAATACATTCCATTATATAAAATAATAAGACTCTAATAATATTTATAAATAAATATAAACTAGTTTCTTCTTAAGTGCTCTATATGCTTGTTGTACTCTATTACAGTGGGAATGCTTTTAATTAGCTCATCAGCCACTTTACTCTTAGAATATAAAAATCCTAAATCAAACTCACTTAACATTCCTTCTATTGTATTTGAGCTGCCTCCTGTTGTTTCTTTCATAATTATATTTTTTGCTTTTTTTAGTGTTTATACAACAGAAAGTATATAAATACAGAGGACCTGATTGGATTTAACTAAAATATATTTGAGGCTATATTATATAAAATAACTAATTACATTCTATTTATATATCTGATAAATCCAAGGGTATATTTATTATATAAACTACTCCATATTATTATATAAATTATTTTGAATTTGGGATTATTTCTGTATATAATATAAATATTCTGTAGATTTACATGCCCTTAAATAGAATAACTCAGCCTGCTTTATTATTTTAATTGGCTCTAGGTATTTCTCAGTATATAATAAAGAACTCCAGCAAATATGATATTTTGGCTTATTTCTATGTTCTCTATAGACAATGTATATGTTGAATCACTTTTTTGGATAAATTTGTGTGGGGCCCGGTGGCGCAAAGGTAGCGCTTTCGACTCCAGATCGAATGGTTGGGAGTTCGAGTCTCTCCTGGGTCATATTTTTTCGCATTTTTATTTTTTAATTATATGCAAGTGCAAACTCCAAAGCACTTCTGCCATAAAACAAATGCGATTTCGACCACGTCATACACGCTTTTTACGTTTCTTCCTGCAAGGCTTGCGAAGGAAATGACAAAAACATTCAATCTGTTTTTTGTTATTCTTTGTTGTATCGTGATGGTGCCAAATTTAACTCCCTTTTCAAAGACTTCTTATATATTGTGTATTATATTTTACATTTGCACGAGCATTTTAAAGACAGGAATAAATGAAATTAAAAAATATAAATTAGATAGGAATATCAATAAAAAGGAGACAGGAGCCATAAGACACGGCAAATACGTAAAAATATTCAGAGAAGACATAAATGTGGGGGAAAAGCTGATTATTGCCAAGAATGAACCTATTCCTGTGGATGTGCTAATTTTGGCTGCGTATACAGAGACTTCAGATGAGAACAGAGGCCAAACATTGCAGATATACATTGAGACTAGTGCAATAGATGGGGAGAGTGCCCTAAAACTAAAGCAGGCGCCAATTAAACTAGTAAACACGGAGATATTGGCGCAGGATGAAGTTCTAGCACTCGATATAATTAGGGCTGAGTATGATCCAGAGACTCTTTCTGGAGATCTGACAGTTAGGCTGCCCAGCACAGATGCACACACAGATACAGAGGAAAGCGCAGTTACTATTCCTATTACAAAAAAGAATTTTATTCCTATGGGCGCTTCTATATACACAGACATTACAACGGTTGGACTATCTCTGGGAGCCAAAAAAAAGAACTCTACACCTTCTCGTATTAAAGGATCTATTTTTATTAATATGATCTCTAGGCTAAGCATATACATAATAGTTGCATATATCATTCTGCTATTTATATCAGTTATAAGTGCATGCTGGTTTATGATACACGGAGAGTGGCTACTCGGAGAGGTGACTATCTCTATTATGGGAGATGGTATGAGAACACTTACCTCTAACATTCTTATATTCAGTAGTTTAATACCGCTCTCTCTGTTTGTCACACTAGATGGGCTTAGAATATCATACTCTATATTTATACAAAGCGACAGGAGCATGAACTACAATGAAAAAAAGACTACTTGTAACACACACGGTGTATTAGAAGACATTGGGCTAGTTTCTCATATACTGTCTGATAAAACAGGAACACTTACCTTAAATAAAATGAAGTTAAAGGGGGTCCAGCTGCCGGGATCTGACACTCCGATGCTAATAGAAGAGAATGCAGATCCATTGCATCATAACATGTGCATGGTAAGTATTCTGACAATGCTTCTCTGCCACTCTGTATGTATAGTAAATGGAGAGTATATAGGTACATCCCAGGAAGAAGTATGTGCACTGCAGTATTTCAAGAGCACGCAGATGGAGTTACTCAGCAACCAAAATGACAGAATGATTATGTCTCTTAATGGCAGGAAAGTGTGTGCTAAAATATTGGGGGTACTCCCATTCTCTCCAGCAATAGCAAGAATGTCTGTTATTGTACTGGTGGATGGCAAGATATTCCTTTTAACCAAAGGCTCAGATGAGGTAGTGCCTAATGACTCTGCAGTAAAAATAGGAGGAGAGTATCGAACTTTGGCCATGGCAGGCGCTGAGCTTAGTATAGAAGACATAAAAAGAACTGCAGTGCATTGCAAAGAAAACCCAAATAGGGAAGACCCAGATGATAATTTGCCAGAGAGCATAGACAGAGTTATAGAACTATTTGAAAGAAACAGCGAGCAGAATGAGAGTGATATGGCAGAGAATATGGAGTGTAGCGGCAGTGAACCAATTTCACTTCCAATAGACTTTATTCTAGAGTGCGAAAAGCTTTCAAAATATACAGGAACACTATACCTTGAAGATGCACTGCAGCCAGAGGTGGAACAAACAGTTAAATCAATTAGAAACAAAGGAATTAATCTTTGGATGGTGACAGGAGACAGAAAAGAAAGCGCTGTGTCATGTGGTCTATTATCGGGTATGCCTCGTAGTAGCAAAGCAATTTCAGGCAAAGAAATATGCAGTCTTACAGGAAATGATTCAGAAACACTCAAAGAAGAATCCTTAATAATTTTTAGATGCTCTCCTGAGGAAAAGAAGAAAATTGCGCATATGCTAAGAGTAGCAGGGAATATTGTGCTAAGTGTTGGAGATGGTGAAAATGATATTGGAATGATTGAAGAGGCAGATATTGGAGTGTGTGTATGCGGGGTTGAGTCAAATCGGCCATCTCTTTCTGCAGACCTATCAATCCCATCGTTCAGTGCACTTAGAAGGCTAGTTCTATACCATGGCCCAGTGGCTTTAAACCGTCTAAGAAATGTGTTTTTGTTCTTTATATTCAAAAGCGTATGCGTAGCTGTGTGCCAGTGCATTTATGGGGGAATAGTTGGGGCCTCTGGGTCTATGGCGCCGTCTTCTCTTTTCCTTCTATTCTTTAATGCAATGCTAACTTCACCGCTCTCGGTTGAAATGGGGCTATTCAGAAGAGAGTGTTTAAATAAGTCAATTATGGACTCGTTCTTACGAGGGGTACTATACGGAGTAGCCTCATTTATTGTAGTGTACAGCTTATTTGGATCAATTGACGTAATGGGCGCTGGCGGTGAACTGGGCAGCCATTCTGTGGTAAGCTGCTTCTTTTCATTATGCCTGTTCATATCCACAGTTATATACTTCATATTCTCTGCAGAGTCTTTTGTGATTTACTCCTTTTTGGCGCTGTTTGTCTCTGCAGTATTCTTTATCATAATAGTTGGTGTGGATATTGGGTTTGAAGTATTTGCATCACCTGCGCTCTATATGTGCGCTATGTATATGACCATGTGCGGTTTGCTTGTTGAAAGAACTGCGTGCCTTTTAAGAAGAAAGCAGGCCCCATATCAAGAACTTACTGCAATTGATAGTGAACCTGTTGTGTAATAAATATTGCATTATATCAGAACTTTTCATCGTGAATTACATCATAAACCAATCTCTACGGCGCTTTATAAAATACAAAAACTACGAATCGTATACACTTCAAATATGAAGAAACCACAAAAAACAAATCAATTACATGTTTGTATGATATATAGTACACATGCAAACTCCTTAATAAATCCAACTTCATGCATAGACAAGCTGCTCAATGCAAATATAAAGACATGCCCCCCAATGCCTTATGATTTTAAATAACGCATTGATAATGAGTATTAATTATAGTATACACTATATTTATTTATTAATATGTATATGCTCATTATCAAGTCCATTCTTTTCTGAATTATCTAGGTTTCCACTTCCATAAAAGTACTTTAATGATTTTTGGAGAGAGTTTATCATTGCCCCTGGTGTATGGTGGATAAACGCTTTGGCCCATAATTTTATTGCATTATATTCAGACCAATGTGTTTTCCTGACTAAAAATGTACTGGGAGTATCTGTTGTGTGCCTTATTTTATAAATATCTCCTGGAATATAAAGCTTTTCCATTCCCTTCTTTTTCAACTTGCGGAGTAGTGCATGTATGTACTTTTCCTTGTTCTTATGTTTAGATACGCTTATAGCATAAAAATGTGTGGCTAGAAGCCGCAGCTCAAAAACGGTCCCAAAGCACAAGGTCGGTACAATGTCATTTCCATATATCAAAACAGTTATTTTGTTTTCTGGATTATTTCCTATAAGGGTTTTAAACCATTTTGGGTTATTTATAATTGGTGGGGGAGAATATGCAATGCAAGATGTAGTATATTTTGACAGCAAAGAACTCTCTCGAATAAACATCCATACAAGCATGGCCAAAGCACCGCCTAGGGACTGCCCTACTAGCCGTATTTTTTTAATTTCATATTTCTTCATTAGTTCTTCAATTGCCTTTTCTTTTTCTTTGATAAATTTCTCCGATTCTTTAAATATCCCCCTATGAAATAGATTGTTCTTGTATTTATGATATTTATAATCAATATCTATCAGTGCTTCTCTGCTATGGAGCGTTCCCTTAAATGTAATATAAAGAATTCCTTCTATTTTGTCCATGAATATCACGTGTTCCAAGTATTTACTTGCCTCATGTACAATATCTGTGTATGGAATGCCAGAGAATAGGTGGAAAAACTTCTCCTCTGCATTTATTTTGGGGGTTTTGCAGTAAATGCACTTACATCCAACAATCTTGTTGTCTATTACATTAATTAGTGAGTGAAAATTAAGAAATGCATGCCCGTATGGTGATATCGCATACCTGTACATATTCAAATGAAAGTCATAAAATTCTTGTTTCTCTACATGCCATTTATACGGATTGCCCACCTGCAATAGCTCTTCCTTTAGCTGCTTTGAATATTTAAGCCTATGCAAAACAGGATCTCTTTTTTTAAAAACACTTTTAATCTTGTCAAATACCCCTAGATTTTCTTCTAGTCCTTTATATTTAGGCACATACTTAAATTCTAATTTATCCATCTTCCCATAATACAAAAATAATTCTCTCATCCCATAAACAAACTCTGAAATGTTTTGCATGTCTCTGAACAGAAACTGAAATGCTTCTTGCAAGTCAAATATACGGCCAGCAATTGCTTCATTCTTTAAAAACCCTGCCCATAAAAAGGACGGCTTCTTTTTCTCTAATGTTTTTATAGTTTTAATCTCTACAACAGATAGAGCAAGATACATCTCCATATCCTTAGGAATGAAGTCATACCTACGAGGCTGTTTGCTATATATCCAACTGCTTATTGGATCATTTGTAGGAAACAGTTTTAAATAATGAACAGAATTCTTCTTTTTCTCCAGTAAATCTTCAACTTTCTTAAATGTATAACCAACTAACTGGTTTCTTAAGAATCCTTCTTCTATAATAAATATCTCTAATATTCCCATTTTCACATCCTGAATGCACTCAAAGGTTAAATTAAACGTGGCTTCTTCTATATTATACTTTACTTTCTTTCCATTATATAATATTTTAATAAGATATCCAGTAGTAAACAGCGGGGCCCCTTCCCACCACCACATACTATCATCTTTTTTAATAAGTGATTCAGTAGAGCAAGACAATAATTTACATCCAATATTCATTCTTTCCTTTTGTTTGCTGTATTTTTAAATATTTTCATAAATAAATAGTTTAAATTATGCTCTTATTGTTATTCGGGTTATATAATAGTTAAATAATCCGAAATTATTAAAATTAAGAAATATAAAGTGATAAATAAATTAATTTTTAGCATTTTTATAGGAATATCAATTAAGTAATTATAGTATATGATTTATATTGAATATATTGAGAATGAGTATAAATATAGATATAATTATGGATTAATGTGTGATATTTCAGAGTATTACACAATCTAAGTGTATAAAGTATTATATGCTAATATAATTAGTTGCTCTTATTAAAATATAGTAAATACTCAGTATACTATTATGAATATAATTTTTTATTGTATTATACGCGTATACATCTTCTATTTCTTAATTATATGGCAGTAATTATAAATATACAACTTGATTGAATATGAAAAGAAGAGAAGG